ATGAAACCCTACCATTTGTGACAGCATGAATGGAACTAGAGGGTATTATCGCTGAAATAAGTCAATCAGAGAAAGTCAGATACCATATAATTTCATTTATATGTGGAATCTAAAGAACAAAATAAATGAACAAACAAAATTGAGCCAGACTCATAGACAGAGAACAAACTGGTAGTTGCCAGAGGAGTAGAATTTGGGGAACTGGGTGAAGGAAGTGAAGGGATTAAGTACAAATTGGTAGTTACAAATTAGTCTCAGGGATGTAAGAAAACCATGGGAATATAGTGAATTGTATTGCAGTCATTATGTATGGTGCCAGTTGGGGTACTAGAAATATCTAGGGGTACCCCATGTAAAGTATATGATTGTCTGGCCACTAAGATGTACACCTGAAACCAATACCAAGTAAAATTGGGAAAACAAAAAGGAAAAATATCTCATTAAACAAAAAAGAAACCTGGTAACTGCCATTTGTGTTTGACGGTGGTTTTCCAACATTAGTGCACATCAGTACCACCTAGAGGACTTGTTAAAACAGATTATTGGGCCTCATCCCCAAGTTTCTGGTTCAGCATATCTGGAGTGCTTTTGAAAATGTGTCTAACATGTTTCCAGGTAATGCTGCTGCTAGTGGTCAGGATGTACACTTGGAGAGCCAGTGGTGCGTGAAGACCATAGTACACATCATTTGTTTTAGCTGAACAAAGCATCCTTTTCCAGTTTAGCTGGTATATTTAGAAAAACCAGTATGCTCATCAGAATAATCTGTTGCAATTATGATCAAATTTTGAATCCTTATAATGTTTCCATCTCACCCTGTCTTCTATATGGCTTATGACCTTTCTTTTAAATTTTTTATTGAGATAAAATTAATAGACTATAAAATTTATCATTTTATCATTTTAGAATCTAGAATTCAGCACTTTTTACTGTATGTATTCAGAGAATTTTGCAACTATCCTCACTACCTGATTCCAGAACATTTTCACCACTCCAAACAAAAAAAAATAATCCCAGCCCTGGCCAGGTAGATCAGTTGGTTAGAATGTCCTCACAGTATGCTAAGGTTGCAGGTTCAATCCCTGGTCAGGGTACGTACAAGAATCAACCAACGAATGCATAAATAAGGGGAGCATAGTCTGGTTTCTTTTTAAATTGTATAAATCTTTCACCTTTTACATAAATAAGGGGAAAAACAAATCGATGTTTCAATGTTTCTCTCTCAAATCAATAAAAAAATTTTAACTATTTCTCTTTTTGAAGAGTTTCCTACCCATGACGCAGTCATTCCACATTTTCCCCTCCTCCCAGAGCCAGGCAACCGCTAATCTGCTTTCCGTTTCCATGGATTTACCTCTTCTGACTTTTTGTATAAATAGAATCATATAATATGTGGTCTTTTGTGACTGACTTCCTTCACTTACATTGATACATATTGTCACGTGTCAGTATTTCATTTCTTTTTATGGTGGAGTAATATTCTGTTGTATGAATATACTACATTTTGTTTATCCATTCATCAGCTGATGGACATTTTGGGATTCGTTTTATTTGTGGTTTTGGGGGGTTTTGTTTGTTTTTTGGGGGTTTTTTTGAGTAATGCTTCTATGAACATTCATGCACAAATTTTTACATGAACATATGTTTTCAATTCTCTTGATTATATACTTATAAGTGGCTGACATTTCTTTTATTTTTAAGTCCCCCATTATAGATGTCTTATTTATTGTAAGCTATATAAATCCTTTTGAAAGTAAATGAGAAGTAATATGCATTCATTCATTCATACTTTTGAGTCAACCAGTAATATATTATGGACTTATTCTATGCCAAGAACTATTGCAAGCACATACATCATCTCACTGATTTACCGCAACAACCATCATGAAGTTGTTATCAACTTTATTTTACACGTGAAGAGCCGGAGAACCAGAAAAGCTTAGTAACTGTCCAAATCCACATGACTAATAACTGGTGGGACTGAACATTGAACCTAAGATCTTCCAGTCTTGCTCTTTTCTTATGTCTGTGCTGCCTCTGAGAAGAAAAAAGATAAATAAACCACTGTAGTTTATTTATAAGTAATGACTGTTGGATAGTGTTCTTCTAAACAGTCAATCCATGTTTAGTGTTAAGGCCGTTCCTAATTCTAACTTGGAAATGCCGGTTCTTTCTGTGACCATTGCCTTAATCATCTTTTGTCCTGCATAGTGAAATCCAGTTTACTCTTGGCCCTTCAACTCTTGATTGCCTCTGATACTTATTATTCAATACATGTTATTCAAATGTTCTTATTATGAATTTGCACTGAGTCCGGTAAGGTAACAGTTAATTTATACACAAAATAAAATAAGTCATGTCCTCTGAAATTCTAGATTTGGAAATAGTGATCTATTTCAGACTGGAAAGACTGGACTCTATGACTGGAAGCCATAGAGTCCAGTACCTTTAACTGATAAATGAGAGCAGTGAGATTCCGTAAAACATAAGTACATCCTGAGCACCTCTGGTGTGCCAGGAGACACTGAGGACACTGTCCTTACTCACACAGCAAAGACACTTCCCTGCACAGAGAGCTATGGTCTGGTTGGAAGGACTGGCAATAAATAAGTTTACAAATAAATATATTATCACCTCAAAACCTTAAGTGCCGAGAAGAACAGACAGCAAGGTGATGAAATGGGCAATGACTTGGGGTGTTATTTGGGTACAGAGTTGTAATGGTCTTTGAGGAGGTGGTCGGTGGCCTGAAACTGAATGACCGAAGGAACCAGTCATGTGAGAATCTGGGGGATGGATGTCCCACACACAGAGGACAGGGAGTGTCAAACCTCTGAGGTGGGAAGGGGCTCACAGAGCTGCAGGAAGTTGGCCGCTGCGGCGAGAGCCAATGTGGGCTCCAAAGTGGGGTGCTTCACCTGTGGGGCACCAGAGACCACAGTGCTGAAGTATGGGAGTTAGAAAAAACTATTACAATTTCTTTTTTCACTTATTTTTATTGTATACTTCATAATTTCTATGACTTTTAATGTTTTTATTAATACAAATACAGTGGTAAGTCTGTATAATTTACAAATACTTACATATAAATTGTGGGAGTATAGACCATTAGGAGTGTAGACCACTGGGTCAGTGGTCAAAGAAAAGAGGGGAAGGAGATGGAGGTCCTTGCAAGTCGTGCTAAGAGTCTGGTGTGTTTCCAGTGCCGTGGAAAGCATTGGAGGCTTTGGAGCAGGGAGTGATCCGAGGGTCTGAGCATTCTAGCTGCTGTGTGAAGAGGCGACATACAGGCAACAAGGCTGGAAGCAGAGACCAGTTCGGGAGCTATGGCAGAAACCAGGAGGGAAATCATCGTGGCCTGCACCAGTGTGTTAATGGGAGTGGAGGAGAGTGGCTGGGCTCAGGATATATTTCAGAGGCTGGGTTACAGGACCTGATTATAGGCTAGATGTGGGAGAAGGGGATGCATCAAGGAAAAGAATGACTGGAAAGTTACTACTACTGGTTTTGGAGTACACAACTGGGTGATCCGTGGTACCGTTTGCCAATTTGGAGATGGGAGGAGGTGCTGGTCTAGCAGTGAGGACAGAAATCACAAACTCCGTTATGAAATATAGAGATGCCTACTGAACGTCTAAGCAGAGATGAGGGGAGGCCTTAAGATACTGGAGCCCAGGAGTGTGGGGAGAGGTAGGTGCTCAACAGAGGTCTCCTGACCCTGCTGAGATGTTCTCCCCCTGTTCCAGTTGCTCCCAGAGTGACTCAGTCTTTTTAAGTAAATAAGTAATTAAGCAACTAAATAATCTAGAATCTACAAATATTGAAAGTAAATTAAATTTAAATATTTTAACCTCTTTTGGATTAAGTAGGAAAAGTGAGTTAAAGTAAAAAACATCACTGACGAGTTTGTGGGATCACAGAGTTACTGAATCGACTGGATGGCCTCCCTGCTGCCCTCCCTGGAAATGCCCTGGGATCACTGTCTGTCCCCATTTTCCACAAGGCCCTTTTCCAGGGATCCTTTTATTTTCCTCTACCCAGAGAGGGCCATGCTCTGCCAAGAGAAATAGTACTATCAATTGTGCTTTCTGAAAATCAGGCAAGTCCTGTACCCAAAAAAATGATTTCTGTGTCTCAGTTGGTCCAAGCTATCTCTGAATCCCTCTGTGCCTTCGAAAGTTATGGAAAACTGGTGAAGTTGACAAAGACTGACTAGAGGCAGACTTAGACTTTTTTTTATGGCATCCCTGGCCTGTGTCCACTGCACAGGCCTGTGGCCTGTGTAACACTCCCACATGTACCTGTGACAACCAAAAATGTCTCCGGACATTGCCAAATACCCCTGACTGCAGGGAAGTGGTGCAAAATTGCCCCAAGTTGAGAACCACTGACTTGGAGGGAAGAGGTAACCTGGACTCCACTGATCTGTCATCACTTCTATTTAAGAAAAAACACAACTATAGAAAGAAAGAGTTAGCTTACATATACTAGACGATGACTGGTTAGTGAGTAAACAGCCTCTTATCTTTTAGAGAATAGTGTAGGCTGTAAATGCATTTTTCCTGCAGAGATATAAACCTAGGTGATCTAGGGAAAGTATAGGCTCCAACCTTAAATTGCCTCGGAGCCCCTTTTTTCCAGCTGTGGAGAGAAGGGGCAACCTCCTGCCTTGGCCTAGTCGAGTGAGGCTACCTCCCACCTGGCCAAAGCACAGGGTGGTTCCCAGGGTTAAAGACCCACCGCTGCTACTCTGGGCCATGGTAAGTGCTCAATATATGTTTGTCATATGAATGAATGAATGATCCCTCTGTGAAAAATACAGTTAGTGCATTTTATCTACTGATGGCCCTGTGTGCAGACTCTACCCCAGTCCCCACCAGACCCAAGAGGAGGACCCTGTCAGGAGGTCAGGAAGGGAGGAGCTGTGGGTGGGGAATCTGGATGGATCAGTGCACAGGCCTCCTCCCAGAAGTCTATAAGCTCTTCTCTTCTCTGTACAGAAAACCGGCCCATCATGAAGAGCCTGACCTTGCCAGCCCTCTCCCTGCCCATGAAGCTGGTGAGCCTGGAAGAAGCTCAGGCCCGGAGCTTGGCTACTAACCATCCTGCTCGAAAGGAAAGGAGGGAGAATAGTCTGCCTGAGATCGTCCCTCCCATGGGCACCCTCTTCCACACTGTCCTTGAGTTACCAGACAACAAGTAAGTGGCATTATGTGCAATTCTGGGAGATGATTGTGTGGAGGGGCAACAGAGGAGGGAGAAACAGTCTCAGGGCCAGGACGACAGCATGCACTGGAGATGCAGTCCGGGTGGGGTGCAAGGACACTTTCCAGAGGAGAAAGGAGCCGTCTCCACAACTCGCTCTCACCAGTGGTTGGTGCCTTCACTCACTGCCCCAAGGTTGTCGAGACCTGAGATCCTGGTACTGCGATGGAACTGGGGCTCAGAGGTATCAAGAGTCGTGAAGAAAACCCCTTAGGCCTTAGTTTAGACAAAACACGCTTGACATTTTCAAAAGTTTGCTAAAAACCAAAACGAAGCAATAAAAACTCTCTTCCCCCACCCTTCACCTCCACAAAACTTTACAAAAGGTAGAGAGAGAGAGAGATGAATGGAGGACGCGTTGACAGATAGTGCCACTCTAGACTGGGAGGTCAGGGCACGCGGGACTTGGAGACGCCATCTCTGGCTTCCATTCTCCTCTCATACCTGCCAAAGCTGTCCTCTTCCCCCAAAACACACCAAACATCATTTTAAATCATGGAGTATTTCCTTTCCTCATTCCTCCCTCTCACTTCCTCTGTTGCAAGCCTACTCTCAATACATCCCTTTGCTGCGTCACCCTCATGCTCCCTGTGAAAGGGAGGCAGCCATTGTAGCTGGAGTCATAAATTGTAGGCAGACAGTAGGTGCAGGGGCTGAAAGGCAATCTTCTCATTGGAGAGTGTCATCCTCGCTGTTTGGTCAATATGAAAACAGACACCTCAGAACTCTTGTCAGTGTCCTCCCCTGGATGGCAGGACTGTTTCCCTTTGGGGAAGGGGAAAGGAGCTCTTCACATTGCACAACTGCAGGGGGCACCTGTCACACTGCATGTTACGGGGATGGAACACCTGGAACCGACCTGCCGAGAAGCCCTCCACTTCCTAGAGTGCGTGATGGTGAGCTGTCAAGACTGAGCCCCAGCGCTCCTCCACCTGAATCCCTGGAGAATAAGACTTCCACTCGGGAATCGGGAAGAAGCGTACCTCAGAAGGATCATCAAGTGCATTTTCTCTGTGCCTTCAACCACACCTGAGGTGCACCATACCCCAGATTATGCCACCCTGTGAAATCCACCCCAAGGCCAAGTGCTGGAAAAAACCTGGCTGGATTCAAAGAAACCACCCAGAACAGCAGATCTCCTCTGATTGATGGTAAAAACGTGCAGGGCTTGAGATCTGGGTGTTCTGTGAGAACCCTGAAGAGAAAAGGTTCTTTGTGGAACCCGCAATTTGCAGGGTTTTATCCTGGAACTTGATGAAGTCTGAACGCTGAACCCAGCAAGGGCAGGGCAGAGCCTCTGTGGGGACCCCTGGTGGTGACCTCTGGTGGTGCCAGGCTCCTGGGATTCAGTCCAGCACTCCAATTTCTTAGCCGCCTACTGAGGCAGCCTGGTTGCCAGGCATCAGGAAAATGAGAGACACACTGAATACCCAGGGCACTTCTCTGCCGTGACCACTGACTACACCCAGCAGCCTGCCACTCCCCCAGCCACACTCTTTTCCAAGTTCCTTTCTCACATATCCCTTTTGCAGTCCCCGAAAGTCTTCACTAGCTCTGTTCTCACTTGTGGATGGGACAGCAGTGTGGCTACAGTGCTGGGAGCATAACAGGACTGAGGTCTATGGTCTTTAGTGTTTATTCCTGTAAAAAAAATACACACACACACCTTTGAAAACCCAGGACTAAAGTGCTTACCACCAGAATTCCCAGAACTGTGTGGTTGCTTGTGACCTCTGAGTGTCCCATCAATCCTGGCCTCTGTTTGCCCCACCACTGCCTTTAATGGCAAGCCTTTGCCTCTCCCTCTGAGGAATTCAGTCCTTTGTTCTGACTCATGAAAGCCTAGCTTGGTTAACTAGAGCTTCCCAGATACGGTGAGGGTCAGGCTCAACTTGGCATTTAGAGAGGAATTTCCTGAAATGTCAGAGCCATTCATAACTAGGACACGTTTGGGGAAGTCCTTCTCAGTTTGAAAGTCCCGCTGAAATGACTAGTTACCAAACTAACCCTTTATGGCTTGGCTCTTTTAGAAGAAAGCTGTCCAGTAAGTCAAAGAAGTGGAAGTCAATATTTAATCTGGGACGTTCTGGATCAGACTCCAAATCAAAGCTGAGCAGAAATGGGAGTGTGTTTGTCAGAGGACAGAGGCTCTCAGGTAAGAACCAGCAGCAGCTGCATTTATGAAATTCCTGTCCCAGTGACTCTGCTCTGTAAGTCTTTGGTTTGATCGCATTGAACTCACTGGTCCTGAAAGAGAAACTCATATATTAATTAAAGAGTCTCTCTGTTTTTTTTAGACAACTTTAGATCTACAAAAAAGTTGCAAAAATAGTACACAACCTGCATATTGTTCATATAACTTACCCAAATTTTAGCAGTACATCACCGTAATACAATGATCAAAGCCAGAAAATTGGTATCAATAGAATACTATTAAGTAAATTACAGACTTCACTCATATTTGGCCAATGGTCCCACGAATGTCCTTTTTCTGGTGCAGGATACAGTCCAGGAACCCACATTGCATTTAGTGGTTAGGCCTCCTTAATCTCCACCAATCGAGACAGTTTGTCAATCTGCCTGACTGGACATTTTGGAAGGGCACTGGCCATTTGTTTTGTAGAACAGATCTAAGTTTGGGTTCGTCTCTATGTCCTCGTGATTAGACAGAGGCTATGAGTGCTGTGCCTGCCTCAGCACCTCCTGTCGGGAGGCCGGTGATGTCAGTACCTTCTGGTGGGTGGTGTTAGCTTTGATCACTTGGTTAAAGCGCTGTCTACAAGGTTTTGTCCCTGTAAAGTTACTGTTTTTTTTTCCTTTGCAATTAATAAGTATCTTGTGGGAGATAGTTTGAGTCTGTGCACATAGCCTGTTTCTTATACTGTCATCCACAATGTTAGCAGGTATCACGGGTCCTGCCTACAACACTTACAACACCACAGTTGCTACTGTGATGTCTGTCCAAGGGTCGTTTTCTATTTTCATTATTCCTTCTACATTTATTAGTTGAACTCTATCATAAGGAAGAGACTCAGATCTGACTCAGAGTCAGAGTCATGATTTTTAAAGAGATGGGAGTTACATCTGAGCAGTGAATAGGAATTGATACAGGAACGAATTGAGGGACCCACTATAACAGGGAATATAACCTGTCCGGGTGAGTATTATGTCAGAAAAGGTGGACCAATGATGTCTGTCCTAATGACCCTTTAGTGTTATAAATTGAAAGTATGATTTTTAAAAATTGGAAAATAGTTATAAAAACAAGTTGTAAAAGGTAAATGTATGAATGCAAGGAGCAAACCTTGACTGGATCCTAGTTTGGAAGAAGAAAAGGCTACAAAAGACAATTTGGGGAAAGAATACATTGAGTATTAGAAGTGTCATTTTCACATGTGCCAGTGGTTCTTAGAAAACACACACTAAAGTTGAAGTCTATAAGGAAGTGTCACAGTATTGAAATTCACTTTCAAATGATTCAGCAAAATATAGGTATAGGTGTGTAGGTAGATATAAGTATAAATATAGATAAAACAAATACAAAGCAAAATTATCAGCCATTGTACCAACCAGGTAGTGGATTTAGAGGCCAGCCAGCTTTGCCGCAGGAGGTCTGTGGCGAAGTCCCAGTACTGGTGATTTATAAAGTTCCCCAGATGATTCTGATATGCAGCCCAGGCAGAAAACGGCTGGATTTATATCTCATAAACGAACGAAGCGTAGGCAGGTCATCAGACTGACTGAATTTTGATAGGACGCAGGGCTAAAATTAAAGAACCATCAGTGTTAATACAGGTGGCTGTCCGTGACCCGGTCTGTTGCCTGCGTGGCCACTTTTCACCACAGGGGCACTGCTGGAACCCTAGAGACCGGGGGGGCGGTGGGGGGAGCTTGTGATCATGACCCACCAGCATGGTCTCCATACCTGGCATGCAGACTGGCTATTTGTTGAAATGTGAATGTGAAAAAAAGTTAATCAGCAAATGAATATATTTAAATAAAATTTTAAGCTTTTAAAAAACAAAACTCCATAACTAAGGAAATTTTAAGTAGCACTGGGAATTGTTTTTTGGTGGGGGAACAGCAGGTAAAGGGGTGTTTATGCATACTGAAGGAATGGAACAAAAATAAGAAAAGCTGGGGTGTTGACGGAATGGGGCTGCGTCAGCTGCTACACTTGAATGAGAGTCGCCGACAGGACGGCTGCAGGGAGCCCTCGAAGGTGAACTCCTTTGAGCAGGAAAACCCCAAAGCCATGGAAACCGGTGGGTGCACCATCACCGGGGGAAGGTCCCAGACAGAAAAATATAATCTGAATATAATCACGGGCCAAGGAGCCCCAAGTGCTTAGTTAAGAGACCAGGACATCCTTGGTGACTGTTTCCAGAAGCAGCTGCTGTGGCCACCGAGGCCACAAGGAGCTGCACCATCAGAAAGAGGGTCCAGTGTGAAAGGTAAGCACTGATGGCTCTACAGACAGAACTGTCGCTCACCCCCCAGGACACTTGGGGTCACATGGTCACTGCCCCTAAAGGCTGACCTGTGAAACCCAGCAGAAGTCCAGGAGTGTGGCTTCTGGAAACAGAGAAAAGCTTGCGTCAGAATGCAAGTACTTCTTCTAGAACCATCTCTCAGCTTCCCTTTTTATTGCTGAACCCTGGTCTACCCTGAATAACAACAATAACGGTACTTACTTTTTATTAAGCATTTACCCCATTCTAGGTTAGCATGCCTACTTCTTTTATATGCATTACTCCTTTAATCCTCCCAACAGCTCTATGTTACATTTTACATGAAAAAACAGAAGGTTAGGAAACACAAGCTGCTTATCTGAAGTCACAGGGCCCAGAAAGTGGCAGTGCTGAGACTCAAAGTGCAGTCTGTTTGAATTCAAGTCACCATAATGCCACAAGTTCTGGGGTTTCCGCTCAGCTTCCAAAGCGCCCTCTTTCCCCTCCTAGCAACCCTGACCGAGAAGGAACTACCTCCCAGTTAATTCAGCTCCCTGAAAACAGAGCGCCTAACCCTGTGCCCAGAATATAATCTTTCACTGAGTCAAGTGGCACTCTTCCAAAAACCTGCTTAGGTAGCTTATAAAGATGCTTGGGGTCCACCAGGCACAAAGCAGGTACTCAGAAAAGGTTTGTTTGCTTGGTATCTGCTCCCGGGCGAGGTCGTGTGAGAGCTCAAGGAGCAGAGCTGCACATGGGAGAGAGTGGCTGTTCCCTGGGCCTTCTCACCGGTTGCAGCAGCTTCCTCGGTGCTGAGAGATGCGGCTGTAGCCAAGAATCCTGCTCTCTGGCCTGCCAAGTAGGCGGGCCTGCCTGGAGCCTCATGGCTTCTATTCCACAGATGAACGTTTGAATCCCTCTTGTGTGGTAACTTTGGGCTCAGGACTCCTCACTTGCTAATAGCAAGTATTTGAAAAAAGCATAATTTGTCTTTCCCTGTATAATATTAATAAAATTTTGATCTACAGATACCCCATTTTTTAAGGTCTATCCCAATCAGAAAATGGGAACATCCAAAGTGGAGTGGGGGGATGTTTTCCAAAGGAAAAACTATAAATATTTGAAAAACTTTGCTAAAGATAGTTTTCTTGTGCGCTGACAGGAACTTTCAGATCTATTGCTCCGAAAGCTTCCTCTTACTATGCATTCAACAGGGATATTTGTTTCTTTTTTTCTTTAGTGGAAAAAGCTACTATCCGACCAGCTAAAAGCATGGACTCGCTGTGCTCCGTGCCTGTGGAAGGTGAGATGGGACCCTTGTATCTGGGACTGGGGGTTACAGCTCAGAGACCAGAGGTGCTGCACCAGACTCACCGTCGTAAGCAACCAGGCCCGCTCGAATCCAGCCACATTACCCATAATCCCCCAGGCCCAAAGCCCTCCCTGGCCCTTTCTGAACTCGGGTTTCATGTAGCCCTTAGGGCTGTACATTGCCACCCTTCAAGGCCAGGAAGGTTCATGGTATCTATTGCAGACAGGAAAATAATCATGGAACCGCTGAGGTGTCTGGCATGCCTTTATTCATGGGTGGGAAAGCCACAAATGCTGCAAGCTGCCTATCTATCTGTGTGTCTCAGGTCGAGGCCCTTGCTCCCCGGCGTGGCACCTGTGTCCTTGTGTGTCTCTCATCATCATCATCCCCAGCAGGAGGTCCTTACCTGTTTACGTATTAAAGGGGAACAAAGACGGAAAACTGCCAGAACATTACACAACGTAACATAATTCTGTGCATGCAAGCCCACTTCATGTTATGGGAACAGTTGATTGAACTGAGTCTGTGAGAACACTGGTTATCGGGCCGTCCCAAGGCTGTGGGAGCACCACTTCCCTTAGGGACCCGGACACCTGGGCGAGGAAGCCAGCCTGCCTCCACTTACCCCACAGGCTGCCTGGAGTAGGGCTGCCCCTGCTCCTTGGCAGGGCGAGGCCCGAAATGCCATCCTCTTTCTCTGGCCTTCCTGCGACCACAGAGACAACAGCCGTATCACATTCACACCTGAAGCAGCTAAAGGGGCAACACCTAGAATCCAAGGCAGAAAAGAGTCTTCTCTCCCTTGCTCTTAAAGAAGAGCCAGGCACTGGTTTATAGGCATCACAATTTTGTGCCTTGATACTTGTACGTCTTGAATTTGTGTTTCCATAGACATCAGCTTCATCGTACTCGTCAGGTCCTGATTTCGCGTTGGTAGACTCATCCATTTGTTCATTAGGAAACATGGGTAGGAGGCAGCCTGCCATGTAGCTGGTCGTCACTCACTGGGGTGGATGTGTGCATGGTTGCAAACAAGGTGGCACCTGTCATCACAGGGACACCTCCCCACCTTGGTTCTTACCGGGCCGACTGGCCTGTGCCTCTGTCTACCCACAGCACCGCTGCAGGTAACAAAGCACAGGGGTTCCCTGGCCGCAGACCACCCATGCTTCCTGGCCCCTTTAACTTTAGGACATTTTGCTCTGTGCTAAATGAAGCAACCTGAATAACACAGAAAATCTTTAGAACAACTTTTAAAAATAATTCTCAACTTGTAAAATACGCAATGAACTCTTTTAAAACTGACTCAATACCTTTATCATTTTCTCACCTTTACATTCATCCATTTGCTTTGGTTTTGAAACCTCTGGGGGCAATTCCCGCCCAGTTTTACAGAATTGCATACCGCAAAGTCCAGGTCCGCTTTCACGGGCGCTGGGCAGGTTAGGGAACCTCTCGAGTCTCAGTCGCCTCTGCTGTCAGAGATATGTACACTCCCCGGCAGAGTGGGCGTGAGAGACGTCACCTGTGTGGCAGAGACTTAATAACCTCCCGGGGAATTACTGTCCAGACCTCCAGCAACTCACTTGTCATCTCCCAGCTTATTTATTTCTCATACAGATTTTTTTCTTCTTTGCCTTCACTTCTCAGTCAGGAACTTGAACCTCACAACTGGGCTTTCTAACGTTTCTGGTTTCCCATCCTCCGAATCAGTGGGCGGAAGCCTGGGAAAAGGGAGAGAGGTCCAGCTGAGAACAGCATTTGTTTTCTCACCTGGAAATCAAACCCCCGTTTGGGTCCATCTGCCAGAGGAGGCTTAAAACTTTACTTTAAGTTTTAAAGTAAAATAAGATTCTCTTCTTTTGCCCTGTGTGTCTTCTTCATTTCGAGCAAACGTTCTTCTGTCACCTCCCATCCATCCATTTATGTTTTCACGACCTGCGTTTTACGCTTGACTACTCCACTCAGCAACCTTAGCAGGGGCCTTCTTTTGGAAACTGCTCTACCTGCAAAGCTGAAAACAAATACCTATGACACAGTAGTAAATGGCCCTATCGGGGCATCATAACAGAACAGGCAGAGATGCTTCCTATCTTGTCAACCGAGTGTTAGGACCCTGTCTTTATTAGGGCAGCTGTGCCGTGTTAGAATGATAGACCTTTTTGCTGTTCAAGGATGGCAGGCCAGCCTCACTGTGAGGCTCTGTGCGGGGAACGTGTGCCCAGGCTGCTGACCATGTGTTTGTCTGCTTTTTCACTAGGGAAAGAAACCAAAGGTAATTTCAATCGAACAGTCGCCACTGGTGGATTTTTTATTCCAGCGACGAAAATGCACGGAACCAGCACTGGCAGCTCTTGTGACCTCAGCAAGCAGGAGGGTGACTGGGGCCAGGAGGGGACACCGGCGGGGGCCGAGGGGGGCTTTGACATGAGCAGTGACCGAGGTCAACTCCAGAGTGGTCAGGCCCGGTTCCCACCCGAGCAGCTGAAGGTGTTCCGGCCCATCGAGGATCCTGAGAGCGAGCAAACAGCCCCAAAGATGCTGGGTATGTTCTACACCTCGAACGACAGCGCCGGCAAATCTGTCTTCGCCAGCAGTCTCTTCCAGATGGAGCCCTCGCCCCGTCACCAGCGCAAGGCCCTGAACATCTCTGAGCCCTTTGCTGTGTCCGTGCCTCTCCGCGTGTCAGCTGTCATCAGCACCAACAGCACCCCGTGCAGAACGCCCCCGAAAGAGCTGCAGTCTCTTTCCAGCCTGGAGGAGTTTTCTTTCCAGGGGTCGGAGAGTGGAGGTTGGCCTGAAGAGGAGAAGCCACTGGGAGCTGAGACTCCTGCAGGTAAAGGAGGGGAGAGAAGTTCTTTTTCCACTGCAGGAGATTAAAAACCAGACTCTGTTTGCTTAAACAGAGTTTGCAGGACAATGTAGTGAAGTGGTTAAGACTGTGGGCTCTGAGCCAGGCTGCCTGTCAAGAAGCTGTGGGTCACAGTCACGGTACATCTTTGCAGCTTGGTGTAAATAACAGGTCTCTGTGACCTGAGGCGACAAGCTTGACTTCTTAGCATTGAATTGACTTACGTATGAAGTGAAAGATTGGATTAAGCAAGAGGCTTCTCAACCTCCGCACTATTGACATTTGGGCATGGGTAATTCTTATTTGTGGGGGACTGTCCTGTGCTTTGTAGAGTATTTAGCAACATCTGTGGCTTCTACCCACTAGATGCCAGTAACCACATCCACCACCCATTTGTGACAACCAAGGATGTCTCCAGACATTGCCAAATATTCCCCGGGGATGGGAGGAGCAAGGTGGTCTCCAGCTGAGAACCGCTGGACTAGATGATCTTCCATCTCTGATACTCCGTGATTCTGGGATCTGAGGACAGTACATTGCTAGGAGGAAAGGGTAAAGGATGTGCGAGGGTAGTGAGCTGGGAGAATTCCCTCCATCCTTGTGAAGCAGGACTAGCCCAGGTCAGTGACTGTGCTGGGAATGACCTCTTTTCAAGTGAGTTATCGGTCTCTTCCAACTGATAAGTCTCATCCTCATTGCAGCTTCTGTATCTAAGAAGGCAGCTCTTGAGGATGCCAAGCCAGGACCAGAAGCCGTGAAGACAGTAGAATGCAGCAAAGGCCTTTCCCTGGAGACAGGAGCCCAGTTGGAGGAGAAGAAAACCTCAGAAATCTCCCTGAGCAGTCAACATTCGAGTGAACCGGACAAGAGGCAGGATCCCGAGAAGGTGGTGGAGGAGGGTCGAGAGGCCGGCCAGGGGGATTCCGGAGGAGCGCTGCAGGAGAGCCCCAGGGCCAGGGCAGAGGCCGGGTTTCTGCATGAGATGGTAAAGTGGACCCACTGTCTGGTCCAGCCAATAGGGTCTTTTTTTTTTTCCCAAAGGGCTCTTCACATTGCATTAGTAGATTTTTGGGGGGGTTGTGGGAACCAGTTTCTGACAGGGATTTTAGGAGACAACTTTCTAATCAGATCTAGGATTTTCTTTCACAAAGGTCTACAATAATGGGTTAGGTTTCCTAGGACAGATTCAACTCTAAATACTTCTTTTTTTTTTTTAAATTTTATTTATTTATCTTCAGAGGGGAAGGGAAGGAGAGAGGGAGAGAAACATCAATGTATGGTTGCCTTTTGTGCATCCCCTGCTGGGAAGTGGCCTGCAGGGAACCGGCCTGCAACCCAGGCATGTGCCCTGACTGGGAATCGAACCTCAATTGTCTGGTTCGCAGGCCCGTGCTCAATCCACTGAGCTACACCAGCCAGGGTAAATACTTCTGACCTGCAGTCACCTGAAGCCAGCAATATGCCCTTAGGTTGTAATGACAGTCAGTCCCAGGAGCAGCACAAAATCTGCTTGTCATACCCCAGTCCCAAAGGCGATGGCCCTTCATGGAGCTGGTCTGTTCTTCAGCTTCGTAGGTGAAAGGTCACCAAAGAAGTAATTTCTAGGGTTTTGGAAGCATGGAGTTTGGTGGGAGCATAGAACAGGAGGACCTGACCTGGTCAGAGGAAAGAGGAGGGTCAGAGGGTCAGGAGAGTCTTTTCTGAAGAACAGATGTTTAGATTGAGAACTTAGCTAGAAGAAAGGAGTAGGGGCAGAACAGAAAGAGAAAGACTTCCAGGAAGAGAGAGTAAGACACTCCATGAATCTGAGGTGGGACAAGAGCATAAAAAATGTAAGGACCAGGAACAGGGCCAGAGAAAATGAGGCTTAGGGAAGCAGGGGCCACAGCAGGCAGGGCTGCTCGGAAGGACTTTGAAGATTAACCTAAAGGCAATGGAAACTTTTTCTGATTTGTTCAGAATTTTATCTTTTAAACGTGTATTCTGTGAGGAGAATGGCGTGGAAACGGGCAGAGAGGAGGCAGGGGTGGCAGTTAGGAGGCTTGTGTATGCAGATCTGGTGTGAAAGACGGAGGCACTGGGGATGGAAATGGGAGGCTTTCAGGGCTATTTAGAAGGCAGTGCAGCCCTGGCTGGTGTAGCTCAGTGGATTGAGCGCGGGCCTGCGAACCAGACAATTGCGGTTCGATTCCCAGTCAGACAATTGCGGTTCAATTCCCAGTCAGGGCACATACCAGGGTTGCAGGCTGGTTCCCTGCAGGCCAGTTCCCAGCAGGGGATGCATGAAAGGCAACCATACATTGATGTTTCTCTCCCTCTCTCCTTCTCCCCTTCCCCTCTAAAGATAAATAAATAAAATCTTAAAAAAAAAAAAAAAGAAGGCAGCGCAAACAGGCCTCGGTGATCGGATGGGGAGTGAGGAAGAAGGAAGAGTCAGGGACAGCTCATAGGTTCCTTATATGAGCACAAAGGTGCACTGTGGTTCACTCACTGAGGTGGCCTGACAGAGAGGTGGGAGTTTAGATGTTCATGTATGAAACAAATGTATTGATCTCAGCAAGGGATCACTTAATGTAGGTGCTGAGGAGAGTAAAGAGATGAGTAAAAGTCCTCCTGTCCTGAAGGAGAGCACAGTCTAGTAAGTGAAGTAGAAATATACACAAATAAATGCAATACAGTACAATCAGATCTCAAAAATATGCCTGACTTTTGACCAAGTAATCCAGTCCGGGAGAGTTATTTGTAAGAAATAATTCAAAAGAAAACAGTTAATCTATTTCATTTCAACAGACCTTTTTATTGGGCAACTGTTCACAGTAGACCAAGTGCCATTTGGCCTTGAGGAATCAAAAAAGAACACAATTCCTGACCTCACGGAACTCACGGTCCATTAGGAAAAGGGAAACAAGCACCAAATTAACTGTCATATGAAATGACACATCACCAGAGCCGGGTGAGAAGTGATGTTGGGTTGGCAGCAGGTCAGACTTCTCAGAACGGCCTTCACCCCCACAGGGTGGAGATACCTCCCAATGCTTCTCCTTGGAATAGAATTTGACCTTGAGGCAAGAAATGAAAGGAACTGAAATTTGTTCCGCTGGAGCCAACCAGGCCTCCCATTACCCGTTCGTGTCTACAGCCTGGGCTTTGTGTAGGAAAACAGAGGAGTCAGCTGGACTTGAGGGGAGACAGAGGATAGAGAGCAAGATGGGGGAGGAGGCACCTCATCACATGACCAGTGGTTATCTGTGCGTGGTAGGAATATAATATTTTGCTGTTTTTGTATTCTTTCTTTTATATGTGTTAAAGTTTTTTTCCCATGGGAAATACGTAGTTTTTTTGGTAATAAGGGAAAAGATATACATATATGTTTGCAGAGCAGGTTTCAGGACAAGAGTTCACATTTTCATGCTACTGGGAGAATCTAATTCTTGTGTGCCATTCAGTAAACCTGAGGATAAAAGAGACCAGGGGTTTTGTTTATTTTACTGTGTTTTGCTGTGTATAATGCCTGTCCACATTTTTGGCCCAAACTTTCAGGGGAAAAAAAAGCTTTCATTTGTACAGTATATAAATAGGGAATTAGTACTACCCATGTATAATGTGCATCCTTATTTTTTCCATAGAAAAATTGGGCAAAAAAGTACGCATTATACACGGCAAAATATAGTATAAGGCCTCACTGGACAGGGATTACATGCTTATGATCCAGTGTCAACACAGCTGGCTTTCAATTGTGGTCTGCTCCTGTGTGATTTAGGCAAAGTGTTTAATCTGTTTGAACAGAAGGTTCCTCATCTCTAAAATGGAAGTCATTCTAGTAGAGTTATCTCTTAGGGTTGATGGGGAAATTAAATAAGAAAATACAGTTAATATACAGTTGTCCCATGGTAACCCTGAGATGGGGTTGGTTCCAGGACCCCCTTGTATACAAAAATCCAGTATGTTCACGTCCCTTATATAAAATGGCGTAGTACTTGCATATAACCTGTACACATCCTCCAGTACTTTAAATCATCTCTAGATCACTCATAATGCCTAGTACAATGTAAGTGCTATGTAAATAGCTGTTATACTGTATTGCTTAGGAAATAATGACCAGAAAAAACATCTGTACGTGTTCACTACTGATCTCATAGGCCTAACTACGTAGTACATGTCAGCAACAAGGTAGCATTTACCCAGCCCCAGTACTTCCGATCTGGGGTTGGGTGACCGATGTAGGTGTGGAACCCCACACGTGGAGGGCAGCCTGTATGTTACGGCACATGATAAGCACTGAATAAATATCCAGTCGTTATTAGTGCTGTGTCCTTTATTTGCTGAGTTAGCATAGCCTGGCACGGCTCACTCCCTTCGCTCTCCTGGCAGACAGTGAGGATGACAGCCCCGAGAGTCTTTGGTTCAAAAAAACAATCAGTTTCTTGATGTTTTTCAGGATGAAGATGATCTGGCCAGCACCCTGATCTGGCCTGAGATTCAACAGGAGCTAAAAATCATTGAATCTGAGGAGGAGCTGTCCTCATTGCCACCACCTGCTCAAAACATCAGCCCAACTCAACCCATTTTTGAGTCCAGTCCAAGGCCTTTTGCTCCCCCCGAGCCACCTGGGAGTTTACCGTGTGTCTCCACCCCAGCTCCAGTCTCCACTCCTCTGGAGGAGTGGACTAGGGATCCAGCCAATCAGAGCACACAGGGGGCTCCCACAGCAGCCAATAGAGAAAAGTCAGAGACAACTAGCAGTCTCCATGGATCTGAGACTGAGAAGGGCCAGCGCCCAGATCCCACCAGCCTGGCTTCTCTGGAAATTGTTCCATTTGAAAGGGCTTCTCCACAAGCAAGGGTCAAGGGGGGAAGCCCAGGGAACCTGTCTCCTCTGATCCCGCCTGCTCCACCCCCTCCAACTCCTCTGGAGGAGGCACCTCAAGTCCAGGAATTGAAGGATGAGCCTGAAAAGGAAGATTCATCAAAGAATGTGAGGACAAATCCATATATAAACCAGCTAAAGTCCAAAGGCGGTCCTGGGATCCTTGGTCTTTGTCAGGGAGACAAGTCCTCTCCAGGACAAAGTGAGAAACAAAAGTCAAAGAATGCCCTTCCTGATGGAAAGGGCTCTGGCTTTCCAAGCCCAGCAAAGGAGGTGGAGATGTCCCCACAAGGGGAAGGGGATGCAGCCCATTCAGTACAGGAGCCCTCAGACTGTGATGAAGACGACACTGTGACAGATATTGCCCATCATGGCCTGGAGATGGTGGAACCCTGGGAGGAGCCCCAGTGGGTGACGAGTCCCCTTCATTCCCCTACCCTGAAAAATGTGCAAGAAGCCCAGGTGCAGGGCCCTCAGGGCCCCCGACTAGAGAACAGGCTCTCCCACAGGCCTGGCCTCCGTCAGAGCCATTCTCTAGATAGCAAAACCATGGCTAAGAGCCAGTGGACTCTTGAAGCTCCTTCCTCCAGCAGCTGTGTGAATCTTGAAGCAGAGAGGCATTCTGACCCTCTGCAGCCCCTGGCGGCCAGGAGAGAGCTGACTGGATGGCATGAGAAAGCCCTGAGAGCCTTCAGAGAGTTCTCTGGCCTGAAAGGGACAGAGGCTCTTCCCAGCCAGAAGGAACCAGGTAGTTTGCAGCCTAAACCAGCAGAAACCAGCCCTGTCAGCCCAGCAGAGGGAAAGGACCTGGGGGCACCCCTGGGACATGGCGACCCTCATACTGAGCAGGGTAGCGTTCCTAGACCAGAGAGCAGCAAGGAGAGCTCACCTAGTGCACAGGACAGCACCTCACGTGGGGAGCATCCCCCAAAGTTACCGCTGAACAGCACTGAGTGTGGGCCCCCCAAAGGGAAAAATAGGCCTTCCTCCCTCAACCTGGATGCTGCTGTTCCCATCGCTGACTTCTTCCAGTTTGAGAACGTGCCCTCATTTGGTTCAACTGGAATGCAGGTCCCTGAGCCAGAAGACCCAAAGGTCACATGGATGACTTCACCTCACTGTAAAGTAGACCCCTGGAGGGTTTACTCCCAGGACCCTCAAGACCTGGACATCGTTGCTCATGCCCGGACAGGCCGCCGTAACTCAGCTCCCGTCAGTGTATCAGCCGTGAGAACCTCCTTCATGGTCAAAATGTGCCAGGCCAGGGCCGTCCCAGTCATCCCACCCAAGATTCAGTACACACAGATCCCACAGCCACTGCCCTCTCAGAGCCCAGGGGAGGAGGGTGCTCAGCCTCTGGAGGGGAGCCAGGAGGAACCCAGCTCAGCTGGTGGGACTTTTCAGAAACCTGCCAAAGATGATTCTCTCTCCTCCTTGCAAAGCCCAAAGGAAGAGAAACCAAAGCAAGACACGGCAGCCATGGAGTCCTTGCCAGCGGATGCCACTGCACCCCTTTCCCCAGAACCAGGTTTGGCTAACCCGCTGTCCACCCAGGATGCAGCAGTGCAGTGCCGAAAGCGCATGTCAGAGACAGAGCCATCTGGGGACAACCTTCTTTCTTCCAAAATAGAGCGACCGTCAGGGAGTTCTAAGCCTTTCCACAGGTCAAGGCCAGGAAGACCTCAGAGCCTAATCTTATTCAGCCCTCCTTTCCCCATCATGGACCATCCGCCTCCTTCTTCCACAGTGACCGATTCCAAGGTCCTGCTGTCTCCTATCAGAAGTCCCACCCAGACAGTTTCCCCTGGTCTTCTCTGTGGGGAGTTGGCAGAAAACACGTGGGTCACGCCAGAAGGGGTTACGCTTAGGAATAAAATGACCATTCCGAAGAACGGCCAGAGACTAGAGACCTCAACCAGCTGTTTCTACCAGCCTCAGCGGAGATCAGTGATTCTGGATGGAAGAAGTGGGAGGCAAATAGAATGATTCCAGGTCATTTGCTGGTGTCTGAAAAAAAAAAAGCCATGACTCGTCTGGGACTTATTACAGGGCCAACTTAGCATTAGTCCAGACACAGGTTATCCACGTTTGGGCTTATTTTGGCTGCTGCTTCTCTTCAGCCTTTTGGCCACTTATTAATTAGTCAGGTAAGGAAGAGGATGAAACGCTTCCTCCGGTGAGAAAATTGGGGCTCGTCTGGGTGTCGCATCACTCCCCCCCTTGCCATTATCTATTACTGTGCTGAGCTGGAGGTGATAATGACTTTTGAAAGAAAAGAGAAATCCTTTGTCTATTGAAAAATGTTGCTACTGAGGTTTGAAAGCCTCTTTACTTCGTGCTTTTTAATGCTCTTTAAAGCATGTGTTCTTTTAGACCAGTTTTCTGATAAGCTTTGTAAAAGTGTAGTATCCGGAATAGAAGCAGATTTGGAAAAGCTAACTAATGTACACGTAGATCTCCCAGTGGGCAGATTTACTCCTGCTCCTCCCTGAAATTCCCGCTGGCCTGCCCAAGATGGCTCCATGTACCGGCCTAGAAAATCAGAAAACCCTACGCAAGAGGAAACTCTGAGACTGGCACAATTTATGAAGAATTTCTGGCTCTGGCTTTTATTAATTTGGGACTCAAACGGCCGCTATTCTGACCTCTGACTTATAAATCCAGCACCTGGACAGGGTGGGTGGTGAGCTGAGGGTTACCTAGAGAAATGTGTCAAGTCTTCCTTTATGTAAACAATAGTGAAGTGATCTGCTTTCATTCCAATATCACAGGCCAAAAACGGTGTCATCGTAAAGAAAAGCCTCACAAGTAGGCAGAGCTACTCTCCAAGGTGAATGTTCAGTTGGTGGGGCATTAGCAGAAAGCACGTCTAGGTCAGCTTCCCTCTTCTTACACACTAGGCTGGGACGGGAGTGGGGGAGAGAGAAGGAAGAGCTCCAGGAGGGGTGGGGAAAGAGCCCTGGCAGGGCGGCCTTCCCCACCACTTGATGGCCCCTGGCTCTCCTGCTGAACATGCATTTCGTGTTAGCCAGTGGGCCCGTCCCTCCCTCCTGCTCCCCGCATTGCCGAAGGACAGATTTGAGGCTCTGTTTCTTCCACACACACACCCCCACCCACCCCAGGCACTCAGACTTGCCCTTCTCCTGTCTGTTTAAAAGCAGAAGCAATAAACCAATCTGCTTTTATGTCAGTTATTTAGAACCTCAAGTGGCTCTTTCCTTTTCAGCTGCAGAGAGGAAAAAGAACTAATAACCTGCTGGCAGATTTTTGGTGCTTCCCCATAAAGGGCCTCACAGGAGCACACCCCATCAGGGTTATCAACATTTCACCTTCTAAGATAGCTATCTTGTTTGGAAAAAAACAAAGAAAAGTAGACCTATTTTTAGCCCTGTGCACCTCCTCTCAGATTCAAGTCTGGTTGAACTTTGTACAGAAGCTCAGTCATTGCAGAAATTTCTCTGAAGAGTCAGCAGTACCTCTGGGCAGACCTCACAACCAAGGCGGTCTGCTGGGCTGGGTAGGAGGTGAACTAAAGTTATCTCCTCCAGTGAGAAACTGGAAGCTGGTGCCTTGCAACAGACACACAGTCCTCTCTCCCTTCTTGCCTGATAAGCCTTAGAAACGGTTTTGAAATCTCACCCTATACCTTTTAAGCCACTGTCTATCACAGGGGTACACGTCTCCGGCAGGGACAGGCCAGCTGATGAGTTCTGCTTTCAGAGGCACTGAGGTGAGTGAGCAGGGGGAGCAATCAAGAGGCCGTTGGTCGGAGTCTCTGCATTCTCATTAGCTGAGCAAGGCATCAGACCAACAGCCAACGAGATGTCAACCCCTAAGAAAAGTCCTGGAGTAGAGCATTTTCCCCCCTGGGGAAGCAAAGTGAAGAAATATAGTGGTGACAGATGAGAAAGGCCATGTTCTGGAGATTTGAAAAGTACATTCCGGCCTTATCAGCAAGTGTGGGCAGACAGGCTTTCTATCAGTCTCAGTGGGCTGTGGAGTCTACACTTTGATGAGGGTCACGTTCCAGTTAGAATGTGATAGAGGAAGGGAACTGCACTTTGCATCACCATCAGAACTCTGAGCTGAGTAATGGAATATTTAAACTACTTTGTTATTATTTTAAATCTTTGTAACATGTACAGAATGTTTTTATTTGGGCATAGACTGAGAAGCCACTATTTACATGTTAACACGTGAGTCCAATTTGAGGTGCCCATGTTGATTTGTTAAGTGGCCACCATGTTCCTGAGACTGGCATCTTTCGTTTGTGGCATCATCTTCAGGAGCGTGGTGGGGGTGTGGACATCATCATGTGACACAATGACCGCTGTCTGGAGATACTTCCTACTCCGAGCTTTCTGGGCAGTCGGTACAGAAGGCCTAGGGAGCGGACTCACTCCGCAGTGGGTGTGGCGCTGCTGGAGTGCACACCTCTCCTCTGACTGCCTCCCAGCCCGGCAGCTCTCACACACGTGCTCATGCGCTTCCCACAGCCTGGCGCTGAGGGAACTCCATTCCGATGCAAAGAAAACCTACTATATATCACCCCTGAGATTGTTCCTCCAAGTGTCCTGAGGTTACCTGTCCGGTCACCCACCTGGGACTGAAATGAGAATGGCTGGTTGGGAATCGGAGCCCCCCAGGGGAGGGAGAGGACAGGGGAGGCGCTGCTGTTTTTAGCAGGATCTACGGAGCGCCCTAGAAAGGGCTGCAGAATCACATTCTCTAAGGGCGACTTCGAATCAACCATCAGTCCTCAAAATGGGGTGGGGGGTGGCGGCTGATATTAAATGTTGGATTTGAAGTGTTTCCTGTCAGCGTCAATGGTTGCTTAAGATAATAACCTATATTTATTGACAAAATGGCCTTTACAGGCCAACCTTTTTTTTTTTCCCCCAAATGGACTAGATAGAGGGAATTGGATTTTATTTTGTTTCACATGGAATATGAAGAGATCTGACCAAGAACCCCTTTAAGCCCAAAGGGGTTAGGCTAAAATTCTAAACTGTTAGCCTAAAATTCTAAACATTGATTACATCAAAATTCTGGATCCCGGGGAAATTAAAAATGTAAACATCATTCCCCTCAACAGAAAATATTTATCAAGAGCTTAATAATACTGCACTGGGTATTTAAGAATTCTTAAATTCTTGAAGAGTCTAATGAAAAGGGGGAGAAGGGATGATAGCAAGTGAAACAGCCTGTAAAGAACCAGGAGCAAGATTTCAAACCATTAAGTTATGAAAATGAACGTGGAAGGGAGAAAATGTAGCAACTAGCATCTTTTAATAGGATTATTAGTGTTCAAGTCACTGTGATCAAATTAAAGGCAACCGCAAATCCAATAGAAAGTGCTAGGGAGACATTCAGGTGCTGAGATAGATTTTTTGCTTTGATCATTACAAAAATTAGAGAGTAGTAAGTAAGTATAGTTTTGCATGGTCTTAACTGGTTTGGTTGTGAAGTCCTGTTGGATCTCTGCAAATCTGCAAGGTGATACCAGTGTTCCATACGTCTTGAGTGGTTTCAGAGCCTCCCGCCATCACAGAAGGGGTTAACTCCTGTTGATGAATTTTAGGTCCAAGGTAAACTATTACTTTCACGTCTAATGTTTAGCACATGGTAATCACATTTGACTAAAACTGCAAGGGACAGTCATTTGTGCACCACAGGCCTTGGGTTCCTCCCTGAAGAGGGACAGGGGAACAAAGATTCAGTTATCTGGGATTGCAATGGGAGAGGGTCCAGTAGGTCCAATTCCCATCAGGATTGATTAGAGCCAGACTCCACCACAGTCTGTCCTATCCGATGACAATATAAATCTTGGGGTTAAGTGTTGCCAGGAGCATAATTTCAGGCACTTCCAACAGGAAGCTCAGCTCACAATGCGGAATAACAAAGAATGTGTCCTCGTCGGCACCTTTTCCAGCAAAGACAGGCCAGGAGAGGGAGTGAACACCTTTCCAAGCATGAAGAGGAGTGGGAGACAGGAGGAGGCGAATTGCCTGAGATCAGTGTCAGCCCAACAGGATAAAACTGAGGAACATCAGAGACTGACTGGCTCCCAGATCACTTGGTAGCTTGGACATTTATGAGCAAGGCAGAGATCACTTCTCTACGAGGCTGAAGGAGGTGGTTACTAAGTAGGAGAAAGCCATGAAGTACATAGCCATGCATTTTACTGGAGGAATCACAATGCTTTGCAATAACTTAATGTCACAGTACTTCCTGGTGTATAACTCTACAAGGTAAAGAAGCACTTTTTCAAAGGAGTTGATTAGAAAGCCAAATGATTTCAGCTGTTTGTTGAGCTTAACAGATGTTTCCAAAGATATAATCAAAATGTTTTTCTATTAATTAAAAAGTATAAATATTAAACCTATCCATAGAGACATTTAAGTGTAATTAAAACAGATTGTTATGCTTTTTAAGATGTACTCTAATAAATGATATAAAATTAATGCTTATGATGGCGCTATGAACTGGAGGAGGACATGCGGTCATTGAAACCCACAGCGGGGGTGTATTATGTGCGTCGGGCTTATTGTTCTCTTTGAGGTCGGGCTTTTTCTTTTTTAACGTCAGGGTTTAGTTTCACAGCCAAATTCCTGATGATTTGCTTTAGTAAATTTTTTTTGTTTTCATTTTATCACTTAGTAATTGTCAAACACTTGCAACTTCCTCTCTTACAGTTGCGATCACACGCATCACCCAAGATATGCAGCATAAATCAGTGCATATTGTACGGAAAAATGAGAGAACGAACAAGCTATGGCTTCTCAAAACTCCACAGCTTCAGAGCTTGAGAAATTTAGGTCCACCTACACAGAAGTGAACTGGAGTTTTTCTATTATTTGAATCAATCAAAAGGGGCTATTCTTTCATTTGAGTGACTATTTATTGATGGCCTGGGGGGTAAAAAAAGCAAAAAATTGTAATCTTGGCATATATTACAACCAAAAAAGGGAGAGCGGTACTCAGTATGTTGAAACGGGACACTTAGAAAAACAATTATGCAATCCAGGCTCACGAGCCAGCTGTATTGGCAGTGAAGGATATCATAGCCAAGGGAATAAAAATACCAACATTTTGGTTACAGTATTCTGTTTAGAACCTCACACCTCTGCAGGCCGGCTCCCGTCAGCCTTCACTATGGCCCTGCGTGCCTTTCTCCCCTGTACACTCCCAGGTGCCCTGTCCTCTGCTCCTCCCTCCCGAGTGCCCTCTCCCACCCCAACTGGGGCCACTCCTAATGTTTCCAGCAGTTGTTCTGGACTCCTCCTTACAGTCTCTTCACTGAATGCTGCTTCCACTTCCTGGGCTTCAGTAACACTTGACACTCCATTTCTTTCCCTGAACAAAAAGGCTGCACATTTTCCCCAAGTTACACAGACTACAAAGAGTTGAGATGTTTTCCAGTTTCTCACTTCTGCACCATTGTCTTTCCCTTTCACACAAAATCCTTTACTGAAACGAATGGCATCCAGCTATTTTAACTTTTATCGTTCTTTGTGGCCACGACATGGTCACCGTCCCAGCTTTTCCAACGGCCCAGCACCAGGCCGTTTCCTCTCTACCTCATGCCCCACCTTCATTCTGCATGACGTCAATATTCCTGAGGAAAACCCACCCAACACCTTTGCCACAACTGCTAACAGCTCTTGCTTCTACTCCATTTTGGCTATTCCATGGTCACACACCGGACTGTTTCACAACCCAGAACTTGGTGGTCCTATTATAGTCATATTCCATTCTCAGAACTTCTCCTATCCTTGCTCCTTTTTTTTGCTTTTACTTGCTCAAGATCACTGATGCCTGGTCCACTCCTGCTCTTTCTGACAGACATAGCCCCACCAGACTGCGCCCCAGCCTTCCCAGACCCCGAGGTGCATCAGCTCAACTATTCTCATCTCAACCCTTAACTCCCTTCACTGCTAATCCCTCAGCCATCCCCGCCTGGCAAACCTCCAAATTAGAGCCAGGACCCTTACCGCCCATCTTCTCTACTCTTTCACTCTCCCTTTTGAGTTACACTGATCATAAAACCATGGTACAAAAGAGCCTTTGGAAATTTATGGTTTACCACCTCAGCAGCGGCCTTATTCCCAAACCTCACAAAGGCTGTTCCAATCCCTTCGTACGTGGACTCCCCACCCCCCAAACCGATTACTGCTTCTTCAGCGTAAGTTGACGCTATCAGGTATTTCTTCCATCTCCCACTGCCACTTCCCCTTATCCACGTGTGAACCTAACCCTTCTAGCTCAGAGGAAGTGCTCTTACTGTTCCCAAGGGCTCCCCTCTTTCACATTCCCAGAAGAGGGGAATTCTGGGGTTCCCAGAACCCCTCTTTCACATTCATTACTTATTCCAGTTCTCTACTCTGGACCAGTTGCAGCCTGACCACCACTTCTATTGCTCCATTAAAATTTCTCTTGCTAAAGTCACCAGTGGTCTAACCACCAAATCCAAGAGTTTTTTTCTAATACTTGATACTGCTTACTGTTCCTCTTCTTGAAACTAGTTCACTTCTTTGGATTACTTCCCTTTTCTTAGTCTGGTTCATTTGAAAGGTGCCTCTTCCTCTAAATGTTCACCAGAATCCTACCCTTCCTTCTCTTTCCACTCCACATACTTTCCCTACGTTCCTATTCACACCCATGGCTTTTTCTATCACCCATGCAGTGGTGAAACCCCACCTTCCAATGCCTCCCGCTTGGACTCATTAAATGGTTGGCTAACCAGTCTCTGCGGTCTCACCGGCATCCTCCCGTTTTCCAAACCTCCCCTACTTATTGCTGTCAAAGTCTAACATAGGATAGGGATTCTCTTCAAAATCACCTGGAGACTGTTAAAACAGGCTTACAGACTCCACCCAGAGTTCTCAGTAGGTTCAGAGCAGGGATTGAAATTTCCCATTTCTAACGAGTTCCCAATTTTATGATGCTGATGCTCCTGGTTACTCTTGGAGAACCCTTGACCTGAGAATCCTTTGGGTCATAATCCTTCAGTTTAAAATCTTCATTAGCTGTCTTCTGTCCACAAACGTTCCCAGGGCTGTCTGCTTAAGAATTACTTTTGGGAGGTGCATATTATTGGACTTCACCCTCAAAATTTTGAATTAGTGGGTCTGACGCACTGTCCAAGGGCCACCCGTGACCTACAGGACACAAAAATCCAAACCTCTTAAAGTGGAATTCAAGGCTCTCTGTAATCTATTCCTCACCTAGCTCTCCAGTATTACCGAACTATGTATTTAAATACGTAGTGCAAATCCATGCCTAACTTTCTGTATATACTGTTCTCACTGCATAAACCCCACCTCCCTCACCCACATGGCAAACACCTAGTCTTCCTCCAAATGCATCACGTGTTACTGCTGCAAACAAGGTGTCCAAGCAGTTGATTGCTCCCTTTTCTGCCTCACTTCTTGGATATGCTTCCTTTACTGAACAGCTTTGTGTTGACTTGTCTGCCCTCCATTAATTAGTTAATGAACTCTGAACATCACTGTCACCCAGTGTCTGGCACATAATCACCCAGCAAACAAACGGGGAGTGGGGCAGGGGTGGTTGACGGGGAGCAGAAGCTCAGGGCATACAACACGGAACCAGGGTAAACAGAAGGTTCAGAAACATTTCCATTGTGCTTGTACCTAACACGTTTACTCACCTAAAGCCACCCAGACAACTGGTCAAGCATCTTCTTTCCTTTCTCAGTATCCCACATTCACCCAATTGGTTTTTTTGCTATACTATCCCCCCGCCACGCTATTTAACTTCCCAGCATATTAACAATTACCAAAAAAAAAAAAAAGGCCCTTCTTTAATGGGTATGTGTCTTCTACTATCACCAAGTAAAGATGGTGCCCTTCCTTTCACGTGACCTAGTAATTTTCCTCTCCCCCATCTGAATGCGGCACCTACGAAGACAGTGTAAATGAACAGGAGCACGATTAACTGAAGGGCAACACCTCCCTGATGCTGTCCTATCTGGAAGGAGGGGGGAGCACTTTGCAATTCCATTAACCAAAATTTTTATTTTTCTTATATGCTGTCATATGTTTAGCCAACCTGGCCTCTGGTTCTCCTGTGCTGTTCCTTTAGGATATGGCCAAGACAGGTCAAAATCATGTCCGCTTACTATCTCTGATCAGTTACCTGGGCTGCTTTTCAGTGAAAGATCCAACTTGGAACCATTTTTATGAAACATCTTTGTGCCCAGGCCACCCAGTTGGTTTTAGCTATCAAGAAATCTCATCAAAATGTTTGCTAGTCAAGAGCATACCTTCAAGATCCTAAGGAAAGATGATAAAGATGGCAATTTTCCACATTCCCCCATTCCAAGAGCAACATTTAGGTTGAAATACTTTATAAAAACCAGCACACTGGTTATCTCACTATGTTGCCAATATGCTGAAATTGTTCCCACCTCTGGGCCCTGCCCTTGCTGTTACTGTAACATGGGATTCTCCTCAAAGCTATTTATATGGCTCATCTGGTTCATCTGGCTCAGCCTTGCTTCATCTGGACTTTGCTCAAAATCATCTCTTTATAGATGCCTTCTAGCAATGCCACTCTTTGCACTTTCTATTTCCTTGCCCTGATTTATTTTCTCTTTACCACACTTACTACCACCACCAGGAGACATTATATTATAAACTCATTTATGGCACAATTTACACCCCTACTTCCCATACTGAAAACTATGAGGGTAGGGTCTTGCAGTGCTTATTCACATAGCGCCGAACATAGTGCCTAGGAGTCAATATAGATTTTGTGGGGGAAAAAATTTTTTGGCAGGGGGTAGAGAAAGAGAGAGAGAAACATCAATGCACGAGAGATTCGTTGACCAGCTGCCTCTCGCACACCCCCAACTCGAGACCTGGCCTGCAATCCAGGCACGCGCCCTGACCAGGAATCAGACTGGCGACCTTTTGGTCTGCAGGCCGGCACTCAGTCCACTGAACCACACCAGCAAGAGCACTGATACAGATTTTTTAAATGGCTGAATAGACTCAGACTGAATGCCAAACAGTTTAACTTAAAAAAAAAAAAAGTATACACATCCAAATATTTAAGGAAAAAGTTGTTAATTTAAACATCACAGTCACCTTAGGTAGCTGTATACATACCTACTACTCACAATGCTGCCTTCACTAAAAATCTGCTGAGTTTTTCTGCAAGAATTATTTTTGGATCCAGTTATGAATTACATGACTGGTCTTTTTACTTCATAAGTCATACTGTGTTTCACCAGTTTCACAGTGTGAAAAAGCCAACCAAGCACAGAAATATATAAGAATATACTCAGGCTCTCAAAACAAGGCCTCAGAAGCTTAGATGACCAGTGACATCAACTGACTGAGTACATCACCTCTCAAGAACATGGACTGAAACAGGTTAACGCTCACACACACACACGAAGGTTCTGAAGTATGAAATTAAAAACACATTTTGGCCCTAGCCAGATAGCTCAGTTGCTTAGAGGGTTGCCTTGATATACCAAGGTTTCGGGTTTGATCCCTGGTCAGGGCACAGTGAACATATCGGTGGGTGGAAAAATTGATGTTTCTCTCTTTTCCCCTCTAAAAAATCAATAAATTTAAAAAATTTAAAAAACACACACACACATTTTGGGCACAGACCAAATTGCCAGAGGACATAGAATATAAGAATTATAATTCTTATAATTTACTTCCACTCATGCCACCGTGGCTGGGCTGCCGCTAAACCGTATCCCTGGTTGCCTATCAGTGGACTTGCCCATTCTTCCAGTTACTCAGTGTCTTTGACCTGCCCACACTCCAGCCCACGTGGCATTTGCACCCCACCTTCTCCCATGGATCTGGCTATACACCATCTTCTTCATGAGGGTGGGCATATTCATAAAGACTTTCTGTCTTAAAAAGTATTATTTCAAACAGCTAAAAATCAAAAGCTAATCTTTAGAGGAAAAAGAAATAAAGGAACAGGGAAAATGACAGCAATATCCTGAGTTTCAGATAGTAGCTTATTCAAAAGTACATTTAAATGGCACAGCGCTGAAGAGATCACTGAGTTCCTATTCCAGAAATGCTTCTTCCCAGTAGGCAACAAAGAGAATCCCACTTAGGACTACATGTAGCTTACTCCTTGCCCCGTGTACTCCAATTCTATCTGCCGGCCGGAGAAAGAGAATGGGTGCGGGCAGGCAACTCCACTGATCTTCCTTTCTGCAGGAATAAGGTCAGCTGGGGACTGAAGATAACTAGAAGGACTGAAAGCAAAGGAGACACACCAAAGGTACTACATCAAGTGGTATATGAGCTGTGTTCATAAACGAATGAGCTATTCTGGAGCCATACAAACAAATCAATCTCTTTACTGGAGAGGCACACCTCTCATCTGTATATTATTTGAATATACTAACACATGAAAGATCACATCACCTTGTTTATGGATACATTTAATATCCCTTACCCTTCCCACCTTCAAAACATAATAGTATACAAAATATAAAATATCTTAAATATTTATAAAAATTGCGAGAAAAAAATAGAACGTATGAAAATATTTTTATCTGAGTTCTCCCTCATCGTTGAGAGGCAGCTTAGTTCGCCTTGAGTTCATAACTGTTGAGTGGATAGGAGTACGCCCTGCCTAACACTATCCTGTCCCGGAGGAGCTTAAATAACACATAGTAGTTGCAGAAGAGTATGAGAGCCATGGAAAGCGTGTGGTTCCACTTCTCCGACCTCAGTAAGGAATAGAGCTGGTAGAAGACGACACTGCCCTCAATGAGGATAAGCAGATTTAACAGCCTTAATGGACGATGAAATAGGAACTGTAAGGAAATCAAAAAGCAAATGTTATTTCACAGTGAAGTACACTTCAGTTATTCTCGCTTTTTTCCTAAAACAATCTCATATTTGCAGGTTCCGATATGTAGTAACAGACAGATCTGATTATTGAGTATCAACCAGGCTTTTTCTTACAGTAGAGACCCAAACCTTTTCCTTTTTTGCTCAAAGAATAATGAAATAAATTTTATTTCAATGCCCCTGAGATACAAAAAGGGATCATACTGGTAAGAACTGTGCCTCTAAAGATTTTTCTTAGATTTTAGGTATCTATTTTATTTGAGATAACCAACAGTATAACAATCTAAGACAACAGCTGGATAAAGGGCCAAACGGAAAATATTTTAGACTTTGCAAGAGGCAAAAACTGAGGACATGATGGCAGTACTTACACAGCCATTTAAGATGTAACCATTTAAAATCTAATGTGACTTTGTGGGCTGATCCAAGCCAAACTGACATATACGACAGAAATTTATTAATTTTTCTTTTTTTAAAAGATTTTATTTATTTATTTTTAGAGAAAGGGGAAGGGAGGAAGAAAGAGAAGGAGAGAAATATTGACATGTGGTTGCCTCTCACATGCTCCCTACTGGGCGCCTGACCTGCAACCCAGGCCTGTGCCCTGACTGGGAATTGAACCAGTGACCATCTGGTTCTCAGGCTTCTGCTCAATCCACTGAGCTACACCAGCCAGGGCTAATTTTTCTTTAAAACTATTTTTACCCACCATAATCACTAACTTAAATCCTCTACACCAAGTGTTCTGGTGTTTTGTTTTTCCTGGATACTGAAAAGCAGAGTGCAGAAATACAGGACAATAAGAAAGAAAGGGGAAACTAGTCATAAACGGAGTTTGGCCAAAAACAGGTCTCACTGCTTTCACACCAACCAAACTCTTCACTCTAAGAAACTAAATTCTGGTTTACTAATAAAAATGTATTATGAATAAAAAGAGAGAGGTCACAGGTTGCAAGTTATGGTAATGGTAGTATGTCACATCTAAAAGAAATCATTTAGAACTGAAGGCTCTAATCTGAGGATAAAGCCAAATGACTACGACAGCTCTGAAAGGCAGCAAAACGCTCCTCAGGCTCTGTTGTGAGAAGGAAGAAAATGTTTAATCTGGGCTTCATTACATGATATCCAGTAATATCATGTCTAAAATTGGCTCAGAATTAATATCCTATTGTAAAAGGACTCAGTCAATTTCAGATTGTGTGGTAATTATAACAATTATAATTTTAAAAAACAAGCTTGACATTCTAAGAGCCATAAGCCAGAGGCGCATTTTAAATGACTGCTACCAAACATCAATGTGCCTAAGAATCATTTCCAAACATGTCAATGCTGAAAATTCCTGGATGCTTCACAGATTCTGATTCAGAAATCTGGGGTTGGGACCCCCATCACTGGTTTTAAAGAGTGAACCAGGTGACTCATATGCAAGTGGCCCAAAGACCACTTTGAGAAGTACTGATTTACTTGTCTGGTCTCGCACAATCAGTATTAAGTTAACTTCCCTAATCCTCCTTCTTTGGATTCCACCTGATTCTTCAACTGCCCAGTGCTAGCAAGGAAAATACTTATTTTTCAAGCAGAAAATGCTAATAAAACATCTGGTTATTATAGGTTTCAAGGGGACAGCAAGGACCAACAGAAGTAATTAATGGTTTCTGGAAGTCAGCTGGATGAATTAAATATTCTGTGCAGAAACCAAATGCTCAAGCAGTTATGACTCAAGTCTACTCCTCCATCTTCAGACAACCCCACAGGACTCTAGGAGATGCTTGTAGTTTCCTCACTAAAGGGTCTTTTACCTCCCACATGTTCCTCCCAACTCACCCCGCCCCCTCTTCATGGCATTTACAAGCATCCTGCCCTGATGCAAGTTCACAGTATTTAATTAAAAGGCCTTTAGTAGTGAACACCCGTAGAACCAAAAGTTCATGTACCTTCACAAGGAACATGAGAGAAAGGGTCAAAAAAAAAGTATCTAAAAAAAAAAACGATCTCCGATTCTCTTAGACTACGACCTCCATTCAAGGGCAATGTGCTGCACTACGGCATTTTTAGTAAGAATGGTCCCTGCACGCACCTTTGCTGCCCCCACTCCCACCGATCACTTGGCCTTTCTCTTATAAGTAAATACTTCTGCCCCCTAGAGTCAGAATTTCTGGAAAATGAAGATCAAATGGAACATAACCCAAGGTATAAACTCAAATGGGTGAGAAGCTGGGTTTTAGCAGGTATCTATTGCTTTCCTTTTTAACTTTTAAGCCTTTTTTCCTTTTAATTCAGGAAAAGGTAAAAGTTAGGCTGCTGATCACGGCATTTGTCTAACTTTCAAAGAGGAAGTCAAGGTATTTTAAGATGATACATATCACAAATATCAAAAAAAAAGCCAACCCCAAAGCATCATATTACATTACTGTACTAAATACTGCTTAAGGATACAGATACATTATAATAAGGATACCATTAAAGAAAACTATTAAACATAAAAAATATAAGATAAAAGGGAAAATCTTAAATAATTGTCTACTCAAATCAAGTAATACTACTAGACTCAATAACTTCTAATGTAACTAGACCAGTCAAGCTACTGAAGCTGGATATTTGACCTTCAAACTGCCTTTCAGAAGACATTTCCAAAGAACCAAGGCCATTAGTATAGAAGCAATAATCACATTATATCACTGTAATTTCCTATATGTGCTTCACACTGTGCTAGATGCTTACACATGATGGCCTTCTAACACTTAACCCTAAGTGTATGTTTCAAAAGAAATAAGTGGTACTTGCATAGAAGCGGGCATGGGACACATCTGAAGGCACTGCCACGTTGTAAGGCCCCATGGCTCTATATAAGCATCTGCTGTGTCGCACCAGCACCCCTTGAGGCCATATTGTATTTTCTGACCAACTAAGGGAGAAAGAAATGCAATGTTAGCATATTGGCGATTACAGATAAGATAGTGTCTGGCAACGCCAGCTATATTTCTATAGAAGAGATTAAGTACTCAAAGCTTCATCTGTCTGAATTCTGAAAAGAGAGTCTCCTATGGTCAAACTGGAAAGAGTTAAAAAGAATTTGTTATTATAACTTCACTGCTATACAGTAGAGAGAGGTTACAAAGTGATACAGTTAAATCAATGACAAAGAACTAAGAGGCTTAGGAGAATGGGCAGAACTAAAAACGTAAGTAAGGTATCTATGAGCCAGAAAATCAAGTGTAAGCAAGTAGACTGTCATCTCAATCTCAAGTGAGCAGAGTCTACCAGTGGCAACGCTAGAGGGAACAAACAACGAAGAGAAAGTGGAAGGCTGTAAGAGGAGGGGAGAAAATCACAGGTTGTCAAGCTGGCGTGACATTTACTGCAGAATTGCAACCCAAAAAGCTATACAGAAAATCAGTTTATCACATACTTTTAACGCTTCGTATATGCAAGAAGCTCTATGGAACAACACAGACACACACGAGGTACAGACACAGACTTCTCTTTTTACCGCTTTCTTGGTTTATTGTTATAGAGGTTTCTCTAGGAAAAAGAAGTTATGGAATAAGCTTCATTCTTTCCAGGACCAATGTAATGTAGTTGGGGTAGGGATGGGAATTTTCAGGTTAAGCTTTAAAAAAAAAATCTAAGTTAATTCATCTCTTCCTGATTTTGGAAAAGTTAGTTTCCTGAAAGAACTGGGACAGCATTTTAGATATGTTAAAAAATTCTAGCACCCTGAAGCTTTCCCAGCTCAGAAAATGTTCCATCAGCCTTGCTCACACTTACCAGCATTAAAGTGATGATACACCTCATGGCCATGTGCCATCAGGAGCCTGAAGATGTACAGTACTAGTACTGTGGATTGTATGTTCAATTTTTATTGAAATTTGTCCTTTGCCCACAGTTGGGTTTCTTTCAGCCTGGCCCAATCTCTTTTCAGTTCCTGATCTTGAAGGCCTGTGCTAATCTGTATCAGACATCAAGGCAGATAATTGAAGGGAGGACTGTGAGGAGGAGAAGGGAGGGGAAGGTCACCTCCATCTGTCCCACTTAATTAGGAAAGAACTTCTAGGTGAGGAAATTTGTGAAATGTTCAAATTATAAAAAGGGGGGAGATGAGGATGGTCCAGATCTGAGAGAAAGGCATGATGAAGGCTCAGCAATGGGAGAATAAAAGGGTTCTAACGTTAGCCATTTTGGACCATAGGAACCAGACAGAGAAATGACTGATAAGGGGACACAGTGAGAGGAATACTCAGTAAGCAATCAGGGACAGTTTACATTTAAATGAGAAAAGCAGAGAAATATTCATTAGCAATTTTATAAAGGAAAAAAATTAAAAATGCAGGAAAATGACTAGAACAAATCTGCATTTATTAGAAAGGAAAGATGAGAGAAGCAAATTCCAACTGCCTACGTGTGAGATGATAAGCTAGCAACCATTTAGCTACAGCAATGAAGATGAGAAGATGAATCTTACAGTCTCCTAAAGAGAATTAAAAATAGATCATGACTCTGAATTTGGCCGAAGGGTTAAGACTAAAAGCAAACTCCGAGATGATAGACTGGGAAACAAATTAGGCCTTCGAGAGTTCAGGCCTTCTAGAGTGACTGGGCAGCTGACAAGTAGGAGGCATTTAAGGAGGCACTAGGGATGGCGGTGGAGATGAGTTAACGTCCCCTGTGTTCAGTTTAGAGTGATGACAAGCATCCATGTAGACAAAAACCAAAAACTAAATGTTCAAAGCCAAGAACAAGAATGACATACAAAGCAAATAAACATGACCAGCAGCATGTGGAGAGGTGTTACGTGGTTTTACCCTCTGGCCTACTCACATGTGCTGCGGAGCATTGCTGTAGGACCCATGTTCGAGCTTCTGCCACTTGCCCAGATGAGCGGCTGATTTATGTAGCAAATCACAGTATTTGGATGGCAGTAGTTGTGTGGTAAGCATGACAAAAGCATTGATCCATACCATAATGAGGTGCTCGCACGACCAGCGCATGTCATAGTACTGGGTACTCTGGAAGAGATCAGAAGAGAGAAATGATCCATGCACTGGTGAGCAAGAAGGCAGAGATGGGTGTGTGTACGTATGCCCTGCAGACAAATGCCACACTGAGTCACACATGCATTGGTTGTCCTGCTGTCTGTGCAGAAAGTTCACCAGCAGGCTCCTCCAAATGCTTCAACCTGACTTTCTGACTGTATGAGTTAGGGCTGGGAGGGAGAGGCGATTATGTTTTAAGTGCTTCCTTTCTAGAAGAAGTGAGGGCTCTCTGTGAATGATCACTCCGGCTGCAGACGTGCTTCTCAATGGGTGAAGAAAGGGCACTAAAATGTCCCAAAAGACTTTGGGCCAAGTGACATCCAGACCATTTTTCTTTTCTACTGAAGTAAACTGAAGTTTAGACAAAAGTTAGATTAAAATCAAGGAAATCCTGATAACCATGTTAAGATCAACCACAGTAGGCTAAATGATATTGAAATCTCAGTACTCTTTTAACCTACTAAATACTGACTCTATTATAAGTACAAATTTTATTCTCCCAGGAAACTGGGGGAAAAAAAGGAAGGAAAAGAAAAAAGGAGGGGACCACCACGGGTGCATCACATATATGGAAATACCTATCCGCCAACCAGGAGCGGTACTAGTGCACTCCAGATGCAGCCGAACTCCACCATCCAGGCTGCCAAAGGGGAGACAGAGAAAAGGGGGAATTAAATAAGAAACACCCAGTTTATGTCATTCACACACAAATCCAGGAAGCACGTAAAAGCCAGGAACCACTTACCTTCACAAAACACAGGGGAAGAAATGCAACATAGTAGGCACTGAAGAGGGAGTTGAAGAGAACTTCCTTGATTCTGTGGTTGAAATCTGCTTTCAGACATTCTACTTCATTTCGAATGAGGTCTGGAGATAGAGGGCAGCTGTGGGTGGGGATGGGTGTGCAGTTATTAAACTGTTCTTTTAGAGACTCCAACAATAAGGAGAGGAAGTCTTTGGATTTGGCCAAGCCACCCACAGTTGAGGCACTTTCCTCTACCGCCTGGTGCTGAACGACGTAGTTATAGTCCGTGAGAAGAAGATGAGCTCTACTATCTTGGTGGAAACAGCAGAGAGGAACATAAACACCAAACCTGCAGAAAAAGGTGAACATGAAGTGAGACCACAGATGCCACCTAAGACAGATCTTGTAAGTATGTTGTTAAAAGAGTCACCAGAGTGAACATAATGTAATGGGGACTTTCTTTACTGACGGTAATTCATTTGGGGGGAAGCTCTTTAATTTCTTCCCACAAACGTAATACGTATTCACTGTAGAATGAATAAAACTATACAAAATCACAATGCCAAATATAAATTACCTAGAAATAATCATTTTTATAACTTTTTATAACTAGGTGCAAACTGTGTATTTTTTTCTCTTGTATGTTAAGCCTCATACCATATAAACTGGTTTGTAGCCTGCTGTTTTAACTTTGGGTATATTGAGCATTTTCTATTATTACATATTTTTTGTAACAATTTTTAAAGATGTCATAGTATCTTCAGATAGATGTACCATAATTTACCCATTTTTCTCTTTTTAGAAACTTAGGCTGTTTATTTCCAGCTACCATAACTTTTAATGGAATAAGCACTTTCCTACACAGATCTTTGCCTACACCTGGTAATTTTCAATGGCTTGCCCTTCGTGTTGAGTTTTCCTTCTCAGTCAGGGGTTCCCCTGCCTCTCCACAACGTCACCCACCCCACTCCCACAGGAGTGGGAGTAACCCTTGCCAGGCTATTTTTCTCCACAGAACTTACAACTCCATATTTTTCACGTTCGTTAGATTTTTTATTTTGTGTTTTCCCCCCTTTTCCTATCCTTCCCTCACTACAATGTAAACAGCGTGAATCAGAGATTTTAGTCTGCTCTTAATTCCCTGCTGTATCCTTGATGCCTAGAGCAGTGGCTGAAACTGCTCTAGGCACTCAATAAATATTTGATGGACTAATGAAAAAATTCCAGACGAATGATAAGTAAATATAAACCTGGTTAAATAACTGAATATTTTTGAGACTTTTCATAACTTCTTATAGTTACTCCAAACTTTGGTTCCTTAAAAACATTTTAAATACCTCCCCTAAGTCCTTAAGGTAACTTCTACATTGTAACTGAGGTATTGTAAATAAACTGGTCATTTTACTGACAAAAACTCGGATGTGGAAAATAGCAAATGAAAATAGATTTAGTTATATAGTTTATTTTAAAAATTAACAAGTGTCGCTCGTTTATAGTTTTTTATAGAGGGAAAAAGGATGAGCTTAATTAGTAAGAGAAAGGTTAGCGGCAGCTCTGGTATCCACTGTGAATGTGCCCTGGGGCAGCAGGGTGGGAGCAGGTAAACACAGAAGCTTCAGGCAGAACTCACACCTATACAAAATTGCAAAGACCGGAGAAGGCTCTAGGTTCAACACTGCTGAAACACAAACTGCAGTGTAGGGTACAGGTAGGAGAGGAGACTGAAATGATGGTCCCATAAAATCTGATTATGCCTTGATTTATACTATGTGGCTACCCATATAAATGCATGCTTATACTTCAGACCCATAAATGACATCAATGATTGTCAAACTTGAACAAGCAGCAGAATCCTCCGGAGGCATGTTAAAAGACAAAGTGCTCGGCTCTACTTCCCACCGTTCAGTTCAGTAGATTTGGGGTGGATTCTGACAATATCTATGTCTAACAAACTGTCAAGAGATGCGAACGCTGCTGTTCTGGGAACCACACTTTGAGAACTGTTCAATATAGAGTACAAGGGGGACCCCAAAAAACCCCAGAATTATCTTCTGGAGGGTGAAGAAACCTTCTTGTACAGGTTTCCCCCACCAGGTGAGTGTTCTAGGAACCTATCTATATCAGTGTACCAGCTGGTGTTGTTTCAAGAGGCTGTGTTTGGCTTCAGTGAATTTTTTTTGAAGACTCTTTCAATGTGTTTGCCCACTTCATGGTAGGTGATTTATGAGTGCAGCTGCCCACACTGTGCTGAGTGTTCAGCAGACTTTGATCCAAAAGAGCATGACCCCTTACCCCCATGCTTCACCCTCCGTATTTACCCAGTCTTACCCCACATGAATTTATTTCTCCAGATGAAAAAAGTCCTCAAAGGGAAATGTTTTGCTGATGTGGAAGAGGTGGAAAAAAAAGGCAGAAGCACTAAAAGGCATCAAAATCGATGAGTTCAAAAACCATTTTGAGCAGTAGAAAAAAACATCTCGATAGGTGTGTTGCATCAGATGGACAGTACTTTGAAGGTAACTGAAGTTTAAACATGTAAGAATAAACACAAAGTTTTTTACAAATAAATTCTGGGGTTTTGGGGGGTTCTCCCTTGTATGTAATGATTAACAAGGGCTCTGGAAAAAAAAGACCTGATATTCTCTCTCTCACTGTCTGACCATGGAAAAGTTTTTAAATCTCTTACTCTGCCTCTACCTGTGGCAAAGACTGCTCACTGCCAGTAGCCACTGTTCTGAGCTTCCACAGCACCAGACTCTTTAGCTGAGGTAAAGGTACCTACTAAAGACTCAGGTAGCAGGGTCCAGACACCAGGGCACTGCCACCAATACCCAAGATCATTTCCACACACTGTACAGTAAAAGGAATAAATTTCTAATCTTTTAAAATTACTAATATTTTGAATCTGTTACAGCAGATTAAATATACTGTCTCCTGGGTTATTGAGATGGTTTCATGAGGTGATGTTTCTAAGTACCTAGCCCAGCACTTAGCACATAAAGAGAGCTCAATATATGTTTGCTATCTACTAACGTACAATAAAGAAAGTATTAGCCAAATGTATATAAGCTAAACCATGCAAAGTAGTTAGTTTAATAAGCCAATATGTATCAGGAGATACCATTATACACCCATTAGAAAGGTTAAATTTAGAAAAACAGGAAACATCAATGTTGGCAAAAATGTGGAGCAACCAGAACTCGTACAGAATTGGTAGAAGGATAAAATGATACAACTTCTTTGGGAAAAGGTCTGGTAGATTCTTATAAAATTGAACATAAACCTAACTTATAGCCTAGCAATGCCACACCTAGATACTTCTCCCAAGAGAATGAAAACACAACCTTACAAAAAAGACATGTAATATGTGCATAACAGTTTCATTTTTAATGAAAGTCCCCCAAACTGGAAGCAACCCACATCCAAAATTAGGAAAATAAACTGTGGTATATTTACACAATAAAATATTACTGACACACGCTGGCTGATATGGCTCAGGGGACTGAGTGCGGGCCTGCAAAACAAAGGGTTGCTGGTTGGATTCCCAGTCAGGGCACATGCCTAGGTTGTGGGCCAGGTCCCCAGTAGGGGGCGCATGAGAGGCAACCAGACAATGTTTCTCTCCCTCTTTCTCCCTCCCTTCCCCTCTAAAAATAAATAAAATAAAAATCTTTAAAAAAATATTACTGACACATGCAACCACACAGATGAATCTGAAAAACAATATGCTGAGTAAAAGACACCTTACACAAGAGTGTACATACTGCATAATACCTTTATATGAAATTCTAGAACAGGTAAACTAATCTATGGTGGAGAAAGAAATCAAAACAATGGTGGCCTTTGGGAGGCAAAAGGTGGGAAGTGACCGGAAGGAGGAATAAAGGAACCTTTGGAATGATGATGTTCTACATTGGGATAGTGGTTTGAGTCACACAGGTATCTATGACAGCTCATAAATGTACACAAAACTTGTGAACTTCACTGTATAAAATTCTACTTCAAGAAAACTATAAATATCAAACTAATTACTGATATGCATATGCTGACATATTTTGTTTCATAATAAAATGTTGGTCAAAAAGTTTATAGGGTTTCATTATGGCGTACTTCTGTTACATGAACCCAAAGTTCAAAGTAATTTGACCAAAATGGTAAAACTGGTTGAGCCAGTTCATTCACCTAACATCAGCCACCATTCTGTGCCAATACAGTCAGAACCAGGAGCCTTTATGTGGTGACCGAAGCTAATTAAAATATATTCTCTAGTGGCAGGAGAACTATACCTCTGCTTTCCTGGGACAGTCCTGGTTTATGTCTAATTGTATCCCAATTTAGAAAATAAACTATAGGGTCACCCTACTCACTGATTTTTCCAATTTTCTGAACTCTTGGTTTATACTTAAATTTCATTTTCTTCTCTTTTATACTATCAATCGCATGACCCAAATAATGTCTTAAAAGACTTACTAATAAAATGGGAAAACTGGATACTCACGGGTAGCCAAGGAAAAGGAGATTGAGGATTGAATGGCTTCGGAAGAGATTGACGAGTGTCCAACAAAGCACCCATCCACACAAAGTGAGCAGCACCAAGCGAGCTGATATCAGAACCATGTAGTGAATCATAGATGCTGCACCCGCTTTAGTGGCCTACAAGTGTGGGAGCACCAAAAGGAACATTTTATAAATGACCTTATACAGAAACAATGTGCCTCAAGTAAAAACTTGGTAGATTTAGTGAAAGTTAAACTGTGCCGAAAAAAAAAAAGAAAGAAAGGAAGGAAGGAAGGGATAAAGGAAAGGAGGACAGGAAGGCAGAAGAAATGCTACTGCCCCCCCCCCATTTCAGACATCTCCAGGCAGTTGGTTGCTTCCTCCTTGTATTCTCACAGTGCCTCATAGAGACCTTAAGTTCTCATATCCAAGTATGGTCCATGAACTACATTCATCAGGAACATTTGGGCTGCTAACAGAACACAAAAATTCCTGACTTCCCTCACAAGATACGGTGAAAAAAACTGCAAGTCACCTCTATTTTAACAATCCCCCAAGTGATTTTTAGGTACATAAAGATATTAGTTTATCTGACTCCAGACTAGATTCTAATGGCTTCAACTGCAGCAAGCTTCTAATTTTTCTTTGAATCCTTCCCCCCGTTCTGTTTGCTGAATTAATGTTTCATAAATTACTAAAGCTGCAAAAAATAATCAGATCTTCTTCACCAAATCCCTATATAAATTAAGTTTCTTTTTTGACTTTTGCAAACATGGGAATAATGCGTAACCATTTCCAATTCTTTATATCACAGCTGTTCAAATATTCTTCTGTAATCCCAAATCCTTAAAACTGGTTAAATATAATAAGAAAACATACTTGTCTAAACATGAAGATCTGCAATGCCATTTTCTTTCAGAGTGAACTAGGAAGGAGAGAATGAGCAAAATGCAGAAGAAAAATGGTATTCCTACAACTTCTACAACAGCAGTATCAAAACCAAGAAAGGGCAAACTGTCTGGATAATGATCTTTTCAGGTCCCTCCAATATATCCATTTCTTATTTTACACAACATACTATATTGCACGTAATATATATATATATATGCAATATACACTATTTATATAGTTACCTACAAATGCAAAGAAACAGCTGAATTAATATCACAATGAACTGCTTACACCCCAAACTAAAAAAGATTCAAGCTGTTCTCATAGAACAGGGTAAACAGTTGCATAGAACTCCCCTGATACACACCTCATGCCAAGGTAACTCATGTTTCAAAGCCTAGGGAAGGTAATTAATCCCCTGGAATAACTCCATTGCCTCCATTCTCAAAAGTTCGGAGTTAGAAATAAAAGGCCGCCTCTGCCCAATGTCACCAGAGCTGCAAAGCTTGGATACATTGGTCATTTTTGCGTTATTTCAGAGTCCAAGCTCCTAACTGGTGTGCTCTGTGCGACATATACTATACCAGCTCCTGGGGACACAGTGGTAACCAAGACCTCTACCTATAAAAGCTGCCCAAGCAAAAAGACACATATTAAACCTAGATTTACACAAGTAATTATTTTCATAGCTGTGATGAGTACTACAGTGCAAGAGTAGGCTGCTGTGGAGAACAATTAACAGGAGACCCTAACCTACAGAAGACTTCCTGAGGAAGTGATATTTCAGCTGAGATCTAAAGAATAAGAAAGATTTAGCCAGGTAAGAAATAGAAAAATATTCCTAACACTATGTTAAGTTAGAGACATAGAATATAAAATTTTATACGAATGATGTCCCAAATACCCAGATAATATATAGATAATAGCCCCTAAATGTACATATTCCCTATAAGCATATAAAGATTAGAGAGAAATATACCAAAATGTGGTTCTCTTAATGGTATGGTAATATTTTTAAATGTTCTGCTTTATATTTTAGTGTTTTCCAAGTTTTCTTCAGTAAAATGTACTACTTTTTTATTTAGAAAAACAATTTAAAGAAAATAACAGTTGCGTCAGGCTGGTGAATGAACGGTATAGTAACTCTGGGTCTCCTGGAGCACGGAGAGGTGAATAAACAGAACCTGCCTAGTTGGAGAGGAAGGTATTCTGCCCAGAACAGTATTTCGCTTTCTGACTTAACTACCTCCAGCCTCGCCTTAAAAATGACTGGTCTTTCTCAGAGTAGGGATCCTTTCTGGGGACATAAGCAAAACAAAAGGCAAACATATTTTAATAGAAGGAAGGGAAGGTCCTTTAAGATGAGTGTTACCCATCAAATTTAAATATTTTAGAAAGAGAATCGCTATATAGCTCTTATTTAAATTTCTAAGGCCCTGCTTCCTGACTCCTCCCTCTCCCTCTCTCCTTCTCTTCCCCTCTAAAGATAAATAAATAAAATATTTAAAAAAAAATTTCTGAATGATAATACATTCTCATTACTCAAAATATAAAACGTTTAACAGCGTTTGTAGTTAAGTTTCCCTCCTATTGGTCTTGCCTCCCAGCCACCAACTAGGCAGCCCATTATTAGTTTGTACGTACTTCTAGAGGTAACTTAGTCATATATAAGCAAATATATTTTGTTCTGTACTTTGCTTTTTTCACTTAATATATTAAAGGTCAGTAAGTGAAGACATTTTCATCTTTTAATGGCAGGCTGTGTGCAATTTATTCCATTATATTGATATACCATAATTATTTAAACATTCCTTTTCTAATGGACACTAAGGCACTACAAGTTTAAGTCTTTGACTAGAAATCTGTTTAAAATCAGCTTACGTATTTTGTTCCCAGTAAGAATTACAGGTTTCTTTAGAAAACAGCTAATGAACTCTCCAACTAAGCTTATGAAAAAGCTGTTAAACTATTGTGAAGCCATTAGAAAAAAGGAAAAATAGAGTATTTCAGAGTACTTTGAATCATAGTCTTTGTAGCTCTAAGGTAGAAACCCAGTTATGAAGGTTTTACACACTAACTGCATATACTAATTTGATACACACAAGTATCATTTCTAAATAAATGAAGAGATGAAACAAAATCATTCCCTGCTTGTTTCAATAGATGTGAACCTAAAACTCCACTGAGCTCCTCTAAAGAAAGAACAAAGTTTCTCAATATATATCCAAAAGTAAGCATGTATTTTCAGGACCTAAATAAAAAAACTTGGAAGAAAAGGTTACAGACAGCCTTTCCCACTGTGCAAAATAGACCATCCTACTACTATTGTTTTCCAGTTAATGGCTTTTAGATTATGATTTAATATCTGCAGTCATTCTATGTTTGTAGAAATAAGGCTCCTAAAAATTAGAGCTTACAGACATAAAGACTTCCCATGTTTTGGATGAAAAAAGTTGACTTGGTTATCAATGATTTATTTGTTTAAAATTTCACAATGAATTATAAACACCAAGATTAAAATTATTAGACACTTTAGCTAAGTTCACACTTTTTTTGCTTTTGTAATCATTTACAGTGCACAAGATAACAAAATTTTAAAAAAACAAATTTACCTGCCTCCCTCACTGGAGTATATAAATATATATAAAAATAATAACAGTGGCCAATTCTATTAACAACTTTAATTTTAAAAAAGACCATATTAATAATGTCCCAATCTGTCCTCCGCTGACTACTAAACTTAGATAATACTCTTCAAGATTAGTCTTACGCCAATTTGGATGCTGTCATTTTAAAATTCCAAGTTGTAATTAACTCAAACAAGTGTCTCTTGCTAGCAACTCCACAAGTGGTATATAATTAATTTCAAGTAAATGTTACTTTAAACAATGTTTTAGCTGCAACTGTTTATATAAAACCCTTCATATCAATAGTTACCTAAATTCATCCTATTTTTACTGTAATTATTAAAATTACAAAGACTGTACTGAAGAACTTGGAAGCTAGAAATGAGCTTCTACTAGACAAATGAGATTTCTAACAGTACTTCTGAGTTATGTTGTACTTGAATTTTAAATATATTGTAGGAAAAACTTCTTAAAAGAACATAATTCACATGGGAAGAAAGAAATTTATAATTCCACTTAAATTAGATTCAGACATTTCAAATGTCAACCTGAACCCATTCTAGTAACTAACTCTACAAGTGACAGAATATATGAATGAGCTGTTACCTCTGAGATGAGGGCCCACACAAGCCTCCTTGCAAGCATCACTGTGATGAACGCTGCCAGATGGTAATCAATGAGATGAAAATTCTATAAAAGAAACAACTTCATCAGAAAGAAATATGCATATCTAGTTGGAACTAGAAAAGGTTTGCATCCTCAAAAGATCTTCCTTACATCACCTTACAGACCATGGGGATTTGAGAGATCTTGAAGAGACCACCTATCTTCTACTTCTCCTTCCATGGCAAGTTGCTTTAACTTTTCAAACACTATTTTAAACTATCTGGAATGTACTCCTCTCCTTTTTTGAAAGTTTACTGTATTAAAAAGAAAAGATTACAGCTTTGGGTTAACAAATGACTACTTGCAGAATTATGGCAAGAATAATTTATCTAAAATGCCATATTTTTGAGTGTTAAATTTAATGAATCAGTTGGAATTCTCAGTCTTTTGAATATACTGTTGCTGGTCTCTTTGGATCTAAGAGCTTTGGTTACTTAACTGGGCATCTACTAGCCTAAACTCCCCGTTTGCTGATACATCAATTACATTCCTTTAGTCTTTCTCCTTACTTTGATTTAGAAACATGTCTTACACTTGATTTCTTCTTCCTATAAAATGATAGTATTACCTAGATTCTATACATGATTCCTTCTGGTTCTAAGTCTGTATATATAACGGTGATAAACAAAATGAAAAGTCATTAGCAACAAACAGAATCGGGATATATTTTCATTTTGACGGTCAGTCTGTACATTTCCACAATTCCCTTTCCAGAATGAAAAGTTCAATTTCATAATTAATACTTGTAATAAACATGTACTGGGCATGGGCATCCGTGCTCAGGAATGCTAGGCAGGTCTCCTGCTCCCCTGGATTCTCCTTATTCCTCCAATGTGACAGGGCGAGGGGACAGCAGAGATTACTAGCTATCTCTTCTGCCATCACAGTAGAATTTAACTGGGCACTAACTCCTAGCTGACTGAAGGTTCATTCCCCAGCCTTCCTTGAAAACCATACTTGCAGCTAAGGGATGTGAGGGAAAGTGATGTGTTCTACTTCTAAGCTGTGCTCTCGAAGGAAGGAGCTGTGCCTTTCCTCCTCCCTGCTGGCCAGGTGTGATGACAGCAGTTGGAGCAGTTACCTTGGATCATGGTTTGGAAGAAGCGTGATGGGGTGGCAGAACAACAGATACAAAGAGTTGCCTCACTGGCCTCATATAACCTAATTTTTATTTAAGAGAATTAAGCTTCTTTTCTGTTTTGGCCATTCTGTTATAGCACCTAAACCCATATTTTTAAAAATTTGTTTAAGGGAGAAGAGCAATGACAATAACAAGCTAAGAAGGAAAAGCATTTTTAATAGCTATAACTGCTGATAAGAAATATAACAGTAATAAACAATGACTGGTGGGGGGCTGAGGGAGTGGGAGAAAAAGGTGAAGAGATTAAGAAGTACAGATTGGTAGTCACAAAATAGTCACGGGGATGTAAAGTACAGCACAGGGAACACAGTCAACCATACTGGAATAATTAGGTAAGGTCCCAGATGGGTGCCTGAAATACCCAGGGGACCATTTTATAAAGTATGTGGTTATCTAACCACTACGTTGTACACCTGAACCCAGTACAAAATAATATTAAATATAAGCTGTAACTAAAAACTTAAAAAGTAAAGTAAAATTTAAAAAATAATGACTGGAAAGGGAGGTACAGAGCCAATTTAAACTGGTGGTTAAGAAGGATATTTCTGCCCTGGCTGGTATAGCTCAGTGGATTGAGTACAGGCCCGTGAACCACACAATTGTGGTTCGATTCCCAGTCAGGGCACATGCCTGGGTTGCAGGCCAGTTCCCAGCAGGGTACACACAAGAGGCAATCATACATTGATGTTTCTCTCCTTCCCTTCCTCTCTAAAGATAAATAAATAAAATAAAATAAAAATTTTTCAAAAGGAGGATATTTCTGAGAAGGTGGCATTTGGGCTGAGTGCTGAATTACAAAAGAGCACCAGCAATGACAAGACCTGGGGAGCGAGAGCCCCAGGCAGAGGAAAAAGTACTCATCACAAAGGCCCTAAGGCAGGAAAATATACGCCGGGTGTTTGAAATCAGCAAGAAGGTGGAAATGAGCAATAAAAAAATTGAAAATATATTCCCTAATGGGAAGTCATAGAAGTATTTCAGGCAAAGGATGCCTTGATTTTATTCGTATTTAAATATGCTCACACTGATTGCTGTAGGGCAAATATATTACACTGGGGCCAGATCAATTAAGAAGCTATTACTTTTGATGCAGGTGAGAAATGACTGTGGACTGAACGCTGTTGGTAGCAATGGAGATGGAGTGGAGAGATCTGGGATACATTTTAAAGGCAGAGCAGCCAGGATGTCAAGAGAGCAGCTTACTGTACATTCCCCAGATCACATCTTCCCTCTCTTAGAATTGTAGACTCTAACAATACTTATTCCCTCTTAGTTTTCAGACTGCTCCTTGTTCACCTCACTCGTCCAAAATAATGTAAACAAATTTACTAGACTCCTTAGCTAATGTCTGGGAGTCTTATTTATGCATCACAAGTCCATCTAAGACTTTGTAATATAAAAAATTTAAGTGCCTAATGTACTTATTGTTAAACAAACTTGTAAGTTAAAAACTTATTTGTTTATGATTAACTCTCTATAAACCAGAATATTTGTTTAATCAGAGCCCCCCACTCCTGACTATTCTGAATAATTTACTATACTACTTATAGTTTTCTTAGGGTTAGAAGTCATTTACCTCATTTCTTGATAGCTAAAATGATACTTTACATATTTAGGTGTCCACATTTTCTTTTTGATAATTATTAAGGTCTTGAAATGGAAAAAGAAAAACCTAATACATAAATGTGACTAACTTTTCAGTGTGGCATGATGCCCCTTCTAGAAATCCCTGCCAGGCCGCCACCTGCCATGCTTGAACACCTTCAGCGACAGGAATTAACTAGGTCTCTGGCAGCCCTCTATCTTTGAACAACTCACTGACTCAGGCCCCTTTCAGATTCATGGGCTGAAATCTCACTTACTATTCCACATATGTTACTCCTAGCTTCACAATTAAATTTTAAGCTTTGTGTGAGCAAGGATCATATGTGATGGATAAGTAAGCCAGTCCACATAATAACCTCCTCAAGTGTGCCTGAGTCTCTACTGCAAAGACTGGAAGGCTGAAATCTACATTCCAGACTTTCTTGCAACTGAAATTCCACATTTGATTTAGCTTCTGTCAAACAGGTATCACATAAAACTTGAATTCAGAGCCGAGTAACGTGGAGAGATGGGCAAGCGAAAGGTACCCATTCTGGGTGGTTTGCATCAGAGCAAAGGAAGCAGAGTTCCAGAGTCAGCGCTGTAGCAGCAGCTTTCTGACTCACAGGGACACTGGCTCTCTCTGTTTCCAGGCAACATCTGTAGGAGACTTTTTAAAAAACTCATCAGAAATGATGACTGGGAGAAAAGCTCTTTAATTAGTCTGAAAATTCAACAAATGAGAAGTTTTCATGGGATATCAGTCAAAGTAGAACTTGTACAGTGTACTTAAGCAGTCAATATAGAATAAATACAGGAAGTCAAGCACAGCAGACATGTTTGAATTTGAGTGCTCACCATGTCACTGTGTGAGTTTGAGCCAGTTTCATAATTTCTAGGTCTCATAAAACTCATTTATACAATGGGAGTCATACAGTAGTACCTACCTGTTTTCAAAAGAGTAAATGAGATAATACTTGCAAAGAACATAGTGTCTGCTAACATCACTGCTAAGATGGTGAAGTATTTATAGAGCTACATAACTGGAAGAAGACCTAAAGCTCATCTAATTCGAACTCTTCATTCCACAAGTCTGTGGCCAAAAAAGGATGGATGAAGTACAGTTTCTACACTCAGTAACGTCAAATTTCAGGTGGGAAAAAAACTATTAAAAATAAAGGATATAATTTGGCACTAAATCATTATAATTTTTAAATAAAGAAAATGAACTGCTCTTTACCTAATATTGATCAATATGGGAAGAAAATTCTTTTTTTTTTTTAAACAATTGGGGATTTTTTTAAAAGACTTTATTTATTTATCTTTAGAGGGGAAGGGGGGAAGGAGAGAGGGAGAGAAACATCAATGTATGGTTGCCTTTCGTGCGTCCCCTGCTGGGAACTGGCCTGCAGGGAACCGGCCTGCAACCCAGGCATGTGCCCTGACTGGGAATCGAACCGCGATTGTATGGTTCGCAGGCCCGCACTCAATCCACTGAGCTACACCAGCCAGGGCCTGGGAAGAAAATTCTTAATACTGAATTCAGGAACAGCCAAGTGATACAAATATATACACTTTTTAAAATGTTTATTCCCTTCTCATACTATCTTAAAGATTTTGGCCTGCATTTTCTTTCTACATTCACCAGGGCGGGGAGGTTTTCTAACCATTTACAAGTCACAGATACATAAACTAACCAGGACAATAAATGCCCTTCTGTCTTACAGAGCCTATCGCCACCACCCACCCAGATCTGCCGGCACCACCCACTTACACGTCAGGTCACCTGACTAGCCTTACCATTATTTTACAAGCCCTTCTAGGGAGAACATTCTCTGCATCAAGATCATCACAGCCCCCCTAAATAACTGGAAAAAAAGCAGAAGAAACCTACAATATACTGTGATGTACTGTAGCAGAGACAGCTAGTTCTTGTCTCAACTTTACTCTTGTAACAGAACCCAATTTTATTCAGAGTAACAATGAACTCAGTAAAGGGACTGCTTCCCAGCCTCCCCTGCAAGACACATATAAAAAAATCTCTCCTTTGTACTCCCCATTGCTATCTACCCTTTCTGGCTGACAAGGATGAACCACAGCCACCTTGAAGGCCCCACAGTGGACAACAGTCATCAGCATCAGCCTGGGCCTGACTTACCACACAGCATGTAAGCTACTCCTGCCAACTAGGATGACTGCCTCAGACTGCTGTGTGTTTGAAGCATTACACAAATTTTGGATTTATTTTTTATAGAAGCTTCCATTATTCCAGTACAGCCATTAAAAGGGTAGAGCTCCTAGAATTTAATCATATTGCCACCTTCAATTTCCAACAAATATAAGTAACATGGTATAGAGAAAGTTAATATCAAAATCTTCCCATGATATTATAATAAATTATTTAAGTGTTTTCTACATTTTTATTTATTTTTTACTTCCTTCAGTCATGTACCAAAGCAGGGTATTTTCTATTTTAACAATCTTACGACATTATATTTCTGAAAGTAATCTGTGGTTTAACAGAACATTTTATTAGAAGAAAAATGATTTCTATACACAGGTTTTTCCAACTAGTTTCTTGGCTAAGTAACATGAAGAACTTCAAGGCCAATTAAGACTTACCAACGAAGTACAAGAAGCGGGATGATTGTAAGGGTACCACCACACTGTTTTATAGATATTGATGTACTGAATGAACAGTGCAACCAGCAGGTAGATGAAAAAGAGAAATTCAAAAAGCAGACTCCCATCCACAGGCAAATCAGGAATTTGGCAATGACGAACAGGACCTGGGGTGATTAAGGCTGTGATAGGTGGGACCGGAAGGCCAATGGCACTACCATTCCTGAAAGAGAAAACTAGGGTTAGCTCAAATAGTGATTACTCCTCAGGGTCACACAGCATAAAGAGCCCCTGCTTCCTTCTCCACCTAGACTTTAACTGTTGGCTTTCCCCAAACTCTACCCTAGGATCTTGGGCCCTTGTCTTCTCCCTCCACACACACAGTCTCAGTGTCCTATAACATTATTCAGCCATGGCTTCCATTATCCCCTATATGCTGAAAACAAAAATTTTTCTCCAGAGAGCTCACTGCTGAGTTTTAGACCCATGTTATGAAACTGTCCATTGAACATCTCTGTGTTCCTCCACCTGTAGTCCTGACCCTAGTTCATGGCTCACCCAGTTAGCTGCCCAAATCAGAAACCTGAGAGTCAAACTTTCCTTCTGACTCTTCATACCTAATCACTCCTAAATCTTATGTATTCCACTTTATAAAACTTTTTCCAAACTGTTCCTTCTCTTTAAACCCCACTGCTTTAGTTCAAGCAGTTACTATTTTTCATCTAAACTACTGAAGTAATGGCCATAAATTCAACTTCAATTTCATCAACTCCTCCAACCTTTCTTCAGAGAGCCTTCTAAAGTGTTACTCTCTTAAATAGTCCCTTTAATGCCTCTGTACTGACAACAGGATACTATAAAAAATTTTAGTACATCCTATGAAGCTTATCAGTCTAGCCTCATCTCCAAAAACACCCTCTTTAACTCCTCACATACACATTTACTGACACAATCCTTCAAGACTTTTAAAATGATCAAGCATATCCTCTATAAAGCTTACTCCAATTTACTCAATCAAAACTGATTCAGCTCTCCTTGGTGTCACCATTATATCTAAACTATGCCTTTATGCTGGGAAAATAGAAAAGCAGCAAGAAAAAAGGGAAGACCACAGGTGAGATGGATTGACCCCATACAAGAAGCCAAAGGCACTAGTCTACAATACATTGTTGAGTGCAGGGCACTGTGAACATCACTAATTCATAGGCTCACTAGGAGTTGGAGCGGACTCAGTGACACATAACACATGCTTTTAACATTGCACTTTTCGTACTACTATATAATTGTCTGTATATATCTATGTCTTGTGTATCAGACCATGAAGATACTTTTCCTAGATCACTGTAAATATATACCTTCAGGTTGAGAAGAAGACAGTCATGAAAAAGAGGGTGATCCCTTAAAACATGAACTAAAATAAACAGGTTTTAATCCCTATCTCCTTGTTATTCTTTTTCCAAGCTGTTCTTTAGGTCAGAAATAGCTGGCCATCTAAAATGATAAAATTTCCCATTATATATACACCTGGGAATAGTTATAGAGATCTAAGAGTCTACTATTGCTTGCAGACCACAGAAAAGAGGGGTCATTTGGGTATTTATCAAAGAAGACTCTAGGGAAGGTACAATATTAACATTACCATTCTACTCTAAGAGTTCCAAATACAGAATTCTAGCATTAGTACGTGAAATTCACAGAACTTTATGTGACTCCCAGGGATATGAGCTCTGCTCACTCTGAACAGTTAAGAGTACCGTGGCAGAAAAGCAGAGGAGCTAGAAGAACAGAACATGGATGGGAGAGTGAGAGGGAAAAAATTATACAAATTTCCTCCACTCATCCCCAGAGTGTACTCTAATAAAACAAGCTTATCAAGGAATAGGTGATGATATACCAGTAAAGTTTTACAACCTTACCTGCACAATCATAAACCAATCATGAACACCACAGCCACCTGATCTGGTCTGGGAGACGGGCCCCAGCACTGCACAATTCCTAGAGATCTCATTCACACAAAACACAACATGAAAGGTGCTCTCTGGAGTTGCACAAGGTGGTGAACTTGAATGGAGGTGATTAATACCAGCAGCCAATCTATTCCTTCACTCCAGTTAATCACAAGAGATGGAAATATAGAATTCTGAGGAGAAGTTACAAGATTAGGCACCTCTACTGTAAATCAAATAAAAATTTGAATTCCTCTTTAGTCAAAACTATATGAAAGGGGGAAAGCATGCTAAATTATTTATGATTTAAAGGTTTAAAAGGTTCTCATAGAATTTTTTCCAAGGGAAGACTAATGTGCTTTTGCTGTTAACAAAGTCAGTAAAATGCTAGGCCTCAAGAAAGATATTCAAAACAAAGTACAAAAGATCTACACTGGTGATATTCTACACACCTTGGCTATTACACTTCAAGAGAGAAGACAAAGAGACAAAGGTCGAATAAAGTGATCGATAGCATCAGTAGGAAAAAGAAAATAAGGAAAAAATTGAAAGCTTGAGAGGAGATATGACCAAAGTTCTTTACCCCTCCTTCCTCAAAAGCCAAGAGCTAACTTAAACAGACTTGATCAATACATCGAAGAAAATTACAGGGGTATTATTTAGAAAAAATAAAAGCATTATTCCCCTAATAGAATATAAAAGTAGATTCAAGAAAAGCAAAATGACACAAATATTTGAGATACAATTTGGGACAGTTATCCCAGATTTTCCACTACCAGCTGTGGTCTTTGATAAAGTAACTATATCTCTGAGCCTCAGTTTCTTCGTCTATCATACAAGGGTTGGTACAGATTCTCTTTGAGAACTCTTCTCAATGTTAACACTGAGTATTATCTTTTAAACTGTGTTGCAGTTCCCAAGACCAAGCCCAGGCTTGATGATTTGCTAGGAAGATTCATAGGATTCCACATATAGTTGTGTTCACAACTAAGATTTATTACATCAAAAGGATACAAATGCAAATCAGCAGAAAGAAAAGGTACATGGGGCAAAGTCTCGAAAAAAAACAGGTACAAACTTCTAAGAGTCCTTTCTCAACGGAATCATAAGGGATGCACTTAACTCTCAGCAACTACTTGTGACAATATGTGTTCAGTGCTGTCTACCAGGAGGGTTTATTAATAGACTCAGCACTCAGAGTTTTTATTGGGGGCTGGCCATTGAGGGACTCTCTGCCTACGAGGACAAATATTTCCAGACTCCCGAAAAGGAGAGCATAGCCATCCTTAGAATGGCCTGCTTGCAAAGCTGGCATCTGGGAACTTGACTGGTAAACAGTCCCCTTACTGATATAAAACTTTCACTAAAATATTAAGTGGTTCACTAGGCCTATAGCATTTGTGCAAACAATGTGGTTTATGCTGAACATCTGCTTTGTCCTTGCATATAAAGTTTGTGTGCAGAAAAGAATTAACACACTAGGTGCGAGACTGGCTTTTATGGAGACAGCAAGCAACAGAATTTAGCTAAGTAAATGGATAAAGCAAAGAGGCTTCAAAGGAATAATGAGGAATAAGAAGGGATAAAGCAGCGATCGTTTGGACATGCTCAGGCAATATTATTAACAAAGCACCTGCGAGGACAAAGCAACGAAAAACCACTCTTACTCCTCAAGTAAGATTCTCCCTCAACTAAAAGCTCTCTAGGAAATTCAGAAACTCACAGCATATCCTCCTCCTTTAGAAGGCAATCATCTAAGCACACTTTCCCGAGAACAAATCCCTGTTCCCCATAGGTCACAGGTGGCAAACACAAGGCCCGAGGGCCCAGTTCAGCCCTCCACCTTGTCTAATCTGGCCCAGCACCCTGTTTCTACCCATCAGCAGCACCGAGCTCTCACTTAACCGTTAAGGAGTAGTTACATATATACAGTCCTAACATTACATTTGGCCCTTTGAAGGCAACCTCGAGGCTGATGTGGCCCCGATGAAGATGAGTTCGACATACCCGCCACAAGTGGGAAACAGGACAGGGAACTATGGATTTCATTCTGGACTTTATCACCAGACTAATTAGCTCTTTGACAGTCTCAAGTTTAACTTCCTCAAATCATGCCATAAATACCTACCAAAGGCAAATGCTGGCTTCTCCAGCTAACCTGTCTTGCAGAATCAAAGATGTCATCCAACATCATAGCACACTTACACAATTACCTGTTTCTCTCTTCAGCACGCTAGACACTCCAGAAGAGCATTCTTCCCATCTGGACCCGGTCCTTTTTTGTATACATCCTTCCTGACTACATTCTTGGTCATCTACCACTGGTTTTTATCCTTGTTTCTTATATGCCTTCTTTCTCATCAAAATATGGTATCACCTTCTCCTAAAATAACCTCTCTAGGTAAAAATGTCACAAAATAATCACTCAAATAAGTGACTTTTCAAACCATAAACAACTATGATCTTTCACTTTATTTTAATCTGTTGAAAAATGTTTTTCTCCCTCCTGTACCAGATAAAGAAATATAAGTTAAAGGAGAACTGTGGGTGGAGAATGGTAAATCAAGGCAACCATGGCTGGAACCTTGAATGCCAGGAAAAAGAGCTATGAAAAAGGCAGAGAAAATACATGATCATAGCTAACTAAATCCACCCAAGAGCAGACATGATTTCCAAATGTTCCTAATTTTTCCCAGTATTCTACTTGCAGACTAAGGACAAGCATAATCATCTAGGAATGTGATTTTCACCTCTTTTTAAATAGCAGAACACTTCATTTTACCTCTCCAAAATACATGGTACCTGGTATCCCAATATTTAAGACTCATAGGAGGAGTTACTCTGTTTAAGAACTAGGAAACCTGATGCCTAGACTGCTAGGACTGTCTCTTTCTTCCTTTTAAGCAGTCCTACAGCAGCCCCTGAGACACTGAAGGAGGGAGTGGGACAATTTGAGAACATAATTATCTAGGGAATCGTCGAAGCCCAATTAGAAGAAAATGAACAAAGAACAGCTGGAGTTTACATAGAGGCAAAGTTAGACTCTTTTACCTATCTAAAATCCCAGCTACATACAGCTACTATTTTCTACTGTAATTTGAAAGTATTGAATCACTAAGTTGATGGTCAGTATGTATTAATAAAATTAAGGCCTGTATTTCCAACAGAAAACATCCTTTAGCTCAATATTCATGTTAGATACTATGTTCCTTCAAAAGCATTTTCACATGTTCTCATTCTTTTTATTTTTCTTTATTTTAAAAAAATATAATACATGTTATTTGTAGAAATTTTTGAAAATTCAGAGTAAAGTTTTAAAAAGTTACTGCAAGTTACCATTTCATTTATTTTCAACATTATTCTATGATACAGAGAGTATCACTGTTTTTAATGTATGAAAATCCAGCCCTGGCTGGTGTGGCTCAATAGATTGAGCATCAGCCTGTGAACCAAAAGGTCACTGGTTCAATCCCTGTTCCATCCCCAATCAGGGCATGTGCCTGGGCTGTGGGCCAGGTTCCCAGCTGGGGGCCTGCAAGAGGCAGCTGACTGATGTTTTTCTCTCACATCAATGTTTCTCTCCCTTTCTCTCTCCTTTTCCCCTCTCTCTAAAAATAAATAGAATCTTAAGAAAAATAAAATTTAAAGTATGAAAATCCAAAGAACGGAGTAAAAATAATACTCTGGAATGAATGATAAGCAATCTGAATACATAAATAAAATTTCAATTTAAAATTAGTATGAGCATTGGACTGGAAAAATCCTTCCAAAGTGAAATTTCAGGGAGACCCCCAATGAAATGACAATATCAGAACTGGTTTGGAAGACTAAGTAGAACTTATATTAGAAAGTCAGAAAAACAGAGGGAGAACAGGCCAGGAAGAAAGCAGTGCATAAATAACATCAGAAGGGCCTGAAAAGACAGCAGTGATACTGATCACCAGATCTGAAAATTAGAATAAAAGTAACAGAAAACTCTGTGCAGGGAAGAAGCAGAAATTAGCTGGCAAATATTATTTTGACCAAGTAAAAGTCATCTCTTTCCACTGTTACATGATTAAAACTCCTCATGAAGTGAGTTATTCTAGATAAGAAGTAATTCTTCCTAACTTTTCAAATTAGAAACAGATAAATTTCTATTAAGAAAATCAATTTAATTCTCATACATGACACAATTCTTAAGATGTTTAGATTACAGCTAACAGTTTAAAAATTATTTTCTTCAAAAAACTGTTTGAAAATTACAAGACCCTTGATAGATGACTTATAATTTTAGAATCTCATGTAAACTGTCAATTTTAATTTGCCCTTCAAAAAAATGCTAGTAAATCATTACACTATCACATTTGCCTTGTACCTCAATTCACTCCTCTTTTCTTTTAAAAGCTAAAAAAATGATGACTAGAAACTGGATTATTAACCATGAGTAAGGACTGGACTATTTTGACTTTGTTGGCCCCATATCACAACTACCTACCTCCCAAGTATTCTGAAATACTGAGCTTTTGGTTTTCAAAGAAGGATTTCTACTTCAGTGTCAAGAAATAATCTTCATAAACAAATACCTGAGTAGCATAATGACTTCCATGTTACATTTACTGATCACAGGATATTACAAAGTACTCATAATCTTATTTCTTCTTTACCTGTTTCTCAGGCCTGTTCCATTGCCACAGCCCCCACCAACCAAAGTCTGTAAAGAAGGTAAAGCTGAACGGCTTAGCTGCTGCCGACTAGGGCCCCTCCTTCCACCGGGCATGTCCAGGAACCAGTCTGCTTCCAGTGCCACCTATAGTTGCAACCCAGGTTAATGGTTGTTAACCTGTTTCAACTCTGAACAATAACAAAAAAAAATGTTATCAGTTTACTATTGTTAAACTAGGAAATGTGACAAAACAACCAGAAAAACTGAGTGAGCAGGGCTTGTAAAACCAGATTTTCAAACATGCTCTTAGTGTCTATTACCTACTTTATTGTAATGAAATGACTACTCAAATTCTAATGGGTCAGGTCAGAAGCTTAAGTTCTTCTGATCTAAAGTCTGTTCAGCATTAGGGAAGTCGCAATTTGCATTTTTTGTCAGTTTAGTCATAGCACATGAAACATAATCAGGTAGAAGTTCACAAGAAACACCTAATATAAACACTTCCAACTCAAATGTAATGTTTTCACAGTAAGCCACCTGAAATACAGGAGAATCAGCACTACCCAAAACGTTAGGTCTTATTATCAAGGGATCTGGTTCTGAGATCAGATGTGTCACATGTTGTCTGACTTTAACTAGGCGTTTAACCCTTGAGTTTCTTTATCAGGAAAAACAAAAACAACATCAACTTGTTCCCCCTCCTACAGGGGTTGTTGCCAGGACTGAAAGTGATGAACGGAAGTACACTAGCAGACCCTTTTAACTCCGTAAAACGGTTCAAGTGGTATCTCCATATGTTTGAGTGAAAACAGTGGAAGGAACTCCAGTGGATGCCCACTCCAGAAAAACTTATGTAAAATCATTTACAAATTGCTGAAACTGAAGGATTAAAATATAAGTCACAGTTGAAGACCCCCGCTGAAAAGACACTGCCTGTATCAATCTGGCAAAACCATGGCTCCTCCCGTATGGATAACAAAACCTATTTCCTAAATAATACAACTTAAAAACTGAAGAATGACACCCTGTCAAAACGAACAAACAAAAAACCGTGGCTTTCGAAACGGTACTGCAAACTGATCGATGTTCCCCATTCCCACAGCTTCCGACAGCAGACTAACAAATGTCAGGTGAGACAAAGCATTCAAACCGTTGGATTGCTGGGCCTTGCTCGAACGGAAAGAATAGTGTGAGGCAAAAAAGACTGGGATGGAAGAGGCAAAATTATGGGGTAGGGGTAGGTGGGTGGTGAGAGACTACAAGCTTTAACAGACCAGCCCCTAAAAGGGGGACGACAAGCCGTCTCCAACACGCCACCGCGAGAATCGAAACAGAGCCTGGACAGACGGACAGGGACAACCCCGCAGCTCAATAAAACTCACGCATGAAGGAAGCCCGGCCGGTGGGGCGGGATCCCTGGGAGGAGGCGGCAGCTTTACAGACCGGACCACAAGCAAGAGAATTCCAACCCCGTGTTGGGCCAGCTGCTTGTCCGTAGGCTGCCCAGCCCAGAGAGACGAAAAAAGGTGATCAAGCTTCAAGTTGCCAGATTCTCAGACTGTGAGTCAGTGCCAGACACAGGGGTAGAGTTAATGCAAGATGCAGACCCCAGAGCCGTCAGCATTCAACCTCAGCCTCCATTACCGCGGAGCTGAGCAGACGTGGCAGCGCACTGTGATGACGTTAGCTCTGCGACGGCCGGCGTCCCCGGCCACAGCTGGTTCCCGGAACTACACAATCAGCTTGGGAAGCAAGTACCCCGCCCCGTCCTGCGTGCACCTGCGCAGTGGGACGCGCCTGCTCCGTTGGACTGGTGGTCCCACCTTCTGGGCCAGCGCCGACTAACCTATTTCCTCCTCCTGCCTCAGCCAACCAGCCCGCAAGAGTCTTTGTTGTAATCTTATGGGCTGCAAGGAACAACTGTATGCGAGTTATCACTCCCGTTTTACAGATTGGGTGGGGGGGGTTGGGAGACGTCAGGTAAAGTTACGTCACTGCTAAGGAAAAGAGCCCAGTTCACGCAGTCTTCCTTCAGCAACCAGTGGTACTCTTTCTTATTGTGGAGGACTAGAGCTCGCCGTCTAGTGGAACAGACAAATTGTAACGAAGTACATTTTATTACAATAACAAACAAATTGCACTTTGTTACAATAAATGGAAGGTTAAAGTTATACCCAAGTTCTGGAGGTAGCACACAAGATAGCGTAAAAATTTGTGTGAGATGGTGGTGGTGTTGATACCAAGGAAAGCTTCACAGAGAGCGTGGGGTTTAAAGCCAAGACTACAGGAAGGAACACGCGGTTGATAGAATGGCTTTCTAGGAAAGGAATTGGCAGATAATATGATAAGGAAATGCTCATCTTGAGGAAAACAGAAACTGTAAACAGTTTGGTATTAGAAGAACGAAAGTATCAAAAGAAGCACTTGGGTGAGATCTCTCACTCTATAGATTTTAAGAGCCGTCAGTGAAAGCTCTTTGTATTGGGTATATGATTAGTTAACCATTATTGAGAGTTCTATTTGGCACCAGACACTAGTAGCTTTATATATTTCATTTAAACCCCATAATGCTTGATACTACCACCGTTACTATTTTACAGAAAAAAAAAACTGAAGTTAGGAGACGTAAATATGTATAATCTAACTCATTATTTTCATTGTATTCACCTGTAGGTGTAAGGAGTTTTGCACATTTTCTTAATTACTTTGTTAACTGTTTCCTAGCTTGCTATATTGAAACTCCTTTGCCACTTTTCTGTTGGCTTCCCAGCATCTATCCTGTATTCAAGCAGTTATTTAGTGACTACTATGCACCAGGCACAGTGTTGGTGAACAAGCAAGGTATTTCTGTGCCCCCCTGGAGCTTATATTCTAATGAGAGAAACGTTTGCTTAATAAATAGAATAATTAGAGATTGCAAGTTGTGACAGAGACAAATAAGGGGGTGAAGGACACAGTAAGGAGAGTGCTATTTTGAGGTGGTATCTGTCTGAGGGAATGACATGTCAGCGGAAACTGGATGTTGGAAAGGAACCAGACATGCAAAGATAGAAGAGAAAAGTGATCCATATAGAAAACAAAACTTATGCAGAGATTCAAAGGTGAGTCAGAGCTTGGCGTGTTTGAGAAATTTAACACAAAGTTGTATAGCTAGATCATGGTGAGCAAAGGGAAATCTGGTGTTAAAAGTTTTAACTTCCATAGTTGAAAGCCTTTTTTTTTTTTTTAAGAAAAGTTTTATTGAGCCAAAAATGCTATCTGAAAAGAAGATCAATTTTGCAACTCATGTTGCAAGCCAGTATGGCTAGATAGAAAGAACATACATGTCCATTATCCCAAAGTTTTCCAAGTTATACAGCAAATGGGGGGTGGGAGAAAGATGTAAGCTGTTATGAAAGGATTTACATTAGCTTTAGATAAAGCAGGTGGGAAAAGGTGAAGCAGAGCTAGTTCTGGAATAAGCTCAACAGAGTCCACAAGGAAGAAGTGTCTGCTCCTGTGCATTAGCTGTGAACAGGAGGCTGGAAAATTCATGTCTTAATAAGTGGGTAACTGTGGCAAATTGGTGTAGCCATTATGGAAAACAGTATGGCGGATTCTCAAAAAATTAAAAATAGAACTGTATTTTGACCCAACAATTCCACTTCTGGGTATTTATCTGAAGATATCTAAAACTCTAATTCGAAAGGATATATGTACGCAAATGTTCATTGCAGCATTATTAACAATAGCCAAGATTTGGAAGCAGCCTAAATGTCCATCGATACATGAGTGGATAAAGAAGATGGTGGTGGAGTTCATGTGCCAGCAGCAGAGGATCCTTTTCCTACATCTGCTATGGCTCAGCCTGCAACTCTGAACCTCAGTAATGAGGTTGTCAAGATGAGAAAATAAGTGAAGAGAATCCGAGTTCTGGTTAACCAAAAACTTGTTAGGAGTGTTGGCAGACTAAAGTCAAAAAAGGGTACTGAAGATGCACTTTTAAAAAAAAAACAAAGACAGGCACAACGATTACTTGAAAGAATTCATGCCATGAATGAATTGAAACCTGATCTAGTAACAAAACCCGCTTTTGGTGATGATATCAATTTTGAAAAAATCTGCAAAAAGCCTGATTCTACTGCAACTGAAAGAGCCACTGCCAGATTAGCAACACACCCTCTTCTGAAGAAGAAAAAAAATGTGTTAAAAGCTGCTGTCAAAGCCTTTATAGATTCAAGACAAAATGACACTGAAGTTCAGCCATCAAAGAATGCTTCAGAAGAAAATTATTCCAAGGACACGTCAGGTTCAAGTGATAATGCCATTAAGTTACAGCATGAAGGAGCTATTATCAGTGAGCAAAAAGACAAAGTAGCCAACATGTTGGCAAAGAAAACAATAAATGGTTCAAAAGAAAAAGTAGCCAAGATGCAACATGGACCCAAAACAGTGGACATTCCGAATTCTCCATCAAAGCCTTCTGAAAAGAATTCTGTGGTTCCCTCTGAACCCTGGAAGATACCTGCTAACCCAAAAATGAAACTTATGTCAAAACAAAACAAAACAAAACAAAGAAAGAAAGCACCCAATAGCTTACTTGGTAAATACAGCAATGGAGAAGAATTACATGAAGAAGAGGAGTATTTTGATGACAGCACAGAAGAAAGGTTTTACAAACAGTCCTCCATGTCTGAGGATAATGACAGTGGTGATGACTTTTTCATTGGAAAAGGCAGTTGAACAGGAAAGTAGGAAAATAATTGCCATTCTTCAGTTGTAGAACAAAAATCCCCACAAAAGGTGTCCCCTGAAGAGAATATACTAGAAACCCATCAAAGTTAAGAAATGACCAAAACAAGCCAAGTACAGAAGAGAGGGAGTTCGAATCAGTGTTTCTTCCTTCTTTATCTGGATCTAAAACCTAATTTCTAGAAGAAATTATAGAGAACAGGCTCCAAAAAGCAACACCCAGGTTTTCAGCAAAATGAACCTCAGCTGAAGAATCAGTTTATTAAGTGTGCACAGAGGGCCCCAAAACACAGCATAGTCAGCAGGCACAGCTGCCTCTTTATCCTTTGTGGAAAGCAAGCAGGAGGTGAAAGGAACAGCAATCTGAAGTTGCTGGGTTTCAGGGGAAGAAAATGACATTGGATGATTGATTAGTACCTCTTTCTGTGAACTTTTCCATCTAAATTTTTTTCTTTTTCTTTTTTTTCCAGCCCATTATTTAAAACCCATATTTGAATAAGTCCTTTGGAGGGGGCATAGAAATAAGTTAATTGTTGTCTTTATTTCTTTTCTAAGTGTGTTAAGTTATGTTTATATAAACCTTCCCCAAATCAACTACATAAATTGGTTTTTTAAAATATGCCCTGACTGTTCATTTTATAAAAGAATTTTGAGTTTATAACTCTCAGATTTCTTCATTTGTGCTTACCATTAAGTGTACTTCACTGGATTAGGTCTGTGTTTCTTTGCCTTGAAAATAAATGTTGAGATAGATTTAAAATAATGGAAAAATATGAGGAAATTGTAGCTATTTAAAATATAGATCACCTTTGCTAAAAGTTATTCTTGTTAGCAAAACTAAGGTTAATATAATAATGCTTATTATGAATATACAGATAATAAATTATACAAATAAATGCTAAAAAAAGAAGATGGTTGTACATATATTCAATGAAATATTAGTCAGAAAAAAGAATGAAATCTTAACCATTTACAACAACATGATGGACCAAGAGTGTATTGTGCTATGTGAACTGAGTAGAGAAAGATGAATACCATATCATTTCACTTATATGTGGAATTTAAAGAACAAAATAAACAAACAAAGAAAACAGAAACAGACTCATAGATATGGAGAACAAACTGATGGTTGCCAGATGGGAAGAGGGTTGGAAGTTTGGATGAAAAGGGGAAAGGCATTAAGAAGTACAAATTGGTAGTTACAAAATAGTCACAAAAATGTAAAGCACAGCCTAAGGAATATAGCCAATAATATTGTAATAATGATGTATGGTGTCTGGTGGGTACTGAACTTATGGGGGAAATCACTTTGTAAATCATATAAATGTCTAACCACTATGCTGTACACCTAAAACTAATAAAAGTAATACTTAATGTTGACTGTAATTGGAAGGAAGTGGATAACTATGGAAATAGCCACCTGGAAAGTAATCCTAACTTTCAACAGATATACAAAAGTATAAGAGGCCTTTTGCCAGAGCTGACCCACAGCTACCAATAGGCTAACTGCTCTCTGTCTCACTCTCCAGCCACTGTAATTTTCACTTAAAACACCTGAGGATTCTTTTCTTGTTAATGTCATGAAATGAATTCAAAGACACAACCAGGAGTTTGAAGCTTGAACATGGAGGGGTCTTTTACAACAAAGTGTTTGCATTTTAAAATAGTGGCTGGCATAGGATCTAGAAATCTGTGGTTTTCATAAAGTCCAGGTTTCTGGCACTTTGTCACAGCTAGGAACCACTGGAATAAAACATCTTACCTGTTAAGAAAATAAAACTGTTATTTGGATTCACATGCAGCTTATTCCACCTGTGTCTAGGGCCCACTTAACTCCCAGTCTTGTTGCTCTTCTTCCGCACAGATAAACACTGCAAAATTGCAAAAAAATACTGATCTATTTTTATTTCAAAGACATTATAACACAAGGTGATTTCCATTTTCTTCTGATCCCAGAGAACTAACTGTGGAAAAGAAAAGCTCTTTTATTAAAGTTTAAAACAGTATTCTTCACTATATTCATTTTAGACTAACTTTGAAAATGAAAGTTATCACAGTATTCATTTATGTAGTGCACTGCCTTGTTGTGTGTTTTGATGAACATTCATTTTGAAGTACTGCAGACCTTCCTAAATATAAAAGAAACTTTGCCTCAACGTTTCATTGGATTCCTAAAGAAGTCTTGTATGACGTAGTGTTGGAGATCCATTTTTCTCTTCTAGCCTACTCACCCAAAGTGAGTGACATGCTCTGTTCCTTAACGAATGAACATTATTTTGTCTTTCACCATTCCTTAACATGCACCCCAAGTTCTGCCCTCCACTATCATCATCCCAAGTTCTACCCCCTCCTTCTGCAAATCATGACTTCCCCCTTTTTTAGTGTCTCTAGCACAATATTCCCTACCTACAGCTTTTCCTTTTTTTTTTTCCCAGCCTGGAATACATCCCTTTTACCCCTTTCTCCAGATGTCCATTTCATGTTGATCTTTCCCTCCACTGAAACCAGGAATGTTTACATATTGCCTTAAGTTGCTAGTTATCTCTGGGGAAGGCTATTTGTCTTCCCACTAGTTCTAAACTCCTTCATGGCAAAGAGCTCATCTTGTTCTTCCGTGTATTTCCACAGAGCCTAAGATATCGCTATGCACATTTTAACAATGGATAAATACTTGTAGTTGTGTTAGGTAGAATAGATAGTAAACCAAGGCAGGGAGGAGGAGGGAGACATGTCTCATCCAGTAACTCAGCAGTCCTGAGCCTGGTCTGATAATATTGCCAGGTGTTCCAACGTCACAGGAAACAGCATGATAACACAGGAGAGGGGAAGTCCTTGAAGTTTTGCGTATCTTTTCCACTCTCTGGTAAAGAAAGCCTTTGAAACTGTAATTTTGCCTCAAGGCCTGAAAGGCAGGAGAGGGTCCACAATGCTCAAATAAGAAGCCCGTAAAACAACTTTGGTTAATTGCCTGCGCCTGGACACTATATGTTTTAGGAGGGATTCCCTGATGCTTACAGAAAGAGCCCATAAATGACTTTGGGTAACTACCTCAACTTCAATTAACTGCCTCCCATCACGTATCTGTTTTTACAACAAGATGAACAAATGTGGTCTGGAGCAAGATAAGGATTCGGGCCAACAGACCCACCACATATACCCAAGTTTGGGTAGTCATATCCCCCTGGGAAAGCTGGTATCGCTATTACCTGTCAATCAATATAAGTTCTTTATCCCACCCTGCCAACTACAGAAGTCCTCAGAACAAAGGACTTCCCCCACACCCACCCCACCCCCTCTCTGATCTCTGGCCACCCAGGCACTTGCCACTCCATACTTTAGCCACCCTTACCCTTCTTTGCCTTGAACCTATGTCTTTCACCACCCACCCCCAAACCTCAACAAGGCCTATTCTCTTCCCTGAGAACATATCACCAATAAACCTGCTTGTGGGCTAATAGACTTGCAGATCTGCAATTCTTACTGCCTCTGCGAGAAGAACTGAGTTTCTGGGAGTTTCTACCATAACAGTTGTATGATCACTATATACCTAAATATACTGTGTAGTATAATGTTGCCCACTGACATTTTTCCATATCTAAGTCACCCCAACTTTTATAAATTTCTATTATAAGGAGACCTATGTTACACTATTGCAAGACCTTTAGGTCTAACAGTGCTGTACACTAGAGTGTGGAGGCTATATCTATACACACCTATATATCTATGTATCTTTATATACATATATACACATTTTATGCATTATATAATGTGTATATTATATAAACATTATATTGCATATATTATATATAATGTGTATATATACTTTTCCTCCCATCTTCTAAGTTTTTCTAGTTGGGTAATAATTAAGTTAACAGAAACTGATTAGCAGGAAAAACTCAAATTGTATGTAATGCATGCACGTAGGGAGTTCACATAGGCGTGAAAATTCCAAAGACAGTGAGGCAACATTGGATATATGTGACATTTTGGACAAATGAGAAAAGGGGCGGTGGGTAGGGTCTTAGATTTCAAAAGTGAGAATGGGCTATTTACAAGTAGTTGAGGAAGAGTGGAATATACAAGGCAGGCAAATTCTTACATGGTAACTCAGAAACACGGACACAGTGGGCAGCTCCCTAAAAGTCCCCCGCCCGAAGGCCTGTATTTACCATCCCTAATTGAAATTTGGGTAAAGCGAATGTCCTAAGATCCCCTGCCCGGAGTAGCCTTTTCCATCTGAATCTCTTAAACTGGAAGGGGGAAGGGGAAAGGGGGAAGGGGAGAGGGGGACGGGGGAAGGGGGGAAGTTCTTTCTGTGTCTTTTGTTTCTTAATAAACAGCTTAAAATTTGATGTCTCCAAAGGCAAAGCTTGTGGTCAAGAGGGGGACCCAAAACACCCAGAATTTATTAATAAAAAATTGTATATTTATTCTTACATGTTTAAACTTCAGACAGCTTCCAAGTACTTTCCGTTTGTTGCAATACACCTCTTCAGACTTTTTTTCACTGCTCAAACCAGTTTTTGAACGCGATTTTGACGCCTTTTAGTGCTTCTGCTGTTGTTTCACTGCTTTCACATTAGCAAAATGCTTCCTTTTGAGGACTTTTTTCATCCATGGAAACCAAAAGTCACTTGGGGAGAGATCAGGTGAATAGGGTGGGTGGAGCATGGGGGTCAGGCGGTTTTTTTTTTTTTTTTTTGTCAGAAACACTCATCTGGTGTGGGCAGGTACACTCACAAATCACCCATCATGAAATGGGCAAATGAGTTGAAAAAGCTTTAAAAAAAATTCACTGAAACACAACAATGCCACCTAGTACACTGAATCAGATGAGTTCCCAGAACACTCATCTGGCTGGGGGCTGGGGGCTGCGTGAACCACAAGGGTGCTGCCCTCCAGAAGACAACTCCGGTTTTGGCGGGGGGTCCTCCCACCTATGGCTTCGCTCTAAACAAACCAACAGGACTGCACTCGCCCAGCGGAACAGCGCATTAACAGACAGAGCGGTGGGAAGCCCCAGCTTCCAGGCGAGCATTTCCAGGGAAGCTAAGCCCCAAGTTGGGACTTGTGTGGAGGGAACAACGGCAGCCAGCCACTGCGGTGCGGCGGCCCTGCCTGCGCGCACGCGGGCGGCTCCCTCGCCATGTTTGCGCGGGGCCGCGCTTCCGCCCGCGGAGCCGCAGCGGGGACTCCGCAGAGGCTCCCGGGGATGGAGCAGCCCGTGCGCTCCCAGCTGGGGCTGTGGCTGCTATTGCTGCTCCTGTCCCAAGTGCCCGGCCGCCAGAAGGAGTCAGGTGGGCTCTGGGCGGGCCGAGCCGGGGTCTGGCTCGGTCCGGAGGCGCTCTCCCGCCCCCTAGCTCCCCGGGGCTGCTGCACCGGTTGACGCTGCGACCGCAGAGTTGGGCGCGGGGCACCGGGCGAAGGGGGAAGTGGGGGCGGGCGCCTTGGAGCGGAAAGTGAATGTCGGGCTGTGCGGAGCAGCTTCTCCGGCCCGGGACCCTGGAGAATCACCCATCCTCCAGAATTCGGAGTGAGAGTGGGGAGCAGAGAGAGTTTCCCTGCTCGGGCATAGCGGGCATCGCCCGCGCCCTGCACCCCCTAAAGCACACTGGGGTATAAATCGTGTGTGTGCGCGCGCCCGGGGGTGAGAGGGGGGACGGAAGTACGTGTGTGCGTGTGTGTGTGTTTTCTTAGGCCATTACCAGGAGGGTCAATTGATTCTCTTTGTAGGACTGAGTTTGATTAGTAAGAGGTGGGAATGGGTGTTACCAGTTTATCCGTAGCCTTCTGAGTGCCAGGCATTAAGCTTGTAAAATTTCCAGTTTCTTGGTTACCTTAGGGCCTGAATAGAGTCCTAGGGCTTGACATTAGTGCTGGGGAGTTACAGAATGAAGCCTTCCTGGCGTTTCGTTTCCACCAGTGGGATGGGAAGGGGTGTGTAAAACTTTTGGCCTTCTGTTTGTTCTACTAGTAAATAAGAATGCTCGGGTTTTTGTTAACCTTTATTTACTTCACTTTTTGAAGGTTCAACATGGAAAGTATTTATTGACCAAATTAACAGGTCTTTGGAGAATTATGAACCATGTTCAAGTCAAAGCTGCAGCTGCTACCATGGGTGAGTTCTTTGATTTGTCTTTGAGAATTTAGTTCTTGTCACAAAGAAGTCCCCTAAGATCTCCAAGGGACCTTGGTTTCAGTGGTCAGGGAGGCAAGCATGTTTTGAATGCAGACAGGGTCCCTGAGGTGGTTTCCTATTTCTAGGGCAGCGATTCTCAACCAGTGTGCCACGAGAATTTTTAAAACATGCAGCACCTGACCATTTAGTCAGCGGCACTGACCTCTTTTCCTTTAGATTGTCAAATAAAGAAATGACAACAGGTAACACAATGATAGTTGTCCAGTGTGAATGAATTAAATTATACCTATGTTTGTGGTGTGCCACAGAATTTTAGTAATTAGTTTATGTGTATCACAAGATAAGAAAGGTTGAGAATTGCTGTTCTTGGGCATAGAAATGCCCTGGGATAGGAGAGGCCTCAGCCTCACCACTAACTCCTTGTGAGAGTCAGCACGTGCACTTGTCTGTGTTCCCCACTGGACTGAGAGCTTCTTGAGGTCAAGGTTTGTGTCTTAATAAATGTTGTAGGAATGACGATATTTATAAATGAATCTAATTATACCTTTCCTGATGGTTTTAACATATGCAAGTTAGGGCCAGAGTGTCAAAGAAAGTTTTTTGGGAAACAATACTCAGGTTCTAGTCCCAGATGTCCCATTAATTACTCCTGTGACAAGCCACTTAAGTTGTCTGGGTCTCAGAGTTCCCATCCGATAAGTTTCAGGGGCCTTTAGCTCTTCATTATGTTACTCCATGGCTTCTCAGAAAATTCACTGGATGCTTATGATACTCATTAAAAATTTACTATGTACTGAACTTTTTTTAAAGGGATACAGAGTAGTGTAATTTCTGGTGATTGCTCTTAGCCTACAGACAAACCAGAACGAGGGAGTCAGACCATGTCAGACTACCATGCACAAACCACACCTTCTGTGGGATTCAGAGAAGGGGGAGTCAGTGGGACTGCAATGATGGGAGGACACGGATGTGGCACCAGGAGGGGACGTTGAATATGCGTCAGGCAAGGGAGGGGCAGTCCAGATGGAGGGAGGAAGAAGAGACATTGACTTGCTTTTTCCTTTTGGTGGCTTTGATGTTGATGATGTTTTAGATTGCCTACGGTGCCTCTGGGGCAAAAGGTACTCATTCCTGCCCTCTATTCTTCCCCTCAGTTTACTGTGTTCTTTAACACTAAACCTAGAGCCAAGGAAGTAGGTGGAATGGTACCACTCTCTTGGCCTGCTTTCCTTGATGATTCCCATTCTTTCCTTAGCGTCATGGAAGAGGATCTGAATCTTTTCCGAGGAGGTATCTCAAAGAAGATGATGGCAGAGGTAGTCAGACGGAAGCTAGGAACTCACTATCAGATCATTAAGCACAGATTATACAGAGAAAAGGACTGCATGTTTCCCTCAAGGTGAGAGTTACGAGGTAAAGCTATCTTCTGACCTTACTACACATGAATTTACTTGATTCTGTTCTTACAAAGAAGCCAGTTAGGGGAAGGAGGTGGGGAGGGCTGGGATGGTAGGGAGGACTGGGGGGAAAAGGCAGAAAACTGTGCTTGAACAACAATAAAAAATAAAATAAAATAAAATAAATACACAAAGAAGCCCATTAAAGGGACCCACAGGCAAAATCCCTCCTCACGCTTCAGAGGACTGTAAAATGTGACAAGCACTTTTCGCCTGGGAATTTTTCTTGCCAACTCCTACCAAAGCCTCTCTCCTCTCTCTTCGTGAGGCTTGGGCATATCACTGGTTGTCCTGGCCTGTGCTTCTGCCCTTTCTCTTCTTTCCTGCATATTCCTGCCCTGTCTTGTAGCTGCAGAACACAAGCTGAGACCTACCAGGAGTGAGGTGGGCTGAAGGTGGGGGAAAAGCATTGATTGTCAAGGGCCAAGCATTGTTGTGCATACCAGATATTTGAAGTAAGGTGGTGGGGACTCAGGAGGGGTGACTGAGGCTGCAGACTGTGCAGGACTTTAGGTGTGGGAGCTAAGGTAACAAATCAGCGGGCTGAGGACTGGGGTTGGGGAGCAGGAGGGGCACGGACTGAGCCTGGAGGTTGGGTTTAGGCAGCATTATATACAATGGATGATAGACCTCCCTTGTAGAAGTCTCGTATTTAAGTAAACAACTCATCTTTATAAAATTACAAAGTATAAAACTCAGAGGGCATGACGTTCCCTTACCTGAGATCATCTTTCTAAACAATCTCTATGCTGTTATTAAAAGTAAAATAAATGATCAGTATTACAAAAAACACGTATCCACTTGGACATAACAATTTATATTATTTGTTCTTAATAACAACAACTTTATTACCAGTTAGTACATTTTCATTGTCAAAATATGTAAAAACAACAACAAAAAGGAAAATGAAGATCACTTAGTGTTTTATACACTGAGATAATCAAAATTACTTTTTGGTTATCAAGTATCAAGAGAAAATAAGGTAGTGGGAAAATCATTGAGGTATTTTAAACAGACATTTGTTTCATTACCTGAGACTCTAACAGAGACTCTAAGTACAAATTAAGAGCATATAGGAATTTCTAATTTCCACAATGAGAAATGATGTGGACCCCAGCTTGTGGGGTACACAACATTATGGATGAGATTTGAGATAAATTCATACAGACTACTGAGTCCTATGGAGGAAAACGGATGGAATGGACACTCTCTCAAGGGGAGAGCAGGCTGACCCTTGCTTTGACAAGCTTTTATTGCTTTTCTGGGCACATTACATTGAGGATGGTTCTCATTTACTATGCACAGCTTCACTTTAAGTGGTTACCTTTTACAGAAAACAAAGGAGAGGATGCCACTAATCACATCACAGAAGAGGGATATTTGCAAATGCAAAGGGAAAAGTGGTTGAACTGGTTACATTTGTCCTTGGAAGGTTTAGCATAGACTTTATTTAGGAAGTTAATTTAAAGATGTGCAGTAAACATTTTCTATCTCAATTTAGGGTGAGGAAGTTTTAGCAAAAGCAAGTCTTAAAGCAGCCCAGGTACATGCAGGTGTGATTCCCCACTGGAGAACCCATCCATGGGCATGGTCCTGGGTTCCGGACCTTGCTTTTCACTGGCTTTTGAGTGGGAGCTGGGCCCATGCCACATAGAATGTTCTCCTATAGAGAAAGAAAATATGAATATATACATTATTGGCCTTTGAAAGCTTACCCAGTGTCTAACAGTTAGCTGAACAATTTCCAGTTGAAATGAAATATTTTTGAAGTTTCTGAAAGGTACAAAACTCTATTTCAGACCTCAGAGCCTTTTGGTCAGGATCAGGAGCTCTTAGAAGTATTCTTTAAAAAGCATAAGACCTTTCATTGATAATCAAATAGTCTGTATTTCTGCCCTGGCTGGTGTGGCTCAATGTTTGAGTGCTGGCCTGCAAATGAAAGGGTCACTGGTTCAATTCCCAGTCAGGGCACATGCCTGGGTTGCAGGCCAGGTACGTGAAAGGTAACCACCCACACATTGATATTTCTCTCCCACTCTTTCTCCCTCCAATCCCCTCTCTAAAAATAAATAAATAAATAAAATCTTTTTAAAAAAGAATTTAAATTCCAGGACAAGTTTCTCTTCCTTCCATTCTGTCTAAAAAAAAAAAAATCAATAAAATGAAATCTTAAAAAAAATGTGTATGTCTAATGCATTGAAAGTTCCCTATCCCAAGTATACACATAGCTAAGGAAAACAGAACAGAAATAGAATGATCAGACCAGTGTTCTTTTTTTGACTTTGATGTTTTCGTTATTTTATACAAAGTTTTCATGTAAACATTACTTAATTTAAATTCTTTTGTGCATAACACATATAGAAATCTTATGAGAATATGTGTCATTTTAAAAATTCTACATAGTAAAATTATTTCTTTGTGTGTGTGTGTACTTTTTTACAATTTTATTTTATTTTTTTATTGTTCAAGTATAGTTTTCCCCCCACCCCTCCTCACCACCCCAGCCTACCTCCCCTGTTTCCACCTCCTCTTGTTATTGTCCCTGTGTCCTGTAAACCCTTCTCCTCCATTGTAATTGTTCCTGTAAACCCTTCACCCTCTTCCTCCATTATCCCCTCCCCTCACCCCTCTGGTGACTGTCAGCCTGTTCTCTATTTCAGTGTCTTTGGTTATATTTAGCTTGCTTGTTTGTTTTGTTGATTAGGTTCCTGTTAATGGTGAGATCAAATGGTATTTGTCTTTGACCACATGGCTTATTTCATTTAGCATAATGCTCTCCAGATCCATCCATGCTGTGGCGAAGGGTAGGAGTTCTTTCTTTCTGCTGCACAGAATTTCACTGTATAAATGTACCATAGTTTTTTAAATATATATTTTATTGATTATGCTATTACAGTTCTCCCATTTTCCCCTTCATTCCCCTCCACACTGCACACCCTCTCCCACCCACATTCCCCTCCTTTAGTTCATGTCCATGTGTCACAAGTTCTTTAGATTCTATATTTCCCATACCATTCTTGCCCTCCCCCCATCTACTTTCTACCTACCATCTATGCTATTTATTCTCTGTACCTTCTCCCCCTCTCTCCTCCCACTCCCCTGTTGCTAACCCTCCATGTGATCTCCATTTCTGTGGTTCTGTTCTTGTTCTAGTTGTTTGCTTGGTTTGTTTTTGTTTAAAGTGTGGTTGTTAATAATTGTGAGTTTGCTGTCATTTTACTATACATGTTTTTTATCTTCTTTTTCTAAGTCTCTTTAACATTTCATAAAAAAAGGGCTTTGTGATGATGAATGCCTTTAACTTGACCTTATCTGAGAAGCACATTATCTGCCTTTCATGACTTGGAATACTTCTTTCCAGCTGCTTCATGTCTGCAAGGTCTCTTTTGAGAAATCAGCTGACAGTCTGATGGGAACTCCTTTGTGGGTGACTGTCTCCTTTTCTCTTGCTGCTTCTAGGATTCTCTCCTTATCTTAAATCTTGGGTAGTGTAATGACGTGCCTTGGTGTGTTCCTCCTTGGGTCCACCTTCTTTGGGACTCTCTGAGCTTCCTGGACTTCCTGGAAGTTTATTTCCTTTGCCAGATTGAAGAAGTTCTTTATTATTTGTTCAAATAAGTTTTCCACTTGTTGCTCTTCCTCTTCCCCTTCTGGTACCCCTATAATTCGGATGTTGGAATGTTTAAAGATGTCCTGGAGGTTCCTAAGCCTGTCCTCATTTTTTTGAATTCTTGTTTCTTCATTCTTTTCTATTTGGTCACTTTTTCTTTCTTCTGGTCCACTCCATTGATTTGAGTCCCAGTTTCCTTTCCATCACTATTGGTTTTCTGTGCATTTCCCTTCATTTCAATTAATTTAGCCTTCATTTGTTCATCTAATTTGTGACTAAAATCAACCAGTTCTGTGAGCATCCTGATCACCAGTGTTTTGAACTGTGCATCTGATAGGTTGGCTATCTCTTGGTTGCTTAGAAGTATTGGCTCTGGGGCTTTGATCTGTTCTTCTGCTTGAGTCATAACTCACCTGTTCTCACCTGTTCTCACCTGTTCTCACCTGTTCTGTATGAGGGGCGGAGCCTTAGGTGTTCATGGGGGTGGGTGACCCAGTCACTGGGTTTCGATACGGTCTGGCTGAATGGTTGATTGTTGTTAGACTTCCGTACAGTTCAGTTTTCTGTGCTTTGGTTGCATTTTTGATACTAAAGCTTTGTTGTCTTTAAATTTGGTTGTGCGAGGAGGCACAGTGTTTTCACCTACGCCTCCATCTTGGCTGGAAGTCCTCGAGCAACTTTTCTTATGTTAATGGACCATTGATATTTTTTGCAGTTTTCTCTTTATGTATAAATCACTGTTTTCAATCATTTGTTTTTTTGCTGCCAGAAAATTTTGGTCAAACCTTGGAATGCTGCTCCCAGTACAGTACTGGTGAGGACCTCGAAGGACAGGTCAGAAAAGCTAAGCTGTCACTCTCCTGTTTCTTGCCAGAAATTCCGTGAAGATTTGTAGGGAGTCTAGTCAGAATATTATATTATAATGCTTGTGATTGTGTATATAACATTCTTTTTCTGGCTTGCAAAACTAATTTGGATAGTGTTCTTCATTTCAGGGTGAAGGTAATGAAAGTTTTCCTATCTTTCCTCATAAACTGTTAGACTTATTAATTATGCAGAAAATAATAAAGTCTTGTGAGAAGCAAGCCCAAGGGATACATTTAGAAAATTAGGCATTTCAGTTTCAATCAGAATTTGTGTCTTGCTTACTGTAGGATTCCCTATTGGAGAAATGAAGAAAAAGACAGGGAATGAACAGAGAAGTGGTGGTAGGAGTAGCAATAATACTCCCTTCAAACTTAGGATGACCCAGCTGGAAAATTAGAGTAAGTGTTGGAAGTTGGAGCAGCTTTGCTAGGAAAGATGACTTACATGGCATGAAAAAGTGGGATAGTCTTTAGGAGCACTACTTTCAGGGCAGTTGGCTATGGCTGATAATGTGAACACTGACTTGTTTTTCTTTACAAGTGCCTGGGACACTTGCTTGTCCCAGAGCTGGCTCTGCTCTGGTGAACCGATATTGTTTCTGTTTGACAGGTGTAGTGGTGTGGAGCACTTTATTTTGGAAGTTATCGGACGCCTCCCTGACATGGAGATGGTGATCAATGTTCGAGATTATCCGCAGGTTCCTAAATGGATGGAGCCTGCCATTCCAGTCTTCTCCTTCAGCAAGGTAAGTACAGGAAAAGCCAAATGAGAGGGTGCAGGGTGGTCCTCTAGGGTATGACTAGGCAAGGACTGTCCTATGGAAGAATCTAATGGGTAATGGCGAGGATGAGGCCTCAGATCTAGGAATGGGTCTGGGTCCCTGTTGGCTTCACGGTAGTTGAGCAGGAAGACTGGGGAGACAGGGTCGAGGACCTGTAAGTAATGTGAGATTGCTTAAGTGTCTGTAGGACTAGGGGTGGAGTGTAGGGAAAGAGAGGCCTGAGTAATCTGTAGGACACTGGAGGGGTATTCAGAGATCCTTGAGAGGGAGTAGCCCAAGAAAACTCATGGGCTTGGAATTAGAGAACTCAGTCAAAATATTTGTTGAGCTCCAACAATAAGCCACAGTATTGGGTGTCATCTGGCCTGTCACTGTATCCCAGGGGCCTAGCGTCACTAACAGCAAAACCGAAGGTGTTAGATAACTCCGCCCAGCTTGTGCCCAAGCAGCACATCCAGTGGATAGGCCTGGGGTATCCAAGAGAGACTTGTGAGGGGGTGATCTTTGGGTCTAGTTATGGAGGAATAGCATTACTAGGACACATGGGTGGGCTTGGAGAGCTTGGGACAGTTAATATCTTGCCAGCGCTCAGATTCTTGTGAATGGTGCATTGGCAGGGATGAGCCTTGGTTCCCTAAAGACTAAGTATGAACACGTCTGTGGACAGAGGTGAGACAGGCCAGAAGAGAGTGGGTGGAAGATTCTTGGGGGTGGGAGGGAGAGTGGGTTTAGGAAAACCCTATGAACTTTGAGAAAAGAATATCATCTCTGATTTGGTTTTTCCAAAGCAGAGGGACCTTTTATCCCCACTTTTTCTTTATCACAGTTTACTTGCTCTCTAGACTTATTTCCTGTATTGCAGTTGGGCTGAGGCCATATTTGTGTTGCATTTCCCATGATTTAGCCTCATTTCTCAAAAGTGCTTGGTCCTGTTGTTTGTCATGAAACCCTTCCTGGAGAACAAATAGAGGTTCCCATGTAAGTCAGTAAGGACTTTGTTTGCTATTTATCTGTTGTTTCTGTGGATAATAAAGTATGACCATCATTATACTAACTTTCTTTTCAGTTTTACTCCCCTTCTTTTTTTTACATCAATGGCTCTTAGTCTCCAAAGGAGAGATTTTAGTCTGCCAACTTTATAGTAATTATGCAGCTTCCATTGAGAAGCTATGTCTGAGCTGCTTGATAAATTACATACCTTTTTTCAAGTATTTGAGAGAGTAGGCAAATAGCATATGGGAATGTAATTCCAACAGAAGAAACAGTAGAGTTAGAGGTTTCTCAGGAGCCAGAGTTTTGACAGAAGTAACTATAAAAAGGGAACAGATGGTTTTAAACTTTTTTCAAAAGATGTGGGATCACCCCCTTTACCCCATTCTGCTCATCAGCACTTCTAAACCTGATAGACAGATAACCAAGAATTTATTGACTAACCAATGTGAGCTCAACAGTGCCACAGTGTCGGGAAGTGCTAACAGTTAGTGAATGTGTAATGTGTGTCAGATGCTCCTCTGAGCGTTTTACTGTATGGCTCATTTAATATTCAGAACAAACCTATCACATAGACAGTGTTATTGACAACGTTAGTTCTCCCATTATAAAGATAAGGAAACTGAGGCATAAAAAGATTAATTTGTCTTGAGCTGAAAAGAGATGGAGTCAGCATTCAGATTCAAATGATCTGTCTCAGGAGCCCACAGTCTTAACCACTGCACTGTATTTCTTAATTCTTGCTTTCAAAAAACCCATCTAAGAAATAACCAAGAACTGGTAAGACAGTATGCACTCCAAGTGTAAGAGCAGTTAAAACATGAGAGAGCTATGTGATCATTCAGAATTGTATACATTATTTCCTTAAACTAGAAACTCTAGTTTATGTCCTAGGTGTATGTCCTCTAGAAAAACAGAACTTTGGGGGACTGGAAAAGTTGACTTTTAATGGGATCTCAAATTCCAAGCTGGAGCATTGGTGGTTCTCAAATTCCAGGATTCAGTGAGCACACACTCACTGAATCCTTGCCTTTTTAACACCTAGAGTCTAGACTTTGCATACTAGGGAAGATAAGTTTTTGGCAATAGGGCTTGCAAGGCCTTTGTCCAGATCGAGTTGTATGAATGCAGTTGGCTGCTTTCCCTCTGTTCTGACACTGATTTAGAACCACCTTTCTGTTTCTGTTGAAGACATCGGAGTACCATGATATCATGTATCCTGCTTGGACATTTTGGGAAGGGGGACCCGCTGTTTGGCCACTATATCCTTCAGGTCTTGGACGGTGGGACCTCTTCAGAGAAGATCTGATAAGGTAGGTCCTTTAGAGAGGTTTTGTTTGTCCCTCTTTATGGGTCTTTTTCAAATAAACAGCATATAAACAATTACTTTAAAATGACTTTTAAGTTAAAAATGAAAGACAAAAACTATTTTTTGGACATCTCAAAGGCAGGTTTACTCCATATCATCTCTGATACACGATTAAGACATGCCTTGGCCTGGTGTCTTCATCCCATCCTGCCATCGTTTCAGAATTCATATTGTTCAGGTTGTCTAAGCCATAGGTATTCTTACCTGGCTACATTTTACATCAATGATTCGAACAACATTGGTACTTAGCAAACTTCTGGAAACACAGTCTATATAGTTCTTCTCTCAGGCATAGGGGAAGCAATAATTTAATTTAACTTTCTTCCACAAATATCTATCATCTGTACTAAGTGTGGCTGGACATTCAAAGGGGATGAAGTGCATGTTCTTTCCCTGGAGAACCATGTGGGGCCATAGTCCTCAGGGACTGTAAGAAGCCTTTGAGTAAAAAAGGAAAAAAAGAGTCTACTATCCATAGGTATACTTTGTAAATTAGTTTTTAGTATAACCTGGTCTCATACTTCATAGCTCTGAGACTGCAAATTGTACTTGTCCAACTCTTTGTTTCAGGGATGAGGAACAAAAGGCCCAGATGGGTTAAGTGGCTTGATCAAGATCAGGAACCAGTCTAGGCCTCAAGTTCAGGTTTCTGAGAGCATCACTCTCTCTACTTTACCTGTTAATGTTACCGTTGTTCTCCAGCCATTGGGGCCATCATCTCTTATTTATCTGTTAATTTTGAACATAATTTCAAGAGAAGGGAAAAATAAAAGGGTCTTAAACCTTTTGTTCTACAAGTTACTTGTTGGCCTTATTTTTCTAATGCTTTTTTTTGAGGGGGTGCTCAAGAATACCCTTCTCATACTCTTTTTGTAGCTCTTTTTCTACCTGCTATCCACATACTTTTTAAATCTTTAAAAATAACTTTTTCTATTATGAAACCTATACATGCTCATGAAAATTTTAAATATGTCTAACCTAGCCAACTTTTCCCCCACTTACCGATGTGTGTCAGTGTACACAAAGCTACCTCATTATCTTTAACAGATGCATAGTATTCTATTGCATGGGTGATAATTTTTTAATTATGTCTTTTGATAGACATTTAGACCGCATATATATAAAATAGTACAAGCATACTTTGTTTTTTAATGGACCATTTGAGAGTATGTTGCATACCTTATAATCCTTTACCCTTTAGTACTTTAGCTGTGTATTTCCTAAAAGCAAGGGTGTTCTCTTCTATAACTACACTAAAATGATCAAATTCAGAACACAATATTGATATAATACTTGTCTCAATAGTATCCTATATAGTACTCTCCCTTACAAGTATAGGACACAGTTCATGATCATAGATTACATGCATTTGTCATGTTTCCTTTAATCTGGAACAGTTTTTGAATCCTTCTCTTTCATGACATTGATGTTTCGAAGAATACAGAATGTTCTTCAGTTGGGATTTGTCTATTTCTCACGATCAGATTCAGTGTATGCATTGTTGGTCCAAATACTATATTTATATACTATATAAGTGATTTTTTGTCCCACTGCCCCTCATTAGTGATGTTGGTGTTGATCACCTGGTCAAGGTGTTATCCATTTCCTTCACTATGTAGTTACTGTTTTCCTCCTTGTAAATTAATAAGCAGTTTATAGGGAGATAGAACATGTTTTAAAATCTTATATGAAAAATGTTTTGATATCTTCCCCTTATATTCTTCAGTTGAATTTATTCATGATTATAGAATTGCCATTTTATAGCTTAGAGCCTTCCATTCAGAATCTCTAGCTACGTGATTTTATTTTTTTTTACCTTGAAACTTAAATAGTCTGTTTGTTTATCCAAATGCATTGGCCTGCCACTTTTCTGTTTTTATCATCTTTTGGGAGTTTCTCTTCATTGACTTACTTCCCACTCTGTAGAAGAATTAACTGTCATTGTGCATTTAAAGATTGCACTCTCTACTGTCAGGGATGGGGGAGAGGGTAATTGAAGCGGGTGGGGGCAACACCAGGCTGTGGTGGCCACTCTTAGCACGAGCCTGAAGGGAAAAGTCCTAAGGTAAGTATTGTGAGAGGTGGGCAGGAAGAATGAGGGAGAGGGAAAACAGACATGATACATCATTCAAGTCTGTGTATATTAAACACACCTTTCCCAGGGACCAAGGAAATTTATACTAAAAATTTGAGTATAAATTAACTTTTTTGGATAGTTTGGCAAAATATATCAAAATTTACAGTCTGTGTACCCTTTTATCCTGCTATTTCACTTCTGCAATTTATCCTGAGGTGTTAATTAGACAAGTGTGCAAAGATGTGTGTATAAGGATATTTGCTACAGTGTTGTTTCTTAAAGAAAAGTCGGGAACTACCTAAGAGCCCATCCATAAGAAACACATTATTAAATAGCTATCAAATAGAATACTGTGTGTGACTGTAAAATAAAATTAGTATAGGACTTAAAATCAGGGAGTCTTGGTTCAAACCCTGGCTCTTAGCTGTGTGACTGTGCAAATTGCATAACTACTCAGGAGCCCAGGCTGTAAAGTAATAATAATAAAACCCACCTCATAAGTTTGTGAGGATAAGTTCCTAAATGTATAAATCACTTAGAACAGTGTCCAGAACATAGAAAGTACTGTGTAGGTATTGGCTCTCATTATCTATAATATTTGTCATTATAAGAATGTTGCCTAACCGTGTGCCTGGTATGATCTCTGGTATATAGAACAAGGTTTCTCAATCTTGGTGCTATTGACCTTTTTGGGCCAGATCATTTTTTGTTCCAGGGGCCTGTCCTGTGCATTATAGGATGTTTAGCAACCTGCTTTGGCCTCTACCCACCAGCAGCGGCCAGTAGCAGTCCCTAGGTAGTGACAGTCAGAAATGTTTGTAGACATGGACCAAGTGTCCCCTGAGGGAAAGGGGCAGAATCACCTCTAGCTGTGAACCCTGATATGGAGAGATGATGGGGAGGAAATTCTTCACTGAAACAAATGTTAAATTGTTAAAAGCGTTTGTGCATAGGGAAATTAGACAATGCTTCCTCCACTTTTATTTTATGTTTTTACATTTATATAATTAGCACTTATCATTTCCCACTGGAAAACTTATCAAACAAAACCCCAGTGCTATAGTGATTATATTTTGCCGGAAAGGTATATGGGACAGAGTGTAAGAGAGCGCTGGCTTTGAACGGGACAGTCAGCTGAAGATGATCCAGCAAGAAAGCGCTGGAGATAAGCTAGGAAAAATGGAGCAGCGCTGTCAGCTGAGAGAAATGAGCAGTGTGACACTGTGCATCTGAAAAGTATCTCTACCTACAAAGTTTATACCCTAAATCTCATTTCAGGAATATAGACCACCAGTCCCCCATTAACTCCAGCTGAGCCCTCCTCTCCTTTTTCAGAGAAATCATTGAGAAAACTTCTGTGCAGGGTTCCTACAAAGAAAGTTAAGAAAGGTGAGCTAGTAGTTTCAGCAAGAAAAGCTGGTCGTCCTAGCTGGTGTAGCTCGGTGGATTGAGCGCGGGCCTGCGAACCAGACAATCGCGGTTCGATTCCCAGTTAGGGCACATACTGGGTTGCAGGCTGGTTCCCTGCAGGCCAGTTCCCAGCAGGGGACGCACAAAGGCAACCATACATTGATGTTTCTCTCCCTCTCTCCTTCCCTTCCCCTCTACAGATAAATAAATAAAATCTTTAAAAAAAAAAAAAAGAAAAGCTGGTCGTGGTAATGTGTTCTGAGACCTGAGTGGCAGGGACTTCATCTTTATGGAGCACTTAGTACAGTTTTGAGGATACCAGGGTGCTTTGCAAAATCAGACCGAACCTGATGGTACCTCCTTGTGTGTCCAAAACATGAAGTCAAGGAGTGATTTTTTTTCTGGCCCTTAATTCAACTTCTGATATTTTCTTCAGTTCTCTTTGCATGTTAATTTTATTAATAACACTCTACTTGAAGTAGAGAGGAAACCCTCTGAATTATAGAGCCCTAATAAACATGTCACTTAGTGTTTGGGAACTTTTCTTTCAATGTTGTTAACTTTTTAATGGAGCAGTAGATGTGTAGATACTACTTGCTAATACCTCTGGAGGAATGAAATAATAACAAAAGGAAACACAATGTCATTTAGGGATTTTTAAAAATAATTTTATTTATTTTACATTTTATTTATTTATCTTTAGAAGGAAAGGGAAGGAGAGAGGGAGAGAAATATCAATGTATGGTTGCTTCTCATGTGTCCCCTGCTGGGAACTGGCATGCAACCCAGGCATGTGCTCTGACTGGGAATCGAACCAGATCCTTTGGTTAGCAGCAGGCCCTTGCTCAATCCACTGAGCTACACCAGCCAGGGCTCGTTTAGGGATTTTTCTTTGGAATAGCCTGGCTCAGACTTACTTCAAAATGTAAAGCTCTGAACTAATCCTCAAAAATGGTTAAAACACATCCTTATATAGTTATGAAAAAAAGAACATAGAAACTAATCAAAATTTATTTTTAGGTCAGCAGCACAGTGGCCATGGAAAAAGAAAAATTCCACAGCGTACTTCCGAGGATCAAGGTGATTATATTTTCTGGCATTTTACAAAGATATTCTTACAATTAATGTGTAAAATCTAAGTAATTTTGAGGATGTAGCAAACTCTACCTTACAAAGAAAGCTAACTAAGAAATACATGTAGAATCATGGAGTTTTTAGATTACAGAAGAACTCAAATTACTTGCCCAAATTACCCTTAATTGAACTGAAAGTCAAAGAAGTTCACTCAGTAATTCAGCAGATATTTACAGAGTGCCACGAGTGTGATGGGCAATAATTACATAACATCAGACAGGTGAGTTTTCCTCCTACCTGAGAGATTAGTTTTCTGGGAGCAGTTTATGATCTTGCCCAGTCACTCTGCTAGTTAGTATCTCCTGACTACCTTTTTTATTGGACACGTGGCTGCCAAATAGTGATAGAGAGCACGGGCAGAGACTGGTAAAAATGGAGAGGGCATCAGGGAAGAAAGAGAGGAAGAAGGAAAGGGGGAAAAGGTGGAGAAGGACTGCATCTGTGTTGTTCAGCTCCGTATCCCCACTGCCAAGGTCAGTATCTGCCATATAGACACACGATGAGTGTGTGTTGAACAGATGAATACAAAAGAGACTGTGATGAGAGAAGGGTTTTGTAGTTTTCTTGGTGAGTTCCTATCAGGGACCCCACAGTCTGTTTACCTGAACCGTGGACTTCAGAGTGCAGACGGCCGAACAGCTGCTACTTACTGTTTCGTATCAACTTCTCTGCTGCTCACATCTTGAGATCACAGATTCTCAACTTGGGATCCATGTGTGGATTTCAAGGGTTTCAGGACTTTCTTGGACTTATAGGGGGCCATGTGCATTTTTCTAGAGAGGGGAGTGCATAGTTCTCATCAGATTCTCAGAGGGTCCCTATGACCCCACAAATGTCAAGTAGTCTTCAGGTTTTTAAGCCTTTTAGTTTTCTTTTTCATTTAAATATTATCCTAGACTTTACAGAGCATACGTAACAAAGGTCATGTAGCTATTTGGTGAGTGGTGATTATGTAGTCACACAGTTCTGGGTACTACTGATCATAGAGGCTACATGAACCCTCCTGAAAGGGAAGTCATTTCCTGGAATATGGCTATAGTGACAGAAACAACATAATCTTAAAAACTAGATGCCGAAGTATCTGGTATCTTCCTCCACTATTAAAGTAGCCAATGAGTTGTCCACCTGTGTGTATCATCATTGCATTGGGTCCAATTACTGCTTACCTTCCAGACTGGGAATGGTATTGTGGTGTAGGACATAGAGTTTTATGTCATGTGTTTCTTTTATAGGACAAGTCCAGAGCGAGATCCTCTCATTCTCCTATCTCGGAAAAATCCAAAACTTGTTGATGCAGAGTACACCAAAAACCAGGCCTGGAAGTCTATGAAAGTAATCACCAATCATCTGAATAGAAACTAAAGCAATGAATATTCTCACTCAAAGAACATTGATCGCCACCTGCGTAGAAGTTCAGAGTAGGGTTCCTGTCAGTGATGAATGTAGAGAGTGTTGCATGAACTAGTTTTAGCATTCTTTTTCAAACTTACATTGCTTTTCTGATCCATATTCTGAGTGGCATTTTATACTACTTTGAAGGTGTAAACCAGAAGTCACAAAGTGTTTATGTGAAGGGCCAGATGGTAAATGTTTTAGGCTTTGTGGGTCATGAGGTCTCTGCCGCAGTTACTCGACTCTGATGTCTCAGCACAAAAGCAGCATAAACAACACATGAATGTCTGAACTTGGCTGTGTGCTAGGAAAACCGTATGGCTCTGAAATTTGAATTTTATGTAATTTTCATATGTCAAACTATTCTCCTTTGGATTTTTTGCAACCATTTGAAAGGTGAAAACAGTCTTAGTTAGTGGGTTATATGCAAAAAACAAGCAGTAGGCTGGATTTGGCCTATGGACTGTAGTTTGCCAACCCCTGGTTTAAACTAGTGGTTCTCAACCCTGTGACTGTACAATCCAACCAGAGAGCTTGCAAATGATTCAGATGAATCAGAATCTCTGGGGATAGGGTCCAGGCATCTTCATTTGTTTAAAACTCTATTGTAAGGTAAAGCCAGCATTGGTAGGCTTTGGTTTGGAGCTTATGTCTGTCCTCTTAACTCTATGACTTCTTGCCTAATTCAAAGAACTTTAAGCTCGAAATGTACTTATCTGAAATTTCCATGTACTATATGAGGATGATACAAGAAAAAATATTTAAACTTCTTGCGGGAAAAATTAAGCGTATCTTTAAGATGGGCATACTTACTGTATAATAGCTTTAATTAGACAGGAGCAAATGAATTTTAAGAAACTTTGCTTAATAATAAAGATATGAAAAAATGTATCCATTCAGCGGAGCATCTACTGTGGGAGGCTGCAAAAACAAACAGGACTTGTCGCCCTCATCCAGGAGTATGACCTGCTTAGGTGACTGGAATATGCATGTGTGGGTGTCTCCAGTGCAGATGCCCCGGGGGCCACAGGTGCAAGCAGGAGAGGGTGCTAAAGGTCCAGTCATTGCTGTCAAGGGGGATAGGAGCCCAATTTACCAGCTCTCCTTTCCTTTTACAAAGAAAGTTGAAAATCTGGATTTTTGTATGAAATATTGTACTACCTATCAATGGTGGCAGTGGTTTGAATACTCACTTCAAACACTATGCAGGGCCAACAAAATTTGTGGGTGATCTACACCTCTGAGTCCACTCGTGACCTCCTGTGTGTATAGTTTACACAGAGTGAAATGCTCCGTAGGCCATGACCTCAGGGTTCATATGGCTCCGGGGAAGCGTAAACTCTCAAATCAGACAGACCAGGTTTAAAAATGTAGCCCTACAACTTAGGGCCATATGACCCTGAGCAAATCTTCCAAATTCTCAAAGCCTTGGCTTCATCTATGACGCATAAGGTAATAATGCTATGAAGCATAAGGTAATAATGCTTCCTGAGTATATTTATTATGAGACTTAAATGAGATCATGTAATTGAAATGTTTCCCTTGCTTGTTGCACAGTGGTCTTCAATAAATGCTGCTATCACTGATATTAATAACTTCCTTTTCACTTAAAGGATACCTTGGGAAAGCCAGCTGCTAAGGATGTCCATCTTGTGGATCACTGCAAATACAAGTAAGACTTCCTGGACTCCTGACTCTTAGTTTCTCTATTGCTTTTGGAATAGCTGCACTTTGGGTGAGAACTTTAATGCCAGGGCCCAGCTGGGGTTTATGAAAGTCACAGCAATTCATTTAGCTGTCGTTTACTGAAAATCTGATGTGCACAAGGCTCTGTCATAACTTCTGTGGGAACTGTGTAGACGATGAAATATAGTCCCTGCTTCCCTAGAGCTGGTGTGCTAATCAGAGTGATGGGATTCCTTCTCTCCACACCTCATCGAGTCCGTAGCTAAAGTTAGATGAACTATTTATCAGGTTTATAAAACAGTTTAAGGTTCAACAGGAATAAAGCATATGTAATTGAAATACTATATTTAAATACCGGGACTAAGAATCAGAACAGGTAGAAGCAGGTCAGGAGGGGGACAGCGGCAGGACTCAGAGAGATGCATGCTGATTGCAGTGCACAGTGGGAACCACAGGGAGAAGCATCTCTGATTGGAGATGGGGGTGCGTGCATGAGGCATGTTGGAAAGAAAATGTTCTTTTTAAGATAGTTTTTTTTTCCAGGATGTATTTCTTTGAAGCTTGATTAGGTATGCCTGACTGTCCTCTCTAGACTTCAGAAGACAGAACAGGGCATGCCTTTGACCAGATGGGGTACCCTATGGGAAAAACAAACCTTGGGGGGTAGGCATGACAAATTGGAGACATTAGGCCTGTAATAGCTTATAGCAAAGGGTGCGGCGTCATTTCCAGCTGAGCCTTGAATCCTCTCTGCTTAGCACCCAGCTCCTGGCTCTATCTAGCTCTGCCTGGAGAAAGTTTCCCCCTTTCCACCTCATCCTGACATTTACAGGAATAACCTACAGCCCCTGGAAAAGCAAGGAGTTTATGGAAATGCCACAGTGACATGCTGATGTGTCTTTGAAAAATGAAGAGGAAGGAGAAGGGAGAGGGGTCAAAAGGGAAAAGGGATTAAGGAAAAAAGGTCATATTTATGGGAACAACTATATATTATGTATAAAGTATATTCTGCTCTTTCTTTCTCAGGTATCTGTTTAATTTTCGAGGTGTAGCTGCAAGTTTCCGGTTCAAACACCTCTTCCTGTGTGGTTCGCTTGTTTTCCATGTTGGTGATGAGTGGCTGGAATTCTTCTATCCACAACTGAAGCCATGGGTTCATTATATTCCAGTCAAAACAGATCTCTCCAATGTCCAGTAAGCCACTCTCTCCCAAGCAGAGAGTCTAATGACCCCTGTAATCCGCCTCTAAGTCCCCAGCCTTTCAAGGCATATACTTCTGATGCCTTTTTCCACTGAAAGCTTTTTCTTTACTTTGTACACATAGATATTACTGCATTATTATCCAACCAGGCTATAAATACAATTTAATTTGAAAAAGTGCTGGTTCAAAATGTGACATTCAGACACTCTTCAGACGCCCTTCAGACACTCTCAAAGACTAAAGAAAGGACTATTTAATGTTGTTATATTGTTTAAGGAACTCTCAGATACATTTTGAGAAATTATCCCACTGAAGTTGAAGAAAATTTCCTCTCATGATGAAAGGGGCTAGAAACATAAGGGGACCAGAGCAGGAGATAAGAGAGAAGTTTTTTCTGTGCTATTGGTTTTTAAAATATATTTATTTATTTTTAGAGAGGGTAAGGGAGGGAGAGGGAGAAACATCAAAGTGTGGTTGCCTCTCACACCCCCCTGCTGGCCTGCAACCCAGGCATGGGCCCTGACTGGGAACCAAATCCGTAACCTTTGGGTTTGTAGGCCCACACTCACTCCACTGAGCCACGCCAGGGCCTGCACTGTTGATTTTTGATGGGTATCATTGAACATCTATTTTCTCATATATGTCCCCAAACCACAAAATGTTGCTTTTAGCCTGTGTGGGGACATTTTGTTGTTGTTGCTTTGTTCCTGTGGGGACCCTGATATCTTTCCTTTAAAAAAGAAATAATCTACCAGCAACATAACTAGAGACTAACCGTACAACTCAGTCTGTGGTCTTTCTGATTTAGTGCTAATAACTTGCTCTGTATTTCAGAGTTGAATCATTCTTTCCATTTTAGGGAGCTATTGCAGTTTGTAAAAGCAAATGATGACATAGCTCAAGAAATCGCTGAAAGGTAAGCTCTGTTCATTTCTCCTTTTCCATTTTATCCTCCCCATTTTGCTGTCGCTAGGGTTATGTGAATATTGTTACCGTGGCACTGCCTAGATTTGATCCTTATTGTACAGAGATAATCAGAATTAAAACAGTTTTGGGGGAAAGCCAGATGTCCCAAGCCCATCCTGTGTAGAAGTAGACCAAAATCATTGAGATAACTAATCAAGTACTTTTTCTGAGCAGTGGCTGTTTATGTGTTTTTAAGAAAAAAAATTAAGTTCTATTACTAACAGCATATATGTGGATATGATGGCTAGAGTATTCTGAGGATCGAAAGAGTTAATTCACACAGCCCTGGCAAGCTGCTCTGCTGCTTGGAGCATTGTCCCATACACCAGTAGGTTGCAGGTTTGACTCCCAGGCAACCGATCAATGTTTCTTCCTTTCTTTCTCAAATCAATATGTGTTGTTGGGTGAGTTAAAGAAAGAGTTAATTCATTGGAGGAACAAATAGGAAGGACACAGGGACGAGAACTAAGGGGGGTGGAAATGGGAGGGAGGTGGGGAGCAAGGGGCGGGGGAGGCTGGGATGGGAAAAATAGACAAAAAACTGTACTTGAAAAATAACTAAATAAAATTAATTTAAAAAAAGAGTTAATTCATATAAAGTACTCTGAACAGTGCTTGGCACAAGGTAAGCACTCATGAGCTATTAGTATTATTAAATGCTGTGCTTTAAAAGCTTTTGTTCATCTTGTCTTTAGGGGAAGCCAGTTTATTATGAACCACTTGAGGATGGATGACATCACCTGTTACTGGGAGAACCTGTTGACTGAATATTCTAAATTCCTGTCCTATAATGTAACAAGAAGGAAAGACTATGATCAGATTATTCCCCCAATTTTGAAAACTGAACTCTAATAGTCATCATTGGACCAAAGTTTTCACTGTAGCAAGCAGATCTGAGAAACACCGTGGGGGTAGCTTACTGTGAATGTGGCATCTATGCCTTGAATAGTGTTATCAAACCATGTATCTGGTTATCCTTATCATGCTACACAGCAAATCCTGAGAAAGATCCAAAATCTGTATAATACAGATATGAAGCAGCTCAACACTTTGGCTGAATAAGGACCAGAAATTATGAAATGTGGGTTTCGAACCCAATTCTACCTTACATTTTCTTAGGACCAATCACAGCTTGTGCCTCAGATAATCCACTTATGTATGTTCATCACTGTGAAACTGACTGTGTCCGTGGGATGATGTCCTTCGACCCATCTTTGGAGCAGACACCCAGTCATTTGAAAGTACAACTCATCACCGCAATTCTGCAGTTATTCTAGGCTTGATCTTTGATGCTGTATTTTAATGTAAGGAAGCCCTATATGGTTTGTGAAAAATACTTAGGGATTATTTCCTGAAAGGTCTGAGGAAGCAGTAGTTGTGCCATGCAATGACACAGGAGTTCTCTTTTTTTAAAAACATAAACTCTTCAGTACTCAGGAGGTTTTTATGATGCCGTATAGAAAGGGGCCGGTTGCATGAGTAATTGCAATTGGATCTCAAATTCCTTTTGTGCCTTCACACCCTTCTTTTTATGGTCTCTTTAAAAAATAAAAACCTCTCAATAAATTTAGGAAGTAGCTCTTTCTCTTCAAAGGAACTGTGCATAGAACAGCCAATTCTTCACTCTTTGCACACCTTTAATATTTTTCCTCCTTCAAATGACAGCAGTCCACCCTTTCACAGTTTTGCAGGGTCTGGCTTTTCCCTTTTTGAAAAGACATTTGGATAGTAGTTTAATCTCTCAGGATGCTCATGCTAACATAGTCAAAAGTAAAAAATTGTTGGATTAAAACTCATGAAATCTGATGAGTTGAAATCTAAAACTCATGAAAACTCAAGGACTCAGAACCATCCTTGTCCTTCAAACCCAGCCTTTCTACAGAGAAATCAGTTCTTTCCCTTTGATTCCTGAGAACAGGTTGGTATTACTTGGTTTCAAAATTAGTAAATGGGAGACTCAGCCATATAAATTTAGGATTTTATTCCATTTGTGGGAAATGGCCTTATGAACTCCCTTCTACAAAAATATAAGCCTAAGAAACTTCTTAGAGGAGTTAAATACCCCTGGTAAGATCATTGCATGGAATAAGGCAGGCATTTAAAGTTGAATTTTTTGAGTATTAAAAATTATTAAAGATTGTGTCCTTAGGTGATACAAGTCTAGCATAAAAGGTCCAGATTTCTGAGTTATATTATGGTTTTACTTTGTCAATTTGAGGTCCTAATAGATGTCATTTCTCTATTTTACTTCTCTGACTAAGTAGTGACAAAATTTTCTATCCTTTGGAATAGGAGCTGAAACACATTTCCCTGGGAGTATTTCCCATATTGCTTTAAGTTCCAGCTCAAGCTTCACCTTTGCCCTGAAGCCTTTCTTTTATTTCTCTAGTCAGTTAGGGGGCATCATAATACTTTGCTCATGCCTGTATTATATGACATCACATTGTAGTGTAGTTATCTATTTTTCCTGTTCTATGAGCTTCTTGATGGGTAGGAATCATATTTCACTCCTGAAGCCTCCATTATCTGGTACAGTGAATGCTCACACAGAGTAGACACTAAAGTACTGTTGGAAGGGTCAATGGGTGAATGGGTGGATGGATGGAGACAGCTGGTTTAATTATATCCTACTTATAGACTGGATAGCCATTGGCTCCAATGGGTGACTGCTCAAGACTAACAATTGGCACAATGCAAATTATCATCTGCCCTTTGCGAAGTCAATAAGGACATCTTTGTATTTGAATACAGAAAATGTTCATCAGATTTTATACTTACCTGTTTACCTTGATGTGGATAGTATGAGGATGCTGTGTAACAATATGTAAAATGTATGTTTTTTAAAATAATTTTTATCCCCATAACTTTTGGAGGTTGTTTGCTGTTGTTAATACTAGCTGGGTCTCAAACTTGCCCCTTCCTCCTCCATGGTCTAGAGGCCACACTTTTTTCTTTCAAGGAAAGAGTATAATTTAGTTTCTTTGAATGAAATGGGATATTTGGATAACAAAAGTTATGCTTTTCCTTTCCATATTTGGCGAGTATCATCTGTGTGATGTTGTCAGTGGCCCACCTTATACCGCTGTTAGGTCAGGTCATCCTAGTCACTATGAACAGAAGCTGCCCCTAGCTAGATTAAGCAAAAGAACTTATTAGAAGGATTTGAAGGCATGTTGAAGCACCTAAATGAGTTTCATATCAGTTGGAAGGGTAGACAGCAAGGCAACTTGGAAAGAGTGGTAACTCAGCAAGAGTGGTAAATGATAGAATGCCACTGTGTGTAGTTCCAGAGTCTGCCAGACTCTCAGCCTAATGTTCCCAAGAGAAGACAAAACTAATGGGCTGCTTTGGGTTATCTCCAAAGAGGATAGTTCTCTATCCTTTATCCTTCACCCCTATATTGACAATGAACAGGAATACACACATGTATAAAAATCATCTTCCCATGCACCTAAAGATGGCTTTTGCTTAAGATAATCCTACTGCATCTAGCAGTAAGGTGTGCGAGGCAGAGGGGTAAAATTACAATTCTCATTTAATATTTATCAAATATTTTTGAGCATCTACTATGCACAAACGGTGGGATATAAGGTGTTTACAACAGACTATCATGAAGGAGCTGTGTAGTTGAGATTGTAATACTAGAGGCATTCATAAGCAGAAGGTGATTAAAATGACATGAGATTAATTATAAGGCCAGTTATTCACAGAGACACTGGATTTCAAATTTAGAGGAAGAAGCAATTTTCATCTAGTGCAGATGGGAAACTTCAGAGGTAAAAAATGAATTATGTTCTGAGGGGTGGGTAAATAAAGGGGTTCTTGGGAGGTCTCAAAATTCATTCTACCTATGGAAATAGTCTGTATAACATGTAATATAATAAACTAATGTGACAAGGGCATTGCCTGGTGAACATGGCAGTGACAGGGAAATTTTTGACCCCTGGGAGAAAATTCATGATGCCAGAAGATGCTATTGAGTTCTATGAGCAGAACTCAGCAATGAGGGCTGAGGGGAGGAGCATGGTGGTTCCAAGCACAATGTGACTGTACTAAAATCCTTCCCTGATTCCTTCATTCTGGTGGCAAATGCACATAGTGGGAGGAGAGAGCTGTATGTTAAACAGAGTGGCCCAAGTAAACCTCATAACATTTTTTTTTGTTTTTTTATTGCTCTGAAACCCTTCAAAAAGCAGACCACAGAATAGAGAGAGTGTTTCTTTAGTGATAAAAAAGGAAAGACCCAGCGGCTTGGAGAAGCTGGAGTGTGGGAATGTGACAGTCTTAGGAGATGTGATGAAATAATTGAGCAGTGGCCAAGGGTCTAGGATCTTCTTGAGGTACTGTCTGGCAAAGTACCAGACAACTGAAGCTCTGTACCAGAAACTTACAACTGAAGCTCCAGTTACCCAGAGGAAAAGGCAGCTATGGAGTTAGTGAAATTTGCCTGTTAATATGACCTTTGTGTCTACAAGGTACTGAGTCCTGGAAACATTTGAGTTGTGTATATCTCAAATGTCTCCAGGACACTTGAGTTGTGTATATAATTATTTCATTAGTATCTGCCCAACACACCTGCCTCACAATGCCAAGTCCTCCCAGGATGATTCTTGGATCATCTTAAGCATGTAGTTTTTTCCACATATAGACTAGAAAAAATGCATAGCCATTTTCTTGTGGCTTTATCCTGATACCCTCCTGAGCCTGTATGTCATAAGCAGTCACCTGGAGCCAGAGCCAGGAGTCAGGGGATCTAAATTCTTTGTTCAGCAGCATATATGCCAAACATTGTGCTAGGTCCTGGACATAAAGATGAATATACATGGTCTGACCTCAAAGCTACTCTACTAAGACAGCAGACAGGAAGTTGTGATGCAGTGTAGTAAGTAAAGGAGATGAAGCTAATTCTGTCTCCCAGGCACCAGAGAAATCTTTCTCATACTGTCAGTAATTCAGCTAGTCTAGTCAGTTCTCTGGCCTTATCTATAAAATTCCAGCTGTTGTGAGCAACAGAGCATCCCCCAAAGTTGTCACACATTTGTGTTTTTCTACAGTGGTGCTAGCTTCATTTGGGGAGACCTCCCCCCAAACCATTAGAGTTACATGTAGATGACATGCTGAAAAGGGGGAGCTTGTGTGATAGAACAAGCAGAGCAAGCATCAGGTGCAAAGTCCTGTTCACTGGTGGTGTCTATGGGTGGAGAAGCAGGCATTGATCTCAGGCCAGGTGGCTACACTGGTGGCTTGTATCTAATGGAGCTAAAGCCCTGTTGGGTTCCAAGTGTTGGGATCCCTGTTGGGATCCTGGTAAAGCCAAGCTCAAGCATCAAATGGAGGAAGCTCTGTTCTGGCTGGGTGATTTTGGTTGGAGCATCAACCCATTCACCAAAAAGACTGCCATTTTTGGTCCCGGGTCAGGGAGGCAACCCATTGATGTTTCTCTCTCCCTTCTGCTCTAAAATCAATAAACGTACTCAGGTGAGGATTTAAAAACAAATAGTGGAAGCTCTGAATTTTTATAGCCCACAATGGGTAGCATCCCAGTCATATCAGTGTCCAGGTGAAGTCCTAACCTGCGTGTTCAGACTTGTGGTTTTGGTATTTCAGGACCATCCTAAGGGCATTCCTGTCACACTCCATTACTTCAGTTCTGAGCATCATGCCACTTGACGTAACTGTCATGGCTGACAGTGATTCCATATTGGATTCTTGAAAAACATCCGAAGTCTGCTCTGCATTTGCTGTATACACCAGCTATCATATTCCAGAATTCTACTTAGTAAAGAGTGTTTAAGTTCTGAATTACATCTAAAAAGGAGTAAAGGAGGGGTAGGTATTGACAAATATAAGAGATCATGCTTGGTTGCTAGCGAGGATTTGAGGTACACAAATCAGTTTGAGACTTTTAAATTCGTGCGTTTTAATAAAAGCTGTATTTCGAAGCTTGTTGGCAGAGGCTGCACTGATGGGATATTACTGCTGGACTATTAAACACGCACCAGCTATACATTCCAGAAACTGTCCTGGCATTTTGAGAAACAGTAGTGATTGGGGGGTGGAGGGGGAGGCGTAAAACCCGACTTGTAAGAAACTGCCCAAAACTGATTATTCAAAGCAGTGTTCTGGGAATCTCAGTGTATCTGGAACCAAGACCCCAGTTCAATGCCTCGGTTCTTTCTGGAAACCAAAACTTGAACAAGTACAAACGAAACCAGCCCAGGAGGCTCCTCGTGTCGTGATAGGGTGAGTTAGTCTTGTATTTACACAAAGCTGTCCATATTCCACTTACATTGAATATTGCACTCTCTTACTCATTTCTGTGGGATTTCTGGCGTTTTAAATACCTTAATTACTTCAGCCTGTGACTACACCTGCTGCACGGAACCCTGCCGCAGACCCAACGTGTCCCGGGAAGCCCAGGGAGCCGGGCCACCTGGTGCTCACACGCTGCACTACCGCTGCGGTCGTTCCGCCTCCATCCGGAAGTGTTTTCCGGTCGGCCCTCCCCCCTCCCTCTGTCTTTGCTCTGGTGAGGCGGGACTTCCTGTCTCCTTTGTCCCAGAGCCTCCAATGTGAAGCGCAGTGCTCGGGGTTGGAGTGTCAAGATCTGTGGCCGTGGATAAGTTCGTACCTAGTGCACGGGTATTCACCCACTCGTTCTTGTAGTTATCCTTGCCGTTCTCCCACGGCGTCTCCGAGAGGCCTTGGAGCCCCGAGAACCCAAACTTGTGTCTGTCCGCAGGTTCCAGAGGGCCATGGAGGTGCGACCTCCGGCGCCACGGAGCTTCCTCTACCGGGCGCTCGGTCCTTTCCCCCGGGTCTTTGCTGCGGAAGGTGTGGCTGTCAATTCGGTGCCCGCTGACTCGGAAGTCCTTGTGGAGGACCAGAAGCTTCCTTCCTACCTCTCGGAACCTCGTTCTCTGGAGTCCGGATGGGACCGTCTCCGAGAGCTGTTTGTTAAAGAGTAAAAGTGCCTGGGGCCTCTGGGGAGGGACTGCGAAGAAACTACCCTGAAACCTGGGTCACCCTGAAGCAAAGGACCCCAGGGTGTTTTGGTTTATTTTTAAATGGGATCTGGGCTTCTAATATTCGTGCCCCTAGCTTGCATCCTCTCATTCCCTGTGATAATTGTGTTGATGACAGGACACCTTTTAGATAATAAGGGTGAGACTCGTGAATGAGAGCTTTTAGGGATATTTAGGGAATACAGTCTTAGTGTAATACTCTGATTTTACAGATGAGAAGAATTGGACTGAATTAATTAGTCTCAGAATTGACTCTGGAGCCGACATCTGCAGGATCCCATTCCAGTATTCCTTTTCGGATTTCACTTGATCCCAAACTTCTCTATTTAATGACCAATAACTTCCCTACCCTCCAAAAAACTGGAAGTTGGAGAGATGAGTAGAGGGCTGTAAAATTCTTATTCTTCCAAATAAGGAATATATAAAAATAGCACCTATTGTCTCATCATTTTATAAGAGATATTAGCTGGGTAACAGATGAGGATATTTCAGAATAAAAGATGATCCTTTGAATCGAATTAACTTTAATGAAAAACTGAGGATATTTCATTCACTCTGATTCATTTTATCTATCAATTACTGGTGAAAAGTTCGCCCTTTTATCAAGTTCTTTATCATACTATACTGTGTTATAAAGTGGATAAATTAACGTGGAAGATTTTTTATGTTGCTGAGGGGCATATAGTTGGGGCAAGGGAGTTGGCAGAATTATATTTATTCAGATTTCATCATCTTTATTCTAAAGATGAGTTAGCCTTTCTCATTGGTCCTTCCAGTGTTCAGTTGAGATTCTTGTGAAAGACCCTATGTATTATGTAGTGGGAGAGGGTTATTTTGATAAGCTTTATAAACCAGAGAATGTTAGAGCTAAAAGAAATGTGAAAGACAATCTGATATAACTTCCATGCTCCCTTTCATCATAAATGAGAAAAGCAAGATTCACAGAGATTGTGATCTGGCTGCAGGTCACTTAGCAGTGGGTGACAGAACCAGAACCACAACTCCATTGTTATTACTTGGAGTCTAGGCCCTTCCAACAATTGTGCCCTGTTTGTTTTCCACTATTCATTAGCAGGTTGAGCCAACCGTATAATTTCTTAGAGCCTCTATTTCCATATTGGTAAAATGTAAAGAAATATCACCTATGTCATGGAATTTTTCAGAAGCTGAAAAAGTACAAAGTATGTACTTCTGCATGTTAAATCTTAAGCTGTTTTACATTTTTTTCTTTTCTGAGTTCTACCATAAGCCATTTTTTATGTAAATGATGTTGATCTTATTCACTATAAAGGATGAAGTATAAAGTTCACATTACAGTTTTTCCTGTTGACATGTTATAAGAATGACAGTTTTCTAAGAGATTTAGATTTCAGTCATAGATCCAGAAACCAAAGATTCTGATTCTGATATCAGAAATGTGGTTATTGGCCATTAGACAAACACTTGTATAGTCACTGAAGAAGCAAGTTAGTAATGTAAACAATTAACATTTAATAGTTTACTTACCTGGTAGGATCGTTATTTATAGTAACTCAGTACCTAACAAATGTATCTATTCATTAGAGCAATTTCTGGAGCACATCTTGAATAGCTATCTGGAGGACATCTCAGTAATTCTAGAGTATGCTGTTGAGAGTAATAAGTTGAATTATTAAAACGTTTTTCTTTGTTATTTAGGTTGTCTGTGCTGTCTGCTGCATCATGAGTATTCTCATTCAGTGCCCACCTGAGCACGACATCACAGTTGAAATGTAAAGGGTCTTTTAAAAGAGGGTCTTTCACAATTTAAAAAGATAGGGTCTTTTTTTTTTTACAGCTAAGATTTCATTCTTGCATACATTGCCCTAAAATTCCATAAGTGTGTAATTTTCAAAAGTTAGCTTAAAATTCAAAAAGGAAAATCGTGATCTCGACACCCAACTAAATTTCTTCCTATTTCCAGAGGCTATAGTAGAGTCATTAAATGAAAGTGCCTTTAAAAAAAAAACCCTTTTTATTGAGATGTAATATGCATGTAGAAAAATGTAGATGGGTTTTCAGAAACCCAATACCAAGAGTCTGTTACCAGCATACCTGAACCTCTCCTTGTTTGTTTTCCCAAGAGTAACTAACCATTAGCCTAATTTCCTAACAGCATAGATTAATTTGGGCTGAAAATTGAGTTACTTGTAATTGCATTATTTAATTCATCAGAGGGTTTAATTGGTTCAGCCCATAATGAAAAATGTGATCGTATTAGCATTTGGGGTAATTCTTCCATTCTATTTTTTTGGAGAGCAGTATACATATACTAATCCCAAACGTTGTGTTTTTGGTGTTTTAGTGAACAGCAGAGAGCATCAAAAGAACTTGAGAATATTTATAGGGCAGCAGTTTCAGCAGGCATCATTGGCTGGGCATATGGGGGAATACCAGCCTTTATTCATGCTAAACAACGCTACATTGAGCAGAGCCAAGCGGAAATCTATCATAACCGGTTTGATGCTGTGGTAGGTACTGGTGTTCTAAAAGTACTTAAGGGCATGCCGATAGCAATTCACTTTACACTTAATCATTCAATTAAGTGGTAGGTTGGGAGGGTTTAGGATGTCAAGAGTAAAGAAATGGTCTATCCTTACTAACAATGGGAGTACTAATGCTAAACTATGTATACATGGCCTATCAGACCACTGACTTTTGGAAGAGATTACTATAGCTCTCCCTTCTGGAAAATATTTCTAATCTGCTAAATTATCAAGACTAGCTGTGGCATATTTACCCTATTCACAAAGCCACTGTGGAGTACACTAGCTCACACAAACAATAATTAAAATTTATCAGTTTAGAGCAAGGGTGTCAAACTCATTTTCACTGAGGGCCATATCAGTCTCCCGGTTGCCTTCAAAGGGCAGAATGTAATTTAGGACTGTGTAAATGTAACTACTCCTTTAACAGTTAAGGGAGAACTTGGCACTGCCACTGGGTAGAAACAAGGTGCTGGGCTGGATAAAACAAGGTGGAGGACTGGATTCAACCCATGGGCCTCGTGTTTGCCACCTGTGCTTTAGAGTTACAGAGTGTTAATTCATTTGTTAGGTTTGTGCATCAGTTCTGTTGCACTAGTGAGAAGGTTACAGCTCAGAGCTTTTGCTTTTTATTTAAAAATTATCACTTAAAAGTTTCAAAAGTACAAAGAATTGATACATATCTTTTACCCAGATTATCCAAATGTTTCACCCAGATTATCCAAATGTTAACATTTTATATTTGCTTTATCATTTTTTTCTGTGTATGACCTACTGTTATTTTTTTGTGTGAACTACTTCATCATGTCTGTATAAGTTATACACGTGATGAATACCTCAGCATTGTTTCTTAAAAAAAGGGACATTTTTTTACATAATTATACAGATCAGGAAATTACACTGATAGAGTATATATTATCTATAGATTTTATGTAAATTTTGCTAGTTGTCCCACTAATATAATCTATTTGAAAAGCAACTAAATGAAAACATTTTCTGGTTCAGATTCTGATACTGAATCAGGTACTGAATTTGCCTGTCATGTCTCTCTAGTCCCCTTTAATCTGGAAAGTCCCCTGTCTTTCTTGACCTTGACATTTTTGAAGATTATGGGCCATTTATTTTGTAGAATTTCCCTTAATTTGGATTTGTTTGATTTTTTAAAAATGTGATTAGATTCTGGTTATGTGTTTTAGCAGGATTGATGACACCTAGAGTTGATGTGTCCTCAGTATATTATATCAGCAGTCCATGGTACCTATTTTTCACTATACTTACGAAGTTTACTTTAGTCACTTGTTTAAGATAATCACTGCAAGGTTTGTCCACCATAAAATTACTGTTTTTCCCATGTCAGCAATTTTCAAGGTGTGCCACAGCGCACTGATAATGCCGCAACAATTTTTAAAGCACAAGACCTGACTGCGTAGTCAGGAGCACTGTCCTCTTTTCCCTTTGAGGTCAGATAAAAAACACGACAACAGCCAGTACAACAACAGCTGTCCAGTATGAAAACACATCAAAACTATACCTTTTTTTTTTTTTTGGTCAGATTGGCCAAAAATGCATTTTTTGGTGTGCCACAGAATTTTAGTTTTAGTTTTTATGTGTCATGAAATAAAAAAGTTGAAAATTGCTGCCCTAACGTTATGGATACTTAATAGACTATGCAAATATCCTATTTTTCATCAAATGTCTACCTTGTAGTTTTAGCATTCAATAATGATTCTTATGTGAAAACAGTTATCACTGTGGTGTTTTCCAAATGACCATTTGCTAATTCTGTCACTCTGTCTGCATTTATTCGTTAGTATTCTGCTATCAGAAAGAGCTTTTACTTTCCCTCTGTTTATTTATCTATTTAATTTGTTTAGTGTGGACTCGTGGTTTCTTATTTTATTCTGTATGTTTATAAATCCATTATTATCATAATTTATTTTGATGCTCAAATCGGCCTAGCTATGAACACTTGGAGCCCTTCAAGGTAGATCCTTTTGATACTTCCTCATCATTTTTTTGAGCACACCTTTACTTTTTGGCACAGTAAGGTATTCCTAGCTCGTCCTTTTCTTTTCAAGCTAGAATGGACCATTTCACCAAGGAACTCCCATTTCTTTTGGTAGAAAATGGTATTTAAAAACCGAGATCTGGTGCTACGTATGGTCATTGCTACTGGGGTGTCAGAGCATCTAGGCCCTAGGCAGACAGAGTTCGGAAGTGTGTGTGCATGCACATGATTGATATTCATATGCATATTCCTATATACATCTCTATCTATTTGTGTATCTACCTACTTATTAAAAGCTGTGAGTTCCTACTGATACCTTTCAGAGTGGTTTTCACTTGCCCAATACTATATAGTAGTTTAGAATCCAGTTAGGGATTCTCTCAGATTCTTTAAAAACCCAGAGTTTATCCCCACAATATTATACTGGATGTGCTTTTATGGTGGTCTAGTGACAATGGGCTGTGGAGACACAATCTACCTTCCATTTCTGACTTTATTCTTATTGGCTAAGTGATCTTGGTTAGAAACTTACTGTCAGTGCTTTAGTTAAAACTAAAACACCCGCCTGAAAAAATGTAAAGATTAAATGGGGTAAAATGTTAACACACCTTTTACCTAGAATGTGGTCAGTAAATAATTACTCTCTTTCTTCCTCTGCTCCTTTTTTACACACTGTATTACTTTAATTCTTACCTTTTAATTTTCTGTTTACTCAGTTCTTCATTTTATGTTTTTCTTTTCCCCAAGGTTTCTTGGTGGGGGAAAAAGCATCACGTCGAATACTGATTTTATAGCTGGCATGGTATTTGCCATCCCAGTGATATTTAATTAATGGATTACTTGGTTGACACTGGCAATTCTTAGTTTCTTTTCTATCTCTTGATAGAATAGGATGCACATGGGACTTTTGCTTAAGCTTCAGTACTTAATGATATTTCTAGAGATTTTCTGTGGTTTCTATCTGTTTAGGTCTCCCTGCCTAACCCATAACTGACGTCCCTCCACCACAGTTTTAGAGTAAGTAAACTATCAAGGTATCTTGGAACCTCACAGCCTTTTTATTAACTTTAGCAATCAGCGCATCGTGCTGCCACGAGAGGCTTCATCCGGTATGGCTGGCGCTGGAGTTGGAGAACAACAGTGTTCGTGACTATATTCAAGTAAGTTCTCTCTGAATTGTGAAAGAGCATCTTGGTATTTTTATGAGCACATCTTTTGAGCAAATGGGATTATGAAAACTGAACACCCACACGAAAGTGCTTCATAATACCTTTTTCTTAAGAACTGTTGCCTATCTATGTAAAAGACTGGGCCAGTCGTAGTGTTGGCATTCATGAATGGAGGTCTACCAACCAGTATCAAAATAGATACAGAGTTTTTAAGTAAGAGAAATTCTGCAAAGTTCTTGATGTTTCTACTTTTAAATTAATATTTATTCCAGAAATTTGATTGTTCTTTTGTTCATTCTTCAGCAAGAGTAGGTCCACCTAGGAACCCACAGGCATATTAATAATGTGAAAGACATTTAAGGACATAGAGTGGGACCAGGGATTGACATAATAGGCTCTTCTAAACTAATACAGATCTCTTCAGTGAAGGTTGTGGTCAAGAAGGTAAATGGGACATATTTTAAATTTTATGGTTTCCTCTTCCTTCTTCACAGCATGGTGAACACTGGTTTAAATGTGTACCGAGATAAAGATGCCCTTAGCCATTTTGTCATTGCAGGAGGTAAGACATTTTTGTTTTTCCTTATGTTTTTCAATCTCAAATATGATTTGAGAAATATGTAAGGATGTATAAGTCATAGCTAGTAAATTCTTTGGTTGGCTTATTCAACATTCCTGCCAAATGTATGGAGACTATTATGCTTAGTCCTTGGTATGCATGGTGAACAAAACAGAAAAAAGGTCTTTGCTTTCAGGGAGTGTTACAGTCTAATGTGGATAGGAAAAACAGTTTGTTATGATAGAATATACCAAATTGGCAGGGCAGTGGGATCTGCTGCGGACAGGGTGATCACAGAAGACCTGTTTGAGAAGGTGACATTTAAGCTTTGACATTTGATGCCTGCCGAATGGGAAGGAGCAGGCCTTGCGAAGAAGAGAAGCCTAAGCAGAGGGAACATCAAAGGGGAAGGCTCCTAGGCAAGAAAGGTTTTCAAAAATAACATGACTGGAACATAGTGAGTCAAGATAAGAGTGGTTTAAGATAAAATTGGTTAGGTAAAGTAGAAAGGGGCCAGGTTTTTCATGATAAGACTTTGGATTTTATTGTAAAGTTCTCTACCTCTGGTAGATAATTAAAATGAACATTAAAAAAAGAAAGTACAGCCATCCCTCGGTATCCATGGGGGGACTGGTTCCAAGCATCACACCCTTCAAGTCCCACCACCTCCCATGGATACCACAAATCCCAAATGCTCAAGTCCGTTATATAAAATGGCAGAGTGTTTGCGTATAGGCTGCAGCAGGGTACGACTGCACATCCCTTCCTTCACGTGGATTCAGCATAGTGCTTGGGGTGTGGCAAAGTCAAGTTTTGCTTTTGGAAATTTCCTGGGATTATTTTCCCAAATATTTTAAATCTGCAGTTGGTCGACTCTACAGCTGTGGACTACATGGATAGGGAGGGCTTACTGTATTAAAGTGTTATTTTCAGAAATGTAGATGAAGTTAATATACTCAAACACTAACTTATGTACATTCTTTTACATATAAAAACACATATACTGCGCATAACTTTATTTTTTTACTTTTTATTTGGAGATAATTTCAAAGGTATAGAAAGTTGCAAAAATAAAAGTGATACAAAGAACACCATGATCAGTACCTTTTAATACAGAGATGCAGCTATTAACACTTTAGCCCATTAGCTCTATCACTTGTGCTCTATTTTGGGTGCATTCTCTCTTTTTCTATGTATATGTGTACATGTACAAACACATGTACATAATTTGAACTTAATATTCTAATGAAAAAAATTTAAATATGAGATTAGAAATAGACATGAATATCATTGGAGCAGCTAGAACTTGCCCTTTTTGGAGTTGTGAACATTACTACATGTTCTATAAGCTCAAATGTTTTCATTCAAACCAAATTCATGTCTCTCTCCACCCAGCTTTCGTACTTGGTCCTACTGTTCTGTTCTTTGTTGCCTACCCTGTTAAACTCCAAAACTGGAAACCAAGTAATTATGTGATTCTTTCCTTTATTTCCCTTTTGCCAAACTCCTAGTCCTGTTCTTAAAGAATATTTATATTCTTTAAGTATGTATGGACCTCTCTCATCTTCTCTTTATTCCTACTGCTATTATCAGGTTTCCCCATTTCTGTTCTTGGTTCCTTCCACCCCTTCTGTTGTCTTTGTTTTGAAATAAGAATATGATTATAATACTTTCCTGCTTGACTTTCTTCCATGGTTTTCCATCACAGCAGTGTTGATTATTGATCTGGCCCCATGTACCACTTGTGTTCCAGGGTTATAAATCCACCTGGATTTCCCAAACCCAGCATATTCTTGCTTTATGTGTATTGGTCCCTCTTCTTGAAACCACCTTCGCACTCCCACAACTAATTTTCTTCATCTGCTGCTTAATGTTTCTTTCAGAGTTTACCTTGTCTGTCAGCTTCAGCTTCTCGAGAGAGTCCTCCCCAGCTGCAGTTTTCCTATCTTAAGGGTTGTTTAGGTGTCTTTCTCCTGTGTTCCCACAATTCTCTAGAAATAGTTTTATCAAAGCACTGTATTATAGTCATTTATTTGTTTCATTTCTCTACTAGATGACTTACTTGAATTCACAGAAAGTATGTTCCTTTTATATAACAGTTTTTTGACATATTGTGGAGTAAAGCAAGTGTCCCTTGATTGACTGTAAATATTAGTAAAATAAGAATGGAAAAATATACTCAATATGATACATATTTTTATTTCAAACCAACATTGAACTTGATGGTATAATACTAAAGTTATATCTTTGAAGTCAGAATCAGGTCAAGGATGACTTCCATCACCATTATTATTTGGCATTAATCTGGACATTTATGAAAGTATATTTGACATTTAGAATGTTTGAGTGAGAAGCTTGGCAAATCTCCCCAAAAAGCAACAATAAAACTGGACAAAATTAATAAAAACAAACATTTAAAGATGTTGGAAATTGAGGGCACACAACAAATTGAGAAGCAATTATTCAAGAATTTCTAAAAAACACTGGGAGTCAGTAGTGTTTCAGCCTAAGTTTGCTCCCACCTTCTAATGCCCAACCCCACAATGAAATTCTACAAGAGCAGGGCAGGCTGAGAAGACAAATGTTCTGCTGCTCGAGGTAGCTGACCTTATTTGAAATAGAGTACAGAAAATTCCATGACTTCAGATGTTGCCGAAAACAGTTGGAAACATGGAAGGACAATATCACATAGCTAATTTGAGGTTTCGATGCTCTTTGGGGCAACAGACTGGCAGATGAGGCAGAATTTTAACAGGGACAAGATAGCTAACCAGAGTTATAATAAGATTCTGCTGCCCCGGCTGGTGTAGCTCAGTGGATGGAGCACACGGGCTTGTGAACCAGAGGGTCATTTGTTTGATTCCCAGTCAGGGCACATCCTAGGTTGTGGGCCAGGTCCCCAGTAGGGGGCACGGAAGAAGCAACCACACATTGGTGTTTCCCTCTCTTTCTCCCTCCCATCTCCCCTCTAAGAATAAATTAATAAAATCTGAAAAAAAAAAAAAGATACTACTAATCCCCAGAACTCTGGAGAGTTCTACACATGTATAAGTATCCCACGCATACTCAGAAGACACTGGTGAGCGTGAGCTACGTATTTTTGGTTAATTGTGAGGCCTTGTGAACACAGAAAGTAAAAGCCAGAAAAGATTTATAAATTGCCTGAACTTTAAACACATTCTTCAGGCCACAGACAGATCCACTGAAAAAAGATGAAAGTCTTACTGGCTTAAGATGTTTGTGCATAACTTCTGACAAATCATTGGCTGACTGCTAAGCTGGTGTGATTCTTAGGAAGCCAGACATAAAAATAAAACCTGAGCAGACGTATCAGTGGCTGTACTCTGTAGAAAAAAAAAAGACTCCATAGAATTGGTCCATGCAAGTCATTCTGTAAACAAAGAACCACAGCCATGCCCATGGGTAGGGAGATATTCCAAATCCAGAGTTGCTATAATTTATTACCTAAAATATCCACTTATCAACAAAAACAAAGTCACAAGACATGCAGAAATGGGATTAAAATGGAATCATTGGGAATGTATCTGAGAGGAACTATCTATTTGACATAGCACACAAAAGACTTCAAGCCATTTTTAAAGAATTAAAGTATGATGGCAATGATTCATCAAACAGACTATCAATAAAGAGGAATTATTAAAGTGAAAATTCTGGAGTTGATAAATATAATGGAAATTAAAATTTTGCTGGAGAAGAGCTCAGCAGATTTGAGATAGCGTAAGAGAATCAGTGAACTGATTGCCTTTTGTAAAGGGCAGCATTTTAAAAAATGAAGAGAAAATAACAGAGCCTAAGAAATCTATATGAAAACAAACAAAAAAAAAATGCTAACGTATATGTGATGGAAATACCAGATGGAAGAAAAAGAAAGAGGCAGAAACAGTATTAAATTATGACCACAAACTTCCCAATTTTGATAAAAACATTGATCTGTGTATCCAAGAAGCTCAACCAGCTCCAAGAAGAATAAACATGAAGATATTCACATCTAGACACACTATAGTTAAACTGTTGGACAGCAAAAGGAAAAATCTTGAAAGTAGCAAGGAAAAAAAAAACCCCAACTCATATAAGGAACACCCATTAAGATTAACAGCTGACACCATGTGAGAATGATGAAGCCAGAGGCAGTAGAATGACAAAGTGCTGAAAAGAATGAGATGTCTGTATCTTACAGATGTCTGTAAGAATTCTACATCTAGCAAACAGTCCTACAATACTGAAGGCAAAAATGAAGACATCGTCAGATAAACAAAGAATTTGTTGATAGAGCACCTCTCACATAAATACTAGAGGAAGTTATTCAGGGTATAAGGAAGTGATACCAGATAATAACTGGGATCTACATGAAGAATTAAAAGCATTGATAAATGCGTATTTAAGTAGTTATTAAAGGCAGCATAAACATTACTTTTCTTTAATATAAAATCAGGTACATGAAATGATAAAATTAATCATATGACATTTAAAGATATATATGACATTAATAGAACAAAAGAGGAAAGAATGGAGATTTATTGGAACATGGAAATAGTAATGACTGAACAGAAAGGAATGAAAAGTATTATAAATGGTAATCACATAGGTTATAAAAGACTTTGTAAATATATTCTCTTTTTCCCCTTAACTGAAAAAAATACATATGGTTGTGTAAAATGATGATAACATTGTCTTGTTGTTTTTAAAGATATATACATATATATCAGTATTTTTTAACAAGGGTTTTTTAAAAAAAGATTTTATTTTTAAAGAGAGGGGAAGGAAGGGAGAAAGAGGGAGAGGAACATCGATGTATGAGAGATACATTGGTCACTTGCCTCCCACATGCCTCCCAACTGTGGAACTGGCCTGCAACCCAGGCGTGTGCCCTGACTGGGAATCAAACTGGCAACCCTTGGGTTCACAAGCTGGCACTAAATCCACAGAGCCACACCAGCCAGAGCTGTGTGTGTGTGTGTGTGTGTATGTATGTACGTGTATACCACAAAGATGGGAGAGTAATAGAGCTATATTAGAACAGTTTTCTGGAATTAAGTTATTTTTTGATCTGAAGTAATTGTGATAAATTGAGATGCATTGTAAAGCAAGTAATAAGAAAGTAACTTAAAAATAGTAACAAGGTGAGAAATAAATGAGATATATTGAAAACAAATAGCAAATGGTAGACCTAAATCTAACCATATCAGTAATAACATTAAATATAAGTGGATTACATACTTTCATCAATAACCAGAGATTGTCCAACTGTATTTTAAAAAATCCAACTAATTTGCATTCTACAAGAGACATGATTTAGGCTCAAAGAAACAAGTTGAAAGTAGAAAGATGGAAAACAATATACTATGAAAAAGAGCTGAAGTGACTATACTAATATCAGACAAAATATACTTTAAGACAGAATACTAGCAATGGAAGGGCATTTTATAATGTCAAAAGGGCCAATCCAAGAAGATAAAACATTTATAAACATGTATACATTTAACAACAGAGCTCCAAAATACATGAAGCACTTCGAGTTGAAATGACAGCAGACACCTCAGTAAAAGAAGTGGAAGACGTTAGTACCTGCATTGAATAATGGATAGAACAGAGGGGGAACCAACAAAGATACAGAGGGTTTGAACAACACTCTCAGCCTGTGTGACCCAACATCCTAGAACAGTCCACTCAACAGCAGAAAAGACGTTCTTTTCAAGTGCACATGGGACAGTCTCCAGGTTAAACCATATATAAGACCACAAAACGAGTCTCGGTAAATTTTAAAGGATTGAAATTATACAAATTATGTTCTCTGATGTCAGTGGAATTCAACAACAAAAACTTGGGAAATCCACAAATATTTGGCAGTTAAACCACATATTTATAAGTAACCCATAAACCAAAAAGGAATCACAAAGTAAATTAGAGATATTTTGAGTTGAGTGAAAATGGAAATACATTATATAAAAATTTTATGAGATGTAGCCAAATTAGTACTGAGGGAAATTTATAGCTATAAATAGCTATATTGTAAAAGAAAAAAGACCTCAGATGAATAATCTGTCATTTACCTTTAAAAACTAAGATTTAAAAAGCAAAATAAACATAAAGTAAGTAGACTGACATAGAAATAGAGCAAAATTCAATGAAGTTGAAAGGAAAACAATAGAGAAAATTAATTAAATTGAATGTTGGTTTTTTGAAAAGATTGACAAAATAACCAGGCAATTCTTTAGGAAGACCAACCAAGAGGAAAAGACACAAATTACCAAATTTACTCAAGAAGGAATATAAAAATCTGAACAGCCATATAACAAATTAATAAATAATTAATTTAAAATTTTTTTCACAAAAAAATCCCAAGACCAATGGCTTCCCTAGCTATTTGAAAAGTTTCTTTGCAAACTCTTGCAGAAAACAGAGGATGAGGGAGCACTTCATAACTCACTCTATTCTGTTAGACTAGTATTACACTGATACAAAAGCCAGATGAGGATAGCAAAGGAAACTATAGATGACTATTTCTCAAGAATATATACACAAAAATTCTCTTAAAATAGTGAACAAAATCTAGGAACAGACAGGATTATATACCATGACCGACTAGAATTTAAGGAATTCAGGTTTAGTGTAAAAGAAAAAGCATTTGACAAAAACTGAACATTCATGATAAAAACTCTCAATTAGGAATAAAGGGGAACTTCTTTAAACTGATAAAGATCATCATTGAAAAATCTACAGCTAATGGAATATAGAATAGTGAAAAGTTGATTTTCCTCTAAGACTGAGACCAACCAAGGCTGAGTGAAGGTGTAAGCTGCAGATGTTTTTGTTGTTTATTTGGGGAAAGCTTTCCTTGAAGAAGAAAACAATGGAAGAGGTGGAAGTGAAGAAATTACAGATTTTTAAGGGTAAAAATGAAGTAGAATAAAAAGAGATCGAGGGATTAGTTTGGTAAAAGGAACATTTCTTCCTTTGAACCAGCAGAATAGAAGAGAAGCTAGCTCTATTGGCATTTTAGACCCAGGAAATCTTGGTTGTGATCGTATATTATTAAGGTTGGATTCAGAAAGCTTTCTTAGGTATTTATGCCCTTTTTATAGAAGAAAAACTTAAAAGTGGAATTCTAGTGCTTAAAGGTGACTTAATATTGCTGTTTTTCTGTGTTTGTTTTTAAATAGCTGTCACAGGAAGTCTTTTTAGAATAAATTTAGGCCTGCCCGGCCTGGTAGCTGGTGGCATAATTGGAGCCTTGCTAGGGTAAGTGTTAACATGTTTTGATTCTAAATTAATACAACTTTCATTAATGCTCTGCTTGTTTAATATCTCATTCATTTCTAAAGAACAAATTTAATACTTAGAGCTTATAAAAGATCTCTAGTAACATATTGGTAGTAACTTTGTCCAATTCTAATTCTACCTCAATTGTTCATTTACTTCCAGTTTTCACAGTGTTAAAAACTCTTTAAATATTAGTAACAATTGAAACTATTTGTAGTTTGACCAAAGGTACAAGGAGCAAGAGAAAGGAATAAGCAAGTTCAGCACATTTCTATTTTTGAAAAGTTTTGGTTTTGTTTGGTTTAATAAATTGAAAAACAATTTTCTAACTTTTACTCTGAAAAACTCTGAACTTACAGAAAAATACATTGAATGAAAGAATATATCCAGCACCCATTTACCATTCAGTTAGAATCACCAATTGTTAACATTTTGCCATATGTATTTTCTATGTCTGTATATATATGTAGGATATATGTATATTTCTTTTTCTTTTTGGTTAAACCATTTGAGACTTCATAACTCTGTACCCTGAATTACATGAGTATGCATCTCCCAAGATAAGATCATTGTCCAGTGATATCACAGTACAGTTATCACAATTAATAATTTAGCATTGATTTCAATAAAACAGTCTTAAGTAGGGTCTGTATTCAAAATTCTTTATTTATTACAATAATGTGAGTACAAAAAAATGTTTAAAGCCCAGGACCCAGTTGTATGTTTTATTTAGTAATTGTCTCTCTTTAGATTCCTTTCATCTAGAACAGTTCCCTTTATTATATCCTAGTTCTGTAGGTCAGAAGTCTGGGTTGTCTTGAATGGGTTTTCTGCTCAAGCTTTCACAAGGCCAAAAATCAGTGTTGGCCAGCAAGACTCTTATCGGAAGCTCTGGGGAACAATCTGTTTCTAAACCACTCAAGTTGTTGACAAAATCCTTGTCCCTGTTTCCTGGCTGGATGTCAGCCAGGCATCACTCTGTTTCTAGGGGCATTCACAATCCACCTCACAATATCCCCCTGTGTTCCCACCAGCAACCAGCATGTTGAATTCTTTTTTTTTTAACAGACTATTTTTAAAATATTTTATTTATTTATCTTTAGAGGGGAAGGGAAGGAGAAAGGGAGAGAAATATCAATGTATGGTTGCCTCTCGTGTGTCCCCTGCTGGGAACTTGCCTGCAATCCAGGAATGTGCCCTGACTGGGAATCGAACTTTAATCTTCTGGTTTGTGGGCCCGCGCTCAATCCACTGAGCTACACCAGCCAGGGCTGAATTCTTTACATGCATCAAATTTCTCTGACTTTCACTCTAACACTAGCCAGAGAAAACCCTGCTTTGAAAGGGTTTGGGCAGATATAAAAATAAAGTTTAAAACATAAAGCTGAACTCAAAACTTAAATAAAAGGATCCATAAATCTACAGTGTTACCTTCTGAAGAGGATGGGAGAAGGGAGTGGGTAGATGGAGCAAAAGGGAAAACTCAGGTGAGCACATGCCTGGGTTGCAGGCCAGTTCCCAGCAGGAGACACACGAGAGGCAACCATACATTGATATTTCTCTCCCTTTCTCCTTCCCTTCCCCTCTAAAGATAAATAAATAAAATATTTAAAAAATAGTCTGTTAAAAAAAAGAAAGAATTCAACATGCTGGTTGCTGGTTGGAACATAGTGGCCAATCTCCTTTTTGATTGACTCAAATTCAGTTGATTAGTAACCTTAATTACATATATAAAATCAATTTGTCATGTATCATAGTATAATCATGGGTGTAATATCTCATCATACTCAGAGTTGAGATATAATGGCAGGAAAATTTGGGGGCACATTTTTGAATCCTGCACACAGATTTCTCTGCTGCAGTTGTATCTTATTCCCAATATGATTAATTAGTAATCTGTAGGGTAAAAGTCTGTGAGTAGCCTGCTTTCCATCTATCTTCTAGTGATTTTTTAATGATCCATTGATGACACATGATATAATCAGTTATTACAAAGGCAAAACATTGACTCGCTATTCTATCATTTCTTCTGTTCTCATTGGCATTCACCTGAGTTTTCCCTTTCGCTCCATCTACCCACCCCCTTTTCCCATCCTCTCTTCAGAAGGTAACACTGTAGATTTATGGATCCTTTTATTTAAGTTTTGAGTTCAGCTTTATTTTTTTTATTTTATTTTTTATTCTTCAACTGCAGTTGTCCCAATTTTTGCCCCATCGCTCTCCCCTGCCCTGCTCATCCCCACCTCTCCCCCACCAGCTCGCTTGCTCAGTCAATCCCCACCCTGTTGTCTATTACCATGGGTCTTTTATACATGTTCCTTAACTAGACCATTCCTGTTCTTTCCCCATTCTCCCCCTTGTCACTGTCATTTTGTTCCTCATTTCTATGTCTCTGTTTCTATTTTTCTCATTTGTTTGTGTTGTTCATTAGATTCCTAATATAGGTGAGCTTATCTGGTATTTATTTTTCACTACCTGGCTTATTTCACTCAGCATAATGCTGTCCACTTCCATCCATGCTGCTGCGAAAGGGTAGGAGCTCCTTCTTTCTTTCTGCTGCATAATATTCCATTGTGTAAATGTACCAGTTTTTTTAAAAGTATATTTTATTGATTATGCTATTACAGTTGTCCCATTCCTTCTTTCTCCTCTCTCTCCCCCCTACCTGCTACCCTAGCTCCCTTCAGCATTTCCCCCATTAGTTTATGTCCATGGGTCATACATATAAATTCTTTGGCTTCTCCATTGCCTATACTATTGTTAACCTCCCATGTGTATTTTGCACTTACCAATTATGCTCTTATTCCCTGTACCTTTTCCCCTATTCTCCCCCTCCTTGCTGATCACCTCCATATGATCTCCATTTCTGTGATTCTTTTCCTGTTCTAGTTTTTGATTAGTTTGTTTTTGTTTGGGGTTTTTTTTTAGGTTCAGCTGTTGATAGTTGTGAGTTTGTTGTCATTTTACTGTTCATAGTTTTGATCTTCTTTTTCTTAGATAAGTCCCTTTAACATTTCACATAAGGGCTTGGTGATGATGAACTCCTTTGACTTGACCTTATCTGGGAAGCACTTTATCTGCCCTTCTATTTTAAATGATAGCTTTGCTGGATAGAGTAACCTTGGTTGCAGGTCCTTGCTTTTCATCAATTTGAATACTTTCTAGCCCCTTCTTGCCTGCAAAGTTTCTTTTGAGAAATCAGCTGATAGTCTTATGGGCACTCCTTTGTAGGTAACTGTTTTCTTTTCTCTTGCTGCTTTTAAGATTTTCTCCTTATCTTTAATCTTGGGTAATTTAATTATGATGTGTCTTGGCATGTTCCTCTTTGGGTCCAACCTCTTTAGGACTCTGAGCTTCCTGGAAGTCTGTTTCCTTTGCCATATTAAGGAGTTCTCCTTCATTATGTTTTCAAATCAGTTTTCCATTTCTTGGTCTTCCTCTTCTCCTTCTGGCACCCCTATGATTAAGATGTTGGGATGTTTAAAGTTGTCCAAGAAGTTTCTAAGCCTCTCCTCATTTCTTTCAAATTCTTGTTTCTTCATTCTGTTCTAGTCGAATGTTTATTTCTTCCTTTTGTTCCAAGTTGTTGATTTGAGTCTGGTTTCCTGTATATTTTGCTTTATTTCACTTTGTATAGCCTTTACTTTTTCCTCATTTTGTGACCAAGCTCAATCAGTTCTGTGAGCATTCTTATTACTAGTGTTTAGAACTTTGCATTTGATAGGTTGGCTATCTCCTCGTTGCTTAGTTCTTTTTCTGGAGTTTTGATTTGTTCTTTTACTTGGGCCATATTCCTTTGTCTCAGTGCACCTGTTACATTGTAAGGGGCAGAGCCTTAAGTATTTGCTAGGCCAGGGCAACCCACATCACTGCATTGTGGCACTGTATGTGGGGGAGGGGTCAGGGAGGGAATAATGCCAGTTACTCGGCTCTCATCTCACTTTCAAGAGACTGGCAGTTTCTTCTGCTGCCATAATCCCCACAGGTTTTTATAGCCAGAGGTGCTGAGGCCTTATCTTGCCCATGCTAGAATCCCTGGGTTGCATGGTCTGTCTCACTCCCAAGTTGTTCCTCCCGCACAAAATTGTGGTACCGCCTGTCTGCCAGCTGCCGCCTTGCTGCACGTCCTGTCCACCCCGGCTTCCTGTCTTTATCCCTCTTACTAGTCTGGATGAATGTTTCTTCTTTAACTCCTTTGTTATTAGACTTCTATGCCATTGGATTTTCTGGCCGTTCTGACTGATTTTGTTTTTAATTTTTTTTTCCTTATTTTTGCTGAATTAGGAGGAGAAGCATATCTACCTGTACCTCCATCTTGGCCTGGACTTATACCACAGTTTTTTGATCCGCTCATTTCCTGGTGGGCGCTTAGGCTGTTTCCAGCACTTGGCTATTGTAAATTGTGCTGCGAGAACATTGGGGTGCATAGGTTCTTTTGAATTGGTGTTTAAGGATTCTTGGGGTATAATCCCGGCAGTGGGATCACTGGATCAAAAGGCAGTTCCCTCTTTAGTTTTTTGAGAAAATTCTATACTGGCTGTACCAATTCCATACTGGTTTTTCCACAGTGGCTGTACCAATCTACATTCCCACCAACAGTGCACTAGGGGTCCCTTTTCTCCAATCCTCACCAGCACTTGTTTGTTGATTTGTTTATGATGGCCCTTCTGACAGGTATGAAGTGGTATCATTGTGGTTTTAATCTGCATCTCTGTGATGACTAATGATGTTGAGCATTCTTTCATATGTCTCTGGGCCTTCTGTATGTCCTTCTTGGAGCAGTGTCTGTTCAGGTCATTTGCCTTTTTTTCCCCCTGCCCTGCTAAAGAGAGGGAGAGAAACATGAATGTGTGGTTGCCTCTTGAACGCCCCCCACTGGAGACCTGGCCCATGCCCTGGCATGTGCCCTGACTGGGAATCGAACCAGCAATCCCTTGCTTTGCAGCCTGTGCTCAATCTACTGAGCTACACCAGCCAGGCATGATTGCTTATTTTTTTAATTGGATTATATGTCTTCCTGGCGTTGAGTCATATGAGTTCTTTAAGTATTTTGGAGATCAAACCCTTGTCCAATGTACATTGGCATATATGTTCTGACATACAGTTGGTTTCATTTTAATTTTGCTGATGCTTTCTTTAGCTGTGCAGAAGCTTTTTATTTGGATGAAGCCTCATTTGTTTTTTCCTTTGTGTCCCTTGCCCTAGGAGATATATCGGTGAAGATATTGCTATGTAGGATATCTGAAATTTTTCTCCCTGTTTTCTTCTAGGACCTTTATGGTATCATGACTTATATTTAAGTTCTTTTATCCATCTTGAGTTTATTTTGGTGTATGGTGTAAGTTGGTGGTCTCATTTCATTTTTTTGCATGTAGCTGTCCAACTCTCCGAACATTTTGTTGATCGGCTATTTTTACTACATTTTGTGATTCTGCCCCCTTTGTTAAATATTAACTGACCATAAAAACATGGGTATATTTCTGGGCTCTCTATTCTGTTCCATTGATCTATGTGTCTGTTTTTATGCTAATACCAGAGTGTTTCGATTATAGTTGCCTTGTAATAAAATTTGATCTCAAATATTGTGATCCCTCCTTTTTTAACTAATTTAAAAAATTTTAGCATGTCTTAATTTATTGCTGACATTTTGTATTAAAATAATAGGTTGATTTGAAGGGAAAATTGTTGAAGTTAGCAACAATAATAAACTTTGTTCACTATGGAATAAAAATTAAAGCTACCATCTTAACCATTTTTAATCATACAATTCCAAGGTGTTAAGTATATTTACATTGTTGTGCAACAGATTTCCAGAACTTTTTCATCCAGCAAACCTAAAACTCAGTACCCATTAAACAGTAGTATTCCTTCTCCCTTTCCCTCAGCCCTTGGCAGCTACCTTTCTATTTTCTGTTTCAGTGGTTTTGACCACTTTAGATACTTCATGTGAGTGGAATCATATGTGTCCTTTGTAGTTGGCTTATTTTTCTTAACATAATGTCCCTGAGGTTTATCCATATTGCATGTGACAGGATCTCTTTTTTAAGGCTGAATAACATTTCATTGTACTAATATTTTCATTATTCATCTGTCTATGGACATTTCCCCTTAGCAACAATAATTTTTTAAACAAGCTTACTTAAGTTGTAGCCAGAGGAAATTTAAGTTATATCAGAGCCAAAAAACTTTTTTTCTCTGAGAACACAAGAACAAACCCTCTTTCTTATTATAATAAATGTAATATAAATCAATTTTTTAATGGGTAATTCTTGGCCTTGTGGGTGAGACCTTTGTGCTGACCTTTTGGAGTTTAGGATATATTGGTGGCTCCAACCCTAAAAGCCAGTAGCATTCTTCCCTCAACCAAAAGTAGGGATCTGGTACCATTCCTGGTATTCATTTTGTTTTTGAGAACCCTTCAATATAAAGCTACTTACTAGAACTTTTTATAAACATATATTTTCCTGGTCGATTTTTGATTAAAAAATACCAAATTATAGACATGTTTTTTATATCACTTACTTAAGGAAGTTGCAGTGAGTGTTTGTTGTTCAGACCAGGATGGAAATTGCCTTGATTTTTTTTCTTTATTCAACAAGTACACTTTAATTGTCAAGTGTTCCTGTACCTGTCAGTGAACAAATGGCTCTGCTGGTGTTGCTCACGTTTTAACAGAGATGCTCACATCTCATCTCGTCTAGTGGTGTGTTTTTTCTAAGCTTCCCCTCTGCTTCTTCCTCAGCACTCCTATAGGAAGCCTGATGATGGCACTTCAAAAGTATTACGGTGAGACAATTCAGGAAAGAAAACAGAAGGATCAGAAAACTCTCCGTGAGCTGAAATTGGAAGAGTGGTAAGGAACATGCTAAGCCTGGGGTATCTGACTTTCCTAGCAGCAGGCCTTGGGTACTATAACTGAACCCAAACTCGGCTGCCTGTTGCAACAGAACCGAACTCATGAGACAGGTGTTGGTGAGGAGGAAAGTGATTTATTCAAGCGCCAGCATCTTGAGAAGACGGGTGGATTTCTGTCCTCAAAAACCCATCTTAACATCTCTGGTCATGCCAGTGAGTCTTAAGAGAGTTGGTAGGATTTTAGGAAGGGGAAAATTCCTCGGGGGAGTACAGACCTGCTGTTTCTTTTGGGAGTAGAGGTGGGAGTACTGAAAGGGGAGTCACATAGCTTCTCTGTTTGCATTAGCATTCCTCCCTTTCCCTGAGGAACATAAACCATAAATGTGGTTTATGATTGGCACCAGTATATCTCTCAACTACAATGAAGACTGGAGGGTGGGGTTGATTACTTTGATTATTAGTGGAAGATGCTAAATCATGGTTACAACTTTAACATCTTAGTGTAGGCAGGGGTTTTTGCAAGGAGGAAGGAGAGGGAAAGCAGAACAAAGAGGAGTTGTGGACATGCAGATAGTGGTTTTGCTGGTCCTCATTTTGAACTTAATGGTCAGCACCCTTGAGTGGCAGGACTCTGAGGTCAGACTGTTTCTTAGACTTATACAGGAACCACCTGTTGATTCTAGTAAAATTTACTTCAAAAAGAAACTTAACATGTAAACTCTTAACTTTGAGATAAAAATCAGGTTAGAGTAACAAGCTGGGTTTAATATTTACTAAGATTAATATGAGTGGGTTTTTATAAGTATAGTGTATTCATTCTGCATTACAATACTATTATTCTCCAAACCCAAGTATTCGCAACTGCCATTCTTTTCAAGAAGAGTTTATTTTTACTGAGTCTTTCAACTTGTACCCTAGCAGGTCTTTTAATCCTTTTTATCAGGAGAATGGAAAAATGAAGGACACCAATTTTATTTTAAATCTGATGAGTGTCTTTCCTTAGGTACATTTCTTTTGAACAGTTAAAATGTAAATTTCACTTGGTTGCATATTTTTTCTTTTCCATGTTTTCAGCTGCTTAAGGAAGTTACCTAAATTAAATACACAGCAGTGAGTAAGCTTTACTTGGCTTTATGTAAAAGGTAGTATCATGGTTTACACAAACATCTGTGAACAATGCAGAACATGTTCAGTGTCCATATTCAGAGATTCTGCTTCTTGCCCTGACTGGTGTGGCTCAGCTGGTTGGAGCACTGACTATAACCCAAAGGTTGAAGGTTCAGTTTCAGGTCTGGGCACTTAGCTAGGTTGCAGGTCAATCCCTGGTCCAGGTGCCCCAGGTACATACTAGAGGTGACCAATCGATGGGTGTTTGTCACATCGATTTTTTTCTCTTCTTTCCTCTCTCTCTAAAAGCAGTGAAAAAAAATGTGCTTGGGTGAGGATAAAAAGAAAAAAAGATTCTATTTCTTGTTGTGGATGCAGAGGAATGAAGTAGATATAGTGGCTAGACATGGACTGGTTGCCACTGAGGAGGGTGAAAACTTTCACCCATTCCATGTAGTCATTTCCTGTGGACCAGTAGTCAGACTGACAGCAGACTTCATTCTGATTCTTTGTAAGATCAATGTAACAGGCTGCCATCTGGTGCTCCTGGTACAAATGACTCCTACAGTTCAGCTTCCTGGGTACCTAAGGTGACATTTGCTGCAGCTGCTGCATTGAGAGTTGAATAGATAGTCTTTTTTTATCCAGGTTTTTACTTGAAACTTTGGTTTGTGCTAAACAAACACAGACATGGGAATTCTTGATATCTGTAGATCTGTTGTCCAAGGACTTAGGTGCTATAGGAGAAAAAGCATTGATTGTTGGGGCCAATGAAACCTTGAAAACAGCCTTTAAATCCTAGCTAGACTATTCATTACTGTCACCTTAGACATATTTCTTAACTTTAAGGTCTAAGTTTCTCAGGCATTCTAAGGGCAGAATCACACCACAATGTTCAATATATTGCTTATTTGTTTCTTTCTCTTCTCCATACTAAGAAGGTGGATGAGATATACAGTTATGTAGGTTCTAGAACAAAGGCACTTACAATTCTGTAACCAGCATAAAATTTAATATTAGAATTTAAGACATGAAAGCATTACCTTCTTTCTAGTTCTTAGGTATCATAAGAGACTTCTTTTCTTAAAAGAAAACCTTTTGAAAGGAGTTGGAAAGGTAAAGAAACTATATTGGCTATTTGAATCTGATATAAAAAGTATGGAAGAATTAGCATTTGGAAAAATATGAACAAATAATGATTTTTTTTTCGATAAAAAATGGAAACCAGAAAAAGCAAACTAGAGAAGTTGATTGTTATTTAGTGATGGAAAATGGGTAAAAACAAAAACAATTATCGTAGTGAAAGAATACTTTGGCAGAAGGAAATAGTATCAAAGTATGGAATGGAAAAGTATATATACATATGTATATGGTTTGTTTAGAAGGTATCTAGCCATGTAATATGAAAAAGAGACATTTAATGAAGAATATATAAGAAACATTGTACATAGGACAGTGACACCTCAGTCCCCTTCAAAGTAGGTACCTTGGGATCCCATACAGTCCTCCTAGTCATGTACCATCAGCTGCCATGTCTTATTTTTCTGCATCTTATTGGTGGCCTGAAATCTTTTCCCTTTCAAAGGTGATTTTAGTTTTGGGAAAAACCAAATCTGGGCTACAGAGGGCTGATTTACCTGGGTGATTTGATATTTTGCCAACAAACTCTGCACAAGACGTGATGCATGAGTGGGCAGGTTGTTGTGATGGAGCTGCCAATCTCTAGTTGCCCCTAGCTGTAGCCTCCTGAATCATCCAAATAGTTTACGCTGAGGGATGCTTAAGCTTAACACAAAATTTGATGCAGTTGTGTTGCTCTACTCAAGTCATTTTGAATGTGAGAGCCACGCAGTACATACGCTCACTCAATGGCGTCTACTGCCCCAACTGACTAGTACAGTGAAGTCGTCATTGTTTACACATGTGTATTCCAGGCCACTCTCCTTGGCTGGAAGTTTACATCAATGTCTCACAAACCATTCTCGTTATATTAACAAGGCCTAGACTTTTGACTTTTTCTGGAGACTGACTCTCTCTCTCTCTCTCTCTCTCTCTCTCTCTCTATATATATATATATATATATACATACACACACACATACACATATATAAATGATATTTCTGAGAAGCATTAATTTACTAAATGGTAAGAAACTTTTACCTGCTTTAGTGTAGAGAAATAAAACATAATTAGAATCTAAAAAATTGTTCAGTAAGCACTAAATGTAGAAAACTGGCTATAGAGATATGGAAAAGGAACTCAAATCTGGTTGTGAAGAGTTGAAAGCCATAGGTGACCTTGATAATCACTTAAAGAAAGGAAGGCAATAACACTTCATTTAGAAAAGGAACTGATCTGTTATTTGGAAATTAGATTTTAATTTCTCATATATAAACATCTATAGCATTCCATCTGATATTTCTGTACCAAGGTTACCATTGTTAAAGCTTCTGTGAAGTTTCTACAAGGTATGGCAACAAACAGTTTAACAGAGTGGCTGGGTACTCATGTCCCCCCCCGACTGAAGGCAAGAGGATAGCCACGTTGCAAGGCCTACGCCTTAGATCAGGGTGCTTCAGATCCTGCATCTTGTCACCCCTATGACAACTCTGCTGCCACGGTAGCAATATCCATTTTTGTAATATGAGAATTCTAGTTGGTTTGTGAGTGGAACAGGTTAGGAGAGAGAAGAAAGTCACTGTATTTGAAGTGCAAGGAGCAGTGTTTGCTCATAAGTTGAAGGGAGAATAGACAAATGCTGTCTTTAAAAAAAAAATCTCTCTACCAACTAAAGCATAGCAGGACTTGATACATCCTTTTCATTCTTTTGTTATAGGAAAGCCAGACTACAGTTTACTGAGCTCCTCCCTGAAGAAATTGAAAGTAGCCTACAGAAAAATCGATCGAAAGAAGATGCTGAGAAAATCGAAGCACTACTAAATCTTCCTAGAAACCCCTCATCAACAGATAAACAAGACAAGGACTGAAGTTGTTGTGGACTTGAAACTCACTGGAGAGTTGATGTTGCCATGTCCACTGAATGCAGGTGATCCAGCTACTCCTCGGTTGCCCTGATGACAGCTGTAAGCACTAGCACCTGTAGTGACAGTGCTTGTTCTTACTTGTTTTTTTAAAAATTATTATTATTTTATTGTTGTTCAAGTAAAGTTGTTTGCATTTACCCCTGCCACTCCCCTCCCCACCTCAGTCATCCCCACCTCCCTCCCCTGATCCCACCATATGTCCTTAATAGATGTTCCTGAAAACCCTCCCCCTCCCCCATTATCTTCTCCCACCTCCCCTCTGGTTACTGTCAGATTGTTCTTAATCTCAAACAGAGATTGGTTCAATGTCTCTGTTATGTTTTGCTTGTTTGTTTGTTTGTTTTGTTGGTTAAACAAATGGGACCTCATCAAAATAAAAAGCTTCTGCATGGCTAAAGAAAACAGCATTAAAATGAAAAGAGAACCAACTGTATGGGAAAACATATTTACCAGTGACACCTCAGACAAGGGTTTGAGCTCCAAAATACAAGAACTCTTACCTGTTTTTTAAACCAAGAATTAGGCCAATGTACTCTCACTTTACTCATCCTTAAATTTAAATATATACATACATTTATATTGATCAATCTATATATTTGGCATATCTATATTGATCGATCAATATTTTTTCCTAAATTTTATAACAGGAAATTAAAAATTTCCCAAAAGATTAATGTGTGTTGGGAACCATTCTGCCTGGTTTCAGGAGTTGTAACTGCCCCCCATGGCTAAGGCTGAGTGAGCAACCTCTGGAATGCGAGCCACTAAGGAGACAAAGCTTGTCTCTGCTTCATGCCCTTGCCCCCCAATGCTTGGTCGGTTAGTCAGAGATGGGTAAGACCCCTCAGAGGGAGGGCAACCTAAGCCAGACATGATCACTCGGGAGGCCATCATGTAAGGACTCGGGGGGGCTACAACAAAGAGGGAGTGATGGACCCTCGCCCCCTGGCTATTCTGACATAGCCCGAGTCCCCATGTCCTCTGGGAGAAGCATTTCCTGGCTCTAATCCACTTAAGCCTGAAAACCCATGATGGGGGGAGCGGGGTGCAGCCCCTTGCTGGCTAGAGCGGGATCCAGGGTGATTGGGCATAAGAGAGAGTTCCTAAAAGTCCTGTGAAGCCTGCTTCGCTAAGAGTGTTTTCATTCATATGATAAGGGCCTGGGCAGGGAATGAGTATGTCTCCCAAAGTTCCTGCAACCTCCTCACCTGACAGACACTGACTCAGACTACACCCTCAGATTTCTTTGAAATGTTATCTCCTGTTTGATCCTTGCCACGTGTATTCCTGTGTATTACAGCCCAATAAAAGCCGTTGAGAAAGGGGCTCCTGGCCTTTCTCTGAGAAATTGGCCACCTCTCCTTCCCAAGCAGATCATGTCTTGGTAGTTTCACTTTCATCTGTGGCAGATGGGGGGTACTTTGAGGGCAAAGTTGCACCCACAAATTTGGAACTCTACAGGTTATGTGTGTATGCTCGTAGCCCTTTAAAAGGGTCCTCTGGGAATCAGGAGGAGGAGGAGAGAAAAGAACCAGGTAAGGCAAATGGTCTGTGAAATCCTGGTGCCCTTGGGTCCTAGTAATAGTATGGGCCTAAATGTGTAGTAGTGTTTGGTTTTCATAAAAATAAAAGATGATTTTTGTCATTCGAAATAATGTGAATTTCACAAAAAGGAAGTAGGTAAGCGTTATTACAGAAACAGCCGGTTTGCTCTGTCAGTATTGCTGGCAAAGTGTCTATGCTGTATTATGAGTTACTTAGCATAAATCTGATAATCCAGTTTCTACACTCTAGGAGTTTGCTGCTTCAGAAGGAAGCTGTCCCGTGGATTGTGACTTTTACTAAATGAGGGGGGATGGTGGGATGGCTGAATTAACTATCAAAGGGAAAAAAAACTCAGTGTTTTGTTTCAATGTTAGACCTCATAGTTCCTACTTCGAAAATACTGTTTGCAGGAACAAGGTTTGTGAAGCTGAGAGTGTGGTGGATAAAACAGTTGGCTCTGGAAGACCTCTGGCCTGGAATCCCAGCCCTGTGGCTTCAAAGCCTTAAAATTTTAGCTGGAACAAATTTTACTTAATTTTTAAAATTTTATAAAATTATTGGGGTGACATTGGTTAATAGGATCATGTAGACCTCAAGTGTACAGTTCTGTTATACCAGATCTGTATACTTCACCACCTGAAGTCAAACCATCACCGTGAATTAGGCTCCCTCCATGCCCGCACAGCCCACACCCCCTACCCTCTAGTGACCACCACGCTGCATTGTCCACAAGTTTCAGTCTTATATCCCACATTTGACTGAAATCAGATGGTTCTGAGCTTTTCCTGACTGCTTTATTTCACTTAATATTCTCAATAATCTATTGTTTTAAGATTTTATTTATTTAGTTTTAGAGAGGGGGGAAGGGAGGGAGAGAAACATCAATGTGTGGTTGCCTCTCGAGTGCCCTCAACTGGAGACCTGGCCTGCAACCCAGGCATGCGCCCTGACTGGGAATCCAACCAGCAACCTTTTGGTTTACAGGCCAGCCCTCAGTCCACTGAGCCACACCAGCCAGGACGCTATTCTTAATTTCTTGAGGAACCACCAGACTTCCATAGTTGCTGTACCAGTTTACATTCCCACCAGTAGTGAATGAGGGTTCGCTTTGCTCCACACTTTCCTACACTTCTTTTTGTCTGTCTTGATAACAGCCATTCTAACAGGTGTGAGGTGGTATCTCATTGTACTTTTGATTTGCATTTCTCTAATAAATAGTGAAGTTGACTGTCTTTTCATATATGTGTTGGCCATTTGTATGTCTTCTTGGGTGAAGTGCCTGTTCAGGTCCTCTGTCCATTTTTTAATCCTCACCTAAGGATATGTTTATTGGTTTTGGAGAGAGAGGAAGGGGGGCAGGAAAGAAAGAGAAACATCGATGTGGGAGAGAAACATCAATGGGTTGCTTCCCATTTGCACCCCAATCAGGGATAGAACTTGCAACGTAGGTATGTGCCCTGACTGGGAATAGACCCTGCAACCTTTTGGTGTATGGGAAGATGCTCCTACCAACTGAAACTCCCTGCCAGGGCCTCTGACCAATTTTTAACTGAATTGTTTGTTTGGTGTTGAGTTGTATAAATTCTTTACATAACTTGAATATTAACCCCTTTTTGCAGTTGTTGTGTGCAAATATCTTCTCCCATTCAGTTGGTTGCCTTTTTGTTTTGTTGGGGTTTTTTGTGTGTGTGCAGAAGCTTTTCAGTTTGATGTAGTCCCCTGCTGATGTGGACCCTGGTTGGTGGGCTCCACCACATTGTGGATGAGGCACAAGAAATTCACACAGACTACTGAGTCGTGTGGAGGAAAAGGGGCAGCATGGCTTCTCTCTCAAGAGGAGAAAAAGCCTCAGCCCTTGCCTTGACAAGCCTTTATTGCTTTTCTGGGCACATTATATGATGGTCCTCATTTACAGTGCACAGGTTCGCTTTAGGTGGTTCCCTTTTACAGAAAACAAAGGAGCTGATGTTAATCATATCACAGAAGAAGGATATTTGCAAATGCAAAGGGAAAAGTGGTTGAACCAGTTACAATCCATAATGGGGAGGTTTAGCACAGACTTCAGGAAGTTACAGTAAGCACTTTTTGCCTCAATTCGGGGTAAAGGAGTTTTAGCAAAAGCAAGTCTCAAAGTGGCCTAGGTACATTGCAGGCCTGATTCCCCATGGGAAAACCTGTCCTTGGGCATGAGTCCTGTCTGGGCCCACATCACACAGAATGGTCTCCTATATTTTCTCCCTTGTTTTTAGTTAGGACTGCTATAGATCCTACAAAGCTTGCTACTTGCTGGTCTCTCACATGACCCTGGGAAACTAATTTGCAAATGTGTCAAAGTGCACAGAGCATTACTATAATCAGTAAGCAACCAGCAGTTGCAAAGACCCACATTTTCAGATTAAGCCCAAGAGTCATTGTCGGGCAGTAATGATCAAATAGATAACATTCGAAGAACTCTGAGAGCCTATTGAGTCAGGGTCAGATAGCTAAAGGGCCATTAAACTTTGGGGAAACAAACTCATTTCAGGCCTGTATCATCATTTAAGTTGAGGGTATTAGCAAAGCAGGTTTCACAGGATTTTATGCATTGTTTCTTAGGCCTGATCACCCTGGGAAACCCACCCTTTCCAGCACAGGGCTGCACCCACCACTGGCATTGTTTCGGGCTTAGGTGGAGCAGGGGAAGTAAAGCAGCCAAGAGATTAGGAGACTTCTCACAGAATGAGGACTCAGGCTATGTCAAAGCTGAGGGGTGAGGGTCCATCACCCCCTTTTTCTATAGCCCCCCAAGTCCTTCCCTGAGGGCCCCCTCATGATTATGTCTGTCTTAGGTTGTCCCTCCCTTGAGGAATCTTACCCATCATTGGCTAACTGATCATGCCCTGGGTGCCAGGCAGGGTAAAGTATAGTGGGCAAAGGCAGTGCCCCTGCCAGAGCTATAAGCTTTGTCGTAGTGGCTTAGGGTCCCAAGGTCTCTCACTCAATCTTAGCCATGGTGGGGTTACAGCTTCTGAAACCAGGTGGGGTGGTTCCCAACATCTAATCTCTTCCTTTTTTTGTTTGTGAATGCAATTGTAGTTGTTAAGCCTGTCAAATATACTACCATTTGCTGTTCCCGAATGCAGTCTCAAGAAAACAACCTGCATATACATCATAAAGCACAAATAAGGATTAAGACAAGGGGACACCCAAGAGCTGCTAGTACCCAAACTCGTAAATTTAGTCTATTGAACCAGTTTTTAGGATTCAGCCATTGTAGATTATTGTGGAGGGTCTGGAATTCTTTTTGTTCAGTAAGGCCTTTGCTCGAGCACTAAGAGCCTTGATGACCCTCATGTGGTAGGGACACACCTAAAGGGAACATTATGGGGCACCAAGGGGTTGTTGCCCTCTGCAGGAGGCCCTTGAGCTCTGACCCCTGTCATTGGGGCCGGACCCATCCTCCTGTGTTGGTGGACCCAGGACTGTGAGTGGCGCTGTGGGTGTCCATTTCCTTCTGGTTATTCAGGGTCAGCTGGGCCATCTGGTCTGTCAGTCGATCAGTTCTTGGCTGCAGGTAGTGGAGCTTGGTAAATATCCCGCTCAATGTGAGGCTTTATTCTTTCTGCTGATAGCCAGATAGGACCTGTAGTGATGGAAACACAAGTGTACTCTCTTCTCCAAGTTAAAAGGTCTGCAGGGCCTTGCCAAGAGTCATCTCCCAGCGAATCTCTATATAAAACCTGAGGATAAGATGACTTTGGCTCATTCTTCTGAAAATGTTTCTTAATTAGAGTACAGAGTGATTCGTCACAATTTAGAAAATTATAGATAAACATGGCTAACATAATCAAATTTGGGGGTGAGGATTCATGGCTATCCCCCTTTTTTTAAAGAAGGTTTTTTAAAGTATAATGAGCCCGTTCTATAAATGCCTGACTGGTTGGATTGTAAGGTATTCCTGTTTCATGTTGGATATTCCAATGCTGAAAAAAAACTTGATTAGAATGGGCAAGGTCATTCCAGGGCCATTATCAGTTTTAATTTGCTGAGGCCATCCTAAATGACTAAAGGCCTCAAGCCATTGAGCTTTTATATTTTTAGCAGATTCTCCTGTTAAAGCAGATGCATGGAGGACACCAGAGTATCAATAGAAATATGAACATATTTGAATTTTTCAAAGAGCATAATGAGTGACATCTGTTTGCCAAATTATTTGACAACTTAGTCCTTGAGGATTAACTCCTGTAGATGTGGGTACCTTGCTAAGGGCTTGGCAATCAGGACATTTTTAAATAATTTGCTTGGGAGCAATAATATTAAATTTTTTTGTGGAATGCCTGGCTATTTCTGCAAGCTGCAATGAATTGGAACAGCAAGTTAATTGCCCTGTTGTTTTTAGAACCTGGTAACTCCTAGGTTCAGAGTTTTTAAGGAAAGTGGGAAAGATGCAGGGGATGGGGTGCTCTACCTAAATATGTTTTAGACAAAAATGGTTGCACGCCAAAGGCCTTTTGTGACTTGATCGACTAACCATTCCCTCCAGGAGAATAGCCAGTTCTTCCCCAAGGAAACGATCAGTGTTTACAGGTACTGAGTTAAAAAACGGTACCTAGTCTTCTGTGGAGAAGGGCTAGTTTTTCCCGGGAGACAGTATACCTATGTTTCATTTTTACAATAAAGGTCACAGCTCTGGCATAAACACGGAGGATTCTTAACATTTTTTAAACACATCACACACCCCCACCCCATTTATAGCATACTTTAAATTGACAAATTTATGAACACATTCATAACTTTTAGAAACAGTTTTTTCTCCACTGGCAGATACATTTATTTATTTTTTGTTAATTCTT